CTGCTGCTGGACGACATGCGGGCGTGTACTGAGGGTTGCCTGGGTGGGTGGCTCGGAGGGCGGGTGGGAAGAGAAGAGGCATGTCGGTGCGCATGCTTAATTGGGTGGATGGTCGCTAAATTGATGGCCGGAAAGGGGAAACCATCTGGCAGCATGCAGGAAAACCGCTGGGAGGTGGGAGGAGTGGTGGGTTGCATTCCAGAAATTTGCTGGTCGTTTTTTTTAGCGCGTGGGTGGCCCCCCCATGGATGTCTAAACGTGTGATGGTGAGCCAAACTACCCTCACGCACGAGAAAGCGAGCTTGAAACAAGTATATAGACTTGGAAGATGGCGGTCTCATTCTCGCTCTGCAGCAGTTCATGGGGAGTACACCTACATATTCAGACAGGTATATCGCGTGGCATGTATCTTATAATCTGGATGGTGCCTATTGAAGTCCTGGAGCGAGTTGCATGTTCAACAACATGAAAACAAGCAAAAAGGTGCTGCAAGCCAGCGAAGCCGTACTTGCATTCCCCGTATTTCAATCCATACGTTTATTTCTTTTCTCAAAACTTGCTGACGGAGCTGCATTAGGAAAGCAAGGCAAAGCTAGCTGTTGTGGGGTTGCAACGCTTGAGTTGCCAGGATGTGCATATCTAAATGTCCTGTTTGGGCAACAGCCTCGAGCTCGTAGTTTCCGCGACGCTTAGTCTGCCAGCAGGTTGTCCCCATTTCCTTTTATCATTACTCTCCAAATGTGTGCAATGATCAGTCATGCATATGTACTGTAGTAGCTAGTAGCTGTCCAGACGCCGGAAAGGTGGGTGAAGTGGGTTGTAGCATGTTCATATAATCGGTGTGTGTGTGTGTGTGTGTGTGTGTGTGTGTTGTTTCACGTCTTTAGGAAAGTACCGATCGGCGGATGGCAGGTGTAGGCGCGGACAGAGCTTAGCTCAACAAGCACGACCTTGCACGATGAAGCGACCTGCGCATACCCCTTTCGCCCAGCATACATGCATTACGAGATGGCTCTCACAAACGTACTGGCCCGTCACAGTATTGCAGCGAACCTCTGGACATCTTGCTCACTCTCTCATGCACATGTCTTCCCATGGCGTGCTTCACAAAAGTACGTTGCAAGTGCTTCACAGGGGTTCAGCAATTTTGGTGCTGTTTTCAAGAGGGTCATTATACGCTTCGACATCAACACACACATACACGACCAATGGGGTGCACACAGACTCACAACTGAATGTTACCCTTTGCCTATTATCATGTTGATCATGGGTACCTAACCACTACATCCTTCACAGCATTGAAAGAGCACCTGGAGGAACCACCGTCACGGGTGTCCTTAGAATCGTCCAGAAAATCGAATGGAACGACGTCATCAGGAAGGCTGTGGTGACCCATACACGTCCGGAACATAATCTCAGAAGCAAATGCCACAGTATTTCACGCGGGGCTCATAACCTCTTGATTTTGAGCTGCAACGGCACAAAGGGCCAAGTCAGGAAGTCTTTACCAGGCCATGTTGTTGCAATAAGGCAGCTGGTGAGAACCGCAAAAGCAGCGAGGTTTATTGTCAAACACCACTAAGGGAAGCCGTCGTCACACAAATCGAGACGTACAATTGCCTAAGTTTACGTGCACGGGCACAGCAACAACCCACCTACCACAAGTGTTCATAGTAGGAATACCGAAATTACCACTATGTGCTTAGCATTGGCGTCTAGCATGGCGATGACTTCCTACCGGGATAACAGCGTGTGGGCAACGGGTCGTGTACCCCGAGTCCGGTGCTAACAAAGACGTTGGAAAGAGCCTTTGGTCAAGCCCCTGCAGCACGTGTCAAGACCACCACGGCCTGGCGAGGTGGCGAGTATGGAACCACACATCAGGCCGCGGTAGCCGCGTGGGTGCGCATGAGTAATGGGTCTAGAACTGGCCCTGCTTGGGAGGTCTCCGTGGGACGGCTTTACAACGGGGCAAAGCGAAAGGCCAGGGCCGGCACACGATCTCGCCGTATTTCTCGATTTTGTGCTTCTGCACGACCCGAAGCAGCTCTGCAGGGAAGCAGCTATAGGAGAGACCACGAAGGCTTGCTGCCCCCTCGAAGGCGGCGTGGGGAGAGCGCAATTTGGGAGAGTGCATTTTGAGCGGTTACTAAAAATGATGGATACGGACCGGAGACCTTTTCCACCAGTCGAACAGCCCTGACCGAGGCCGGGAGGGAAGGGTGCTATGGTCGGCTTATCAGCTAGCCAAGCTAGGCAAGGGTAAGTTGTGGGCCCCTGACATACGGATGAGGTGCTTTGGAGTACAAGTTTGTTTCACTTGCTCCTACGGCTGTGAAATCTGGGGACCTGACATCCTCGATGAAGCCCTGCCATGAACCACCAAGCAACGTGACCATAGCATCCTTGCGAAGGGTCTTTTCGGGAGCTGTCTGAATCGCGCGCAAACAGATGATCGGCAAGTTTCGCGAGCTCCTAGCCGTGGAGGGGGGAGAGTATGTACTCTCGTAGTGACCAGCACGTAGCTCATGCACAGGGGCTTTCTGTCAAGATTTATGTGGATCTGAATATGAAGGATGTGATGATGGTGGCCAACAGTGTTTGGCCAATAATGAGGGTTTCAAAACAGGTAGGCGCAGTGCTGCAGCGTAGCAGTCCGGACAGTTCGTTTCGTTCAACATACGCCGTTGATCCGCTAGATTTGGTTGGATGCTGGTGGGTGAGTTGCTGAACCCAACGAATACACTGTGAAAGTCGGATGGGGTGAATGGATTAGGGTGCCCCTCTCGCAGGGGAGAGCAGGGAACTGCCTCGGGAAAGGGGGCCGCTGGTGAAGCTATACCACCCTGTAACAACATACATACGCTTTCTTCTTCAGCAAGAGGATAAATATTTTTTCCTTTATACGTTTTTACAGTGTCTATCTATTCCTTACAGCCTTCAGCAAGCCCTTGGGCCCCCAGCTCGTATGGGCTCGTTGCACCAGAGGAATGCAACCGCACACAGCTCTTGGTAAGTCTGGAGCCCACACACACACACACACGCGCACGCACACACGCACGCACACGCACACACACACACACACGCGCGCGCGCGCACGCACAAACACACACACACACACACACACACACACGCGCGCACGCACAAACACACACACACACACACGCACGCACACACACACACACACGCACGCACAAACACACACACACACGCACACACACATAACAGACGTACTGCTTGCACACCCTGCAGATACGTCTATAAAATGTTTTATAGTTTGTAGACCGCGCCACGGTGTAATAGATAGGGCCTTCAAACAGATGGTCTATAAGCACTTTTCGACTTATAGGCGCCCGAAAACCGACCATCACACTGTCCACTGTTCCATACTTCCGCCGCCGCCAACACTCCCAACATACAACATACGACCATATATAGCAAGCGGTTACAACACCAGGTGACGTAACGCCGCTAGCGTGGATGCTACGTAACGTAACGTAACGTAGGGAAAGCGGGGGAGGTTTAACAAACGCAGATCGCGGCAAGACATGTGCAGGCAACGACAGATCCCGCGCAATAGGCCAAAGCAACGCACGATGCATACCATACGTTCATGCCACGCTTCCATCACAGCTGCAGCTGGTTGCTCTCCCGAACAAAGCATGAAATCACTAGGGTTTGAAAAGGAACAGTTAAATGTACATTGCTAGTCAACAAAACAAAGGGGACGTTACAACAATCCGGTATCCTTGCAGTCCTTATTATATAATTCGCAATGATCCAAGTCCCATACCAAGCGAGGAAAGTACGAACAAGTACCGCCCTGTACAGCCAGCCCTTCCACTTCAAGTTACGCCAGCACTCCCATATCCATATGACAGGGCGCTAGACGAAGCAAAATAATGAAGGCCTCCAATGGCATGAATGAATTATTTCCTAAATTGGTCGCCCAAGGCGGCTGCTTCCGCAAGCAAGTTGATGGTGCCTGCTTACGTAGGGTCATGACTAATGAGGCCACAGCAGCAAAATGAAGGTGACGGTGTTGGGCTCTATGCAACTGGTACGAACGTATGAAAGATAACCAAGACAACAGCAATGTAAGTTTAATAGGATAAAGATATGTACGGAAAATCACACTCCGTAAGAAACAAACACGCCCGGATGATGAGAGGGTTCCATCATTTCTAATCTTTTATATGCATCCTACTCCGCCGGGAAAGAAAACTCCGCGGACTTTACCAAATAGTTCAACCATATGCATTATCTAATCTTACAGGGCATCCGGAAACCATGCGCGCAGTTCCACGTGCTCGGTTTCGCCCCACTCTATCTTGGGACCGGCAGGTATTTTTCAACATCTTTCTATGAAAGGACAGGAAAGCAAGTAGTCGCACATTGCCCACCTCAAGCCATCTTATGTGCCTATGTAGCCACAAGAATCAGCAGCAACCTCGGTTCTAAAGATGAGTTCTACCGGCATTGTGTGATTTTGCTTAAGCTCTGGCATAAGAAAAACAACACCGAAGCGCAACAAAAATTGAAACCATGCAATCTCGGCCTTGCTTGGATCACATGTCTAGAGTATAAATCCACATTATCATCTATCTATCAAATGTTACCGATGTTATGGCGATGTTCGAAAGTCTGGTAGCTGGGTGCTTTGTCGCTTTCCGTCTTAAGGTTTATATATATATGTGAGATAGACCGCGCCCGCCGCACTCAGCACCGTCCATCAAAATGCTGTCTGCTATCGCTGCTGCTGCTGCTGCTGCCATGCACCTGGTATTCAATAATGCTTCAGGCTATAAGGACCCTATCACCTTAGGCTATTGGCTCTGTTCTGTCTAAATTCCATGGAACTACGCAAAATTCGATACCTAGGAGATCCTAAAAGGACTGAACGATCACGTTTCTAACGAGTATGCTATCCATCTATACCCCTACCCATCTATGCGCCGAGCGGGGTTCGAACATGTACCAGCATGCATCCAATATCGCGTGTGCCACATGTCGTCGGCGATACTCAAAAGCACGGCGTCTTCTCTGCTAACTGGCGGCAGTGCTGATACGTATCCACGTGATGTGTCGAATACTACGGTTGCCGCGGTGGCGGCGGTTGAGCCAGCGGCAGCACTGCGCACAACAGGAAGGGAGGGCGGGAGTACACGCGGCACCCACTCACTTTGGTTCCGGGATCTCTGGCAAGGGGTGGTCCGCAATGACCGATCGACGATCAGTAAAATCTCTTGCAACAGGATTCTTTGGCTCCTGAGCTCACCCTGCATGCACGCCTGCATATGCACATACCCTGGGGCACAAAACACACACACACATACATACACACACATACACACACGCCCCTCTCCCGTCCGCGGGAGAGCTCTTAGGCGGTCTTTCCGTTGGGTCTGGGCAGCAGTCCCTGGCCAGTGTCAGGCCCTGTCAGATACTAGTAACGTTCACACTCTCTCTCTCTCTCTCTCTCTCTCTCCCCTTTCTCCACACACACATACACACGCGGCGTCTCGCAGCTGCCAGATGAAGATCGATCGAGGCCGATGCCTGTATGCCTTTGTGCAGCTTTTCTCTTTCCATGCTTGCAACTAGCCGTCGCCGCTACATTCCAACCAAAACCTTGACCGGATTTCAGCAGCAGGAACTTTAACCTGCTGCGATGTGTTCCGCAGACGGCCATCCTGGTGAGACGTACGTTTGCTAAACTGTGAACCGACAAACAGCACAGCCAACAGCCAGCAGCTGCAGCTGCAGCAACGGCCATGCTGTAACCGCACCGCCGGAGGGTTTTATCCCCATTGTGTTCCCTCCAGTCAGTCATCAAATCCTCCCCCCCTAGCACGCACCGTTGGCCCGGTAGAATTTGTCGCTGGCAATGTTCCCTGGCGGCAAGTATCGACATACGACCACTTTGCAGCCGCCCTTGGCGCGGTATCCCGTAAACAGCTCCAACATCATACTGACAACCGCTGTGCCGCAGCCCATTGTGGTCGTGGCCCTCCACACCTGCGAAATGGGTAGTAGTCGGTAACGCAAACGGGGATTACATGTTACGGGGTTGCACATAACATAACCCACGTCATGTGATATGACCAGATGCGGGCCCATAGGCGTACCACCATGTACGACAAGCTGTACGGGTAATAGGACACTGTACGGAGAATGTACAATAATTGCTGTACCATGCAGGCCAGGCAGGGAAGATTTATATTCAAAACGTATGGTCACACGGAAACGCGTGTGAAAAACTGGTTCATCTCGCCGGCCACACGGGTTCCAAACCTTAACTACCGATAAATGCTGAGTTTACAAGTGCTGCGTACAGTTGTCAGCAGGCGTATCAGTAGGGGCAGATCCATGCCATCCCTGCGATATAACTTTTGAAACGTCCTTCCAGTGCTGGCGGGCTCCAGCCAACACAGGGGCCCTAGATCATTGGGATTGACCAGCAGCAGCAGCAGCAGCAGCGGCAGCAGCAATGATGGCGAGAGGACCCGCGTTAACTGACCACAACGGCATTTGTTCGTTGGCAATCAATTCGGTTAATTTGCTTGCTTGGCGAAGGCGTTCATACGGAACGAAACCGCGTTAGCACGCCGCCTGGGCGGACCTTGCTGCTGGTGGTCTGTCCACCACCTGCTTCTGTATGCCGTTTTGAAGTCCTTCGTTGCGCACTTCCGTAGGTTTTAGAAACTTATAGATACAGACGCAAATAGGTCGCAAACCAGGGATGCAAACCAGGGATGCAAGCGCAAGACGGTTCACACTTCTATAGCTCCTCTAAAAGCCGGCTAGAAGTCTAATTTTATACCGCTTTCAGGTTAGAGAAATACGTTTGCCTTTTTTGCGGGATATTAAGAAATGGCAAGAAGTTCTCAGACCGATCGAAGAAAAGCTCCCAGGCCTAGGACTGGGTCCCACTGACTGACCGCCCCCTTGCCGTACAGTCGAATTGTCGGACCGGACACTTCAGGCAGTCCACCAAGTCGAAGTACTCTTCGCTTTCAGAGGAATGCTAATTTTTATAATTCGATTTTCCATATCCATCTTATTGTTCACAGTTCTTATCTCCTCCCGGCAGCACAGACATATTTATGAAGGCAAAAGCTTTCGCGCCTCGAGAGCCTCGCACTTTAGGAAGGGTAATATGGGCACCGCACGCGGGCATTGACTTACTCCACCCGGTCCCCTGCCGTAGGTGCCTGGCCCCTGTCTGTGCGAGACCTCTCCACACCGAGCCCCCCCATCCCAGCCGGCTCACACGCCAGCATGAAAACACACACCCGGCGTCGCCTGACTGCTCTCCGCGTCGCTTGGGAGTCTAGCGAGTCACCACCCCCGACCGGAGAAAGTGACTATGTAAGCGGAGGAGTTGGGGAATAAACGGCCATGGGGTGGGGCCCCTTTCCGCACGCAAGTATACAAGGCTTGTACAGGTTTATGAAGGCACAAAGCTTCCTAGGATGTGTCAAAAGGGTGACTTTAAATTAGAGAGCGCAAAAGACAAAGTAAGAAACAGTGAAGAATGTCAAATTTGGCTCCAACAGTTTTCCTAATCGCCTCGTGGAGATAATTTTGTACGTGTAATCTTTGCAAGACGCGTCCCCAGGTTGCATTTGCCGGTGGATTTCGGCCGGTCTTCATTACGCCCGGCTCGTGCATGTGCAGCGGGCTTACACGCAAACTGAAACACAACGCACAAAGCGGTTTTAACCGTGCCGTACGTTGCAAAAAGCATACAACAACAACAGCACGTCCACATACGTGCAAACAGACATACATCCACACGCACGTGCCTTACCAGTTGCGTGAAATGGCCAACACCGTCGTCATGATTAACCGTGAACGGCGCGCTTGTCGTGAAGTTGTACTCTGAAATCTCGCTATACCACCCATGTACAGCGGGAGTGCAAGTCTTATCCGGTGGTGGCAATTCTGTCACCGTGAAGATGTTCTCCCCCACGACGACGCTGTAATCGTGGTCCTTGGCGCATCCACGCTGTGCCAGCTTGAAGGCCCAGGCTGCGGACTCCAGAGCCAGGCCGTTGTCCCACGTGAGGGGCGGGACGCCGTGTTGCGCGCGCAGGGCGTTGGTTGCCGCCAGAGCGCCCTCGGGGTCGCTACAGCCGCCGACTGGGCCCGCGGAACGGGAAGATCAATGTGGGGTGCGGAAGTGGCAGAGGGGGGGAGGTAGGATCAGGATTATGGGGCCAAGCGTGTGGCGGGAGGGGAGAGGGGAAAAGGGTGAAGGGTAAAATTCGTAGAAAGGGACCAGGACCGGCATGCGTTAGGAGGGGAGGAGGGGCAATCGTTTGCGGAGCGAACCGCAAAGCAGGAATCACAGGCACTGCACAAGGCCGAGCCAAACTAAAGGACACACACACACACGCACACACGGCCACATAGGTAGGCAGGAGGGAGACGTGACGGGGATTGGCAGCGTGTGGGGCCAGCGGTACCTTCAGCGGCCCGTTGCACAGACGTTGCATGCGCCCTTTCTCCCAGCTAGCTTTATTCACGGCAGCTAGCACGGCTTGATTTGAGCTCAATGGTTGCGACAATATACGGCAGTGTCGCTTCAGTTGGTTAGTCTGTGGCAGCGCTTACGGTATTGGGAGGGCGACAAAGAAGCGACAGTTTCATCAGATGAAGGCGCCGTCGGCGGCGGTGATGTTGGGGGTGGTGGCGGCGACCGCGGAGACGGCGACGGCGGCGGCGGCGATGGTAATCGCCTAAGAGGCGGAGGCGGTGGGGATGACGGCGGCGCTGGCAGAGGGGGCGACGGCGGCGGTGGCGGAGGCGGCGACGGCGGCGGTGGCGGAGGCGGCGACGGCGGCGGTGGCGGAGGCGGCGACGGTGACCGCCGAAGAGGCGGTGGCGGCGGAGGCGACGGCGGAGATGGCGATGGCGGAGATGGCGACGGTGGAGGCGGAGGCGGCGGAGATGGCGGCGGTGGAGGCGGAGGCGGCGGAGATGGCGGCGGTGGAGGCGAAGGCGGCGGAGATGGCGGCGGTGGAGGCGGCGACGGCGGAGATGGCGACGGTGGAGGCGGCGACGGCGGAGATGGCGACGGTGGAGGCGGAGGCGGCGGAGATGGCGACGATGGAGGCGGACGTGGCGGAGATGGCGGCCGTGGGAGCGGCCGAAGAGGCGGTGGCGGCGGAGATGGCGACGGTGGAGGCGGAGGCGGCGGAGATGGCGACGGTGGAGGCGGACGCGGTGGCGACGGCGGCCGTGGGAGCGGCCGAAGAGGCGGTGGCGGCGGTGACGACGGCGGTGGTGGGGATGGCCGAAGCAGGCGTGGCGATGGTGACCGCCGAAGTGGTGGCAGAGGTGGCGATGGTGGCGATGGCGACGGCGGAGGTGGCGACGGCGGTGATGGCGACGGCGGCGGGGGTGACGGCTGGGGAGGCGACGGCGGAGGCGGCAGCCGTGGACGAGGCGGCCTTCTGATTATCGGTGACCTAGGTGCCGGTGGCCGTGGTGATGGTGGCGCACGTGGCCTGGAGGGCGTCGGCGACGGCGGCGAAGAAGGTGGGCTAGGCGGAAGTTGGGGAGTTAGCGGCGGTGGGGTTGGGGGAGGGCTGGGCGTTAATGGGGGTGGGGCCGGTGAGGTGGCGCTGGGTTGTGGCTGCAGTGGTGATGGCTGTGGTCGTGACGGTGGTTGCCGTTGCGGCTTGGGCGGTGGGCGAGCGCGCGGCGGAGACCGGGGCCGAGGCGCTGGAGCAATCGGCCCCTCCGGCAGCTTCGGAAGCCCCGGAATAGATCTAGGGCCGAGCGGCGCGACTGCGACAGGTGGCCGGGGTGCTTGCGGCAGATGCGGCGGTGCTGGCGGTGAGGGTGGGGGATGGCCGGGTGGCGGGTAGGGAGGCGGTGGCGGCATTGCTTGCGGCGGCGGGCGTTGCGGCGGCGGCAGCCGCGGAGGCTTGGGCGACGGTCGAAGTCGAGGCGGCAATCGCGGCCAGGGCTGTGATGAGTGCGGGCTCGGCTTAGTGGTTTGTGAGGGAGCCTGGGGAGATGGAGGACTTGGGTTTGGCGGCGGTGGGGACGAAGATGGAAACGGGGTGGGCCACAGCGGTGGTGGTGTGAGGGGGGGTGGAGGACTTGGAGGCGATAGGTAGGGACGGCGAGGTCTTGGGTACGAGGGTCGAGAGGGTGGCGAAGGACGGGCCACCTGATACGCGACCTGTAGAGTTTTGCGGGGGGACACCTGGCGAGCGGATGCTGGAGGAGGCGGTGCAGGTGAGCTGGCCGGCGGCCTCCGAGCTCCTCCTCCAGGGCCGTTAGGGACGTTGGTATCGTTTGCACTGCTGGGAGAAATCGCTGGTAGCGCCGAGGGGCGGGTCTGCAGCAGGCGCCGCGCTTGGTGACGCTGAACCCAGCAGCCGGTGCTTGAAGCTTCTGTAAGGACATAAAACAATAGTTGGCTTTACTCGGTTCGGTAAGCAATCGTCACCAGTGCATCGCAGCCCTTCCGGTCATTGGCCTCCGGGTTTAACGACGGATAGAGACGGGCGGCAGACTCTACCCCAAATGCAATCTACTTCGAGTGAAAAAATAAATTTCCTACCAGCGATACATCTCGACAGTAGCTTAACAGAGTTTGCCCCATTACGTTCTGCTGTCGCTAGGCTCAAAATTGTCAACAACCAAAGTAAGACGATACATATTTGGGCCATTCTTTTTTCATAGACTTTTATGAGATGAGTACTTGAATGGGTTAATGGAAGCCGCTATGATTATAAACAAAATGGTTTTAAGGGTGCAGGCGAAGGGAGTGGGCGCGAAACGTTTCCATGAACGGTATCACAGGGATACGAAACTTTTGTAATGCACGCGATCTGATAAACATAGATGTATACGAAACGTTCAAAGTGGCAGTTCCGGTTTGAACTCAGCTGGGGGAATAAAAGGCATGTACGGCCATTCAAGAGCACTAACAACGGTTGGATGTAGCATAGTGTAGACGGGCAGGGGCGCGATGTCGTTATCTTCGGCTCAAGCATGAGTGCTAGCAATAAACGTTTTATTTACGTACCAGAGCTGCATGAGCGAGGCACGCGAGGCGGATCCATGGCAGCATCCTCGGCGAATCCTGATCCTATGAATTGACTGCAATTAATAAAATAAGCAACCATGCAACCATAGCAGAACTTACAACTTGTCAACGGAGATTATTTGGACCTAATCAGCAGCTGTACTTCGCAGAACCTTATCAGCTGACCAGGCTGGCCTGGCCTGGCGTAATAGCTTTTGTTATTCTCGGACGGCCCGACCGACCGACCTGCTTACATAGCCCGACAACGACATATGGGACTGCCGTTGAGCCGCAACCTTGGGGCTGGTTTATCCCGTCGGACCCATTGCAACTTACTCTTTCGGAGCTACAGGCGGAACTTGCTGGGTTGATTGTGCAGAACAGCCATACGTGTCGTATTCGGGAGCACGTCATGCGCTTTTTTTTACAGAGTTGTGAGCTTCTCGAGAAGCGCACGATTTGTCGTCTCTCTTAGCAATAAAGAAGTTTGAAGCCATTTCGTTTCCGTCGCCAAGAGTAATTACCTTAAAAGATCGAGATCATAAAAATCACGACATTAGCCCCTATTAGCTATGACCTGCACGCCAAGCGACGCATCGCAATGAGGGGCCCGGAAACTCCTACAGTGCCCGCGAACGGAAAGTACAACATACAAGCTGAATAACAAGTTGCTTAACATCTAGCAATGCAGCAACTTGCGGAGTGAAGGACGTCGAACCCTCAACTCGAACCTTCTCGATTTACCTGCACCCCGCTCCAGACAATCTAAAAACGGCAGCAGCGTGTGCGCGTCAGGCAGCCCCAGATAACCGCAAAACAACGACGACCTGACACTCGAAAAACCTAAAACGACCATAAAATGGAAGGTTTGCATAACTCTTGAAACACTTCAACAACACCGCAAGGCAGGGTAACACCTGCGCAAGCCCACACCCTCTTCGACACCGACACCGACAAAACAAGACACTCTCAGCGTTGACATATCAGGCCAAACCATTCGGCAAGTGCTCTATGCTCTCACAAATTTCGGCTCGCTCGCTCTGGGTACGGTTTCCGTACGCTTTTCAAACTTTGAATGCCGATGCCTTCCAAACAGACTTTCCGAGCCCTAATCTACATCTGCTTCCACTTTTCAATTCATAAATACTGGACAAAACTTTTAATGGGCAAAACCGTTTGTCCAGGCGTTTACCAACGAGACTCAGAATGTTGCCATCCCTTCACCGCAAGAAGCGGCGTGGTGACGAGATGGGCGACGGTGACTGCTGCACCGCAGATGCTGGCGCCACGGGGGGAACGGCATCAAAGACTGCGAATGGTAAAAACAGAGCGTGCCGGTAAAAACAAGGCAAAAGCGTTTGTGTACAAAAGGTAGTTATTGGAACAACCAAGGAGCCCTTTGAAGTTGGGATTGCGCATGCTGTGAAGAACTGTCTAAATGAGACGGGTGGAATCCCTTGCGCCGCACCCTTCATTGGGGTTTTAGGGTCATGAGGGCTAACAGAACGGGGTAGTGCCCACAAGCCGCTAGATTAGCGCAACTGGATGGGTGGGTGCCCTGACATTCGTTGACGGTCGCAATCCATCCAATTCACAACGAAGGGTTTAGGATTGCAACGTTTCCTGTTGAACCCACCATTTCCTTTGAAGACTTTATCGTTCACAGTGTTGCCCGGTGCTAGGTATCGGCATACGACGACCTTGCAGCCGCCCATGGACTTAAAACGGCCAAAGTCCACTTCGATAGTCGCCCTGGCCATGCCACAGCCAAGGCGGCTGCTGCTGAGCCAGATCTGAAGGGTGAGGCGACAATGGGTCCACGGACGAGAGGCGGGATGGCGCGGGAGGGAATAGCAACAGAACGGGAACCGGACGGAGCAAGTGTAGGGAACGCCCAGCGATGCGCAGTAGCGTGAGTGTCATCGAACTGAAGGGAACAACATGCATCCCTAAGTGCTCACGGCAACCGCATCCCCAACAGCAGGTGCGAAACATGCAGAGCCCGGCCGTCGGCGTGAACTGGGCGCCGTACATGTCAAGTGATTTGCCATTGCATCGCCACTTCACCGCCCGCCACAAAACCTGATCTATGGATTAATTACCCCAACAGTGCACCTGCACCACCAGGTAAGCCGTCCTCGTTCAGTGAAACCAGCGCCAAGGCACACAGTCCAAACGCCCGGAAGGCGAAAAGATGCTCACCAGCTGGGTGAAGTGGAACGCGCCGCTCTCTCTGTTGTCCGTGTACAGGCGGTCCTTATTACTGAAGTCAAACGCCGGGCGTTCGCTGTACCAGGCATCTACAGCTCCGGCACAAGTGGCGTCGGGCGGCGGATAACGCTGTTCGACAAATATGTTCTCGCCCACTTCGACGCTGAGGTCATGGTCCTGAGCGCAGCCTCTCGCGGCTAGCCTGTCCGCCCAGGCCTGGGCCGTTTGCGCCAGGCCCACATCCCACATGAGCGGTGGCACTCGATGCTGCAGCCGGTATGCGTTGGTGCGAGTCAGAACGTCCCGTGGGTCGCTGCACATCCCACCTATCAAACGGGAAGGAGGGGGCAACCGTAAGAAGGGCAGGGTTGAGCGCGAGCATTTGGCAACGGGGTCGCGGGACGCTTTGGGCCCCGGCAATGCCGATCAAGAACCATCGAGGTCCGTTTTGAGAGTTGGCAGCACCCGTCTGTGAAAGCTCTCCAACTTCCCATATCCCCTTCCCCTCCGCCTTTCGACGAGTCCACCTCCCACGACATCCGGAGCTGCGTATGATACGATATGCTACAACGAGGAGAAGGCCCGGGGTCGTCCCAAGTGCGAGCGAACTAGAAAAGGACGTTTTGTTGCAACGCGGCATGCGTAGACGGCAGAGGACGGAGCCGAGCTTGCCAACGATAGCACACGAGCGACAAGCAAGCAAACGCAGTAGGTGCTATGATGGCTGGACCTCTTGGCATCACAGCAGGTATTCGGGACACAGGGCAGCTGCGTTCACTCACGAGCGGTTCATTACTGACCGGCAAACGCAGAGAAGATTCCCGAGGGCTGGCTAGGGAGGGTCGGTGGGGCAGGACGAGGTGAGGGTGGCTCGGGTGAGGGCGGCCTCGGAGATGGTGGGGAGGGCCTGGGACGTGGCGGCACCGTGGGTGCATTGGGAGAGGATGGAGGGCTCGCAGCTGGAAGGTGGCGCGGTGGCTGTGCTGGGGCGGAAGACGCTGATGACCTGCGCGGGGGAGATCCCCCCGTGGCGGCCGCCCCTAGTGGCTGTTGGGCTAATAGAAGTTTGCGGCGGCTTGGGAGCCCAGGCCCTGCAAGGAGAAGGGGTTCCTTTAACATGGGGCCGCAGCGATTGGCCGCTCCGCTGCTGCGACAACGTTGCTCTACTACAAAATCGACTCAGTCTTAAAATCACTTAGCAATTCTGGCTTCTGATGATGACCTTGCGGGAGCCCGCCGCTGTTGGAGACTGACGAAACGGACAGCCTGAGACAGCCTGCCCACCGACTTCAGGCAGCCCATCACCTCACCTTCAGGTGTCTGCGCGCCGGCTGCTGTAATGAAAACAATAAGCGGTTGAAGGCATAAAAACAAAAGGATAACGGTGCTGGCACCGAGTTGCAACATTTTGCTAAGGCGTCGTCGGCTATGGAAGAAGTGAGCGTAAGGCTTAACAAAAATGAGTAAAGCTTGTTTTGTTCATTAAATTCAAACAGGTAAATACGTTATGTTTTTGAAGCGGACAGTCAGACCTGCCGCCTGACCCGGACGTACCTTACCAGCGCCTGCTGGACGAAGGAAGCCAACCACGCCTAACTTTAACCACCACTGTTAGTCACAGTCCTAGTATGCGGCCCACAGCTAAACTAAATTCAAGGAGAACTATTTGGGTAGCAGGTGTAATAACGTATAGGTATCGACTAAGCAGGCGCCGGCGATGTAGCAGCGGGGGAGCAGAACTACGGAGAATTCAGGATTTGGCTCCTGAGACTGACATAGCGAATACTCGGGGCATGATTATATATATGCCTATTATTATGCATTACTGCATTGTAGGGACGAACAACACACAAGCCTGTTTGTCTCCACTTTGTCGAATTTTAAGTAAAAAGTAACGGATCGCGATGTCGCAGCGACCCTTCATCTCTTAGGGCCGCTAACAACGTGCTGACGACATATATGCGTGTCTTGTCGAAATGATACTTCAGTGCCTAATGCAACAACGGGGATGTTTTTCCGTGGGGATTGAATTCCCCCTTGTAGCTAGCTACCGTGGTCTCGGCTGCCAAGAACGCTCACGTTACAAGGTTAAAGGCGTAGGAGTAACCGCGTAACACCTGCCCGCATCGGACTGGTCGTTTTTGCAGTTTATTAATTTATTTCCACCCAACGACTGTGCAGGGCTGCGTTGCCTAAAAGTGGATTTGTCTGTACAAATTCTTGTGTGCAATTGTCGGGTGCAAATGTGCATTCTTAATGGGTAGGCTCAGAGTATTGACAACAAGCTATTGGCAAAGGTTTCAGGTGGTAATGGCATTGACTGCAGTGCACTTGACTTGTCCGTTATACGTTATCACAACGGACCTCCATCCAACTTCTTCCCAGCCAGTTGTTTTCAGGTGCCCTGCTGTTTTCAGGACAACATGGCAGTTCCTAGAAGGATGCACAATTACACACCGCGCAACTGCTGCTGCCATTTCCTTGCAAAACAAAATGTCTCCAAATCTTGCGGGCAACCACCACCAACAAGTAATCACTTATCAGCTATATTATTACGCAGCTGCCTCAGGACATTATACGATAGGTGGCGCACAAAATGTGCCTGCGAACTGCGTGAAGTCGGTACGAATTCTGCCGTCGTTACAGATTCTTTTCGCAAATTAAGTCTTGCAACTGTAGCAGGTCGCGGCTGCTTGCGACAGACGATGTTGGGGGCATTGCAGACCACAACCAGGGTAGCCATTCCTCTATTATTCCTATGATTCCAACTTGCAGTGCGCGCCGCTGTTCTATCCGCGAGGACACGACCAGTCGTTCATTTGGATGTGGCCACCTCATGCACGCAACTAGTAGTAGACTTATTTATATTATTCCATGGCCAAAATATCAATTACTCGGGTCGAGAAGCGGGAAGTAGTGCTCTTGCATACGAGCTGGTTCCTGCCGGGTCTTGCGCAAGCAGGGTGTCAGCTTCGGCGAAGCTGGAAAATGTGCAAATCAAACTAAAGTCACTATGCCTGTTCGCTGACCATGGCGGCCGAATGGACCCCCAAGCATTATAATTCGTACCAACGGATGGGCCAGAGCATGGCCTAGCGCAGTGTTGACTTGCGCGGGCGGAGACGAAAGGACGCCAAAGAGTTTTAGCGGCGCATACGGGCAATCCGGGGATGCTCCGGCGCACTTCAGCAGTTTCGCGGCGTCCTTCAGCCGCCGCCAAGAGCTTTTCAAATAGTCACATCCAATTAAAGAATGAGGTTTCGATGGGTAGAGGATATAGAATCACCGATGCTCCCTGCACCCGAAGGTGAAGCCAGCAATGGCCCGCAGGACTCCTAGGCGGCGCCTAAGGCGTTGTTCTCTGGAAGCAACAAGGCACAAGCCCTGTTTTATCAATGTCAGCTAAACATTTTGCGCTCATTTATTTAGGAGAGCATTGAGAGGGTCCAAAGTACGTTGGCCGTGACGTAGATTTCCGTTACGCTGACTGAAGTCGAAGTGAGGAAGAGCAGGAAATGCGATCGGCAGCTCTTCCTCACTTTCCGTCTTAGTAATGCCGCTCTCACCGACTGAAGACCCTCCGAAGCTTAACACGCTGAGAACTGTAGACGATACAGTAACTGTAAAGCGCGGTTCGGTGCCAAAGGAAGGCTGGTCCTCCGCCAGCTCAGCTGGACCGCAGATGTCATCATGCCCATCTCTATAAGCGGCTGCTTCTTCGGGCCCTGCGCCTGCGCGTTCGCTTGCGGGACAATGGTGAGTTGCGGCGCACCTCCTCCATCCACATACATCAAGCCAATCCAGGAGAACCTCTAGCAGTGCGCGATACATCAACTCTGACGCAGCCAAGCAGGAAGGCGCTTCATCTGTGACGCCTCAAAGACGACTGAAACGGCTCGCGTTACGAAACCTGTACATAGTGATTCCCACCTGGCCGCAGAGACACCCGAGACACCCGCGGCCACCGGGCTCTGGATTATCCAAAGACGGTAGTGACCCATGGGTCACCCGAGCATGATTGCCCGCGGTCGTACAACCACTACATGCCGCCCATGCCGTACCTCTCCACTTATGCCCCCAGACGCCAGAACGCACTAGCCGGCCCGGGTTGCAACGGATTGACAGGGGCGGCCTGACACCGCGTCAGTACCGCACCTGCAAAGCATCTTATGCAACCCACATCGCATCGCCCGGGGCGTGGGACAATTTGCTCCTCGGCGCATTGCCACAATTCGGCCACATGCACTCTCACCTGCCTTCAAACCTCTTACCGCTTATCTGATCCAACATGCACCTTTCCGCCAGCTGTCCTACGCTAGGATGCCACCGCTATTTGGTTACTGCTAGGGATGCGGACCCCACCCTTAAACCGGATGTCCCGAATGCGTTTGTGTGATGGAAAGGGCGAAGAAAGGGCGGTAAAGGTCATTAGTTGCCGGATCCGCCACAGCGAAGGTAGTTAAGATCCAGAAGTCGCAAAAAAGCGCAACCCCAATTGTCTGAAAGCTGTCCCCTCCATCCGCCTATTTCCTGCTGCTCGTCCGCACCGGTCTTTCGCTCTCCATTTCTATTTATATATTTTTCCCTCCGCCAGACTCGGCGACGACTAGTTTTCGTCCGCCCTTCGCCGGCAAAGGTCCCGGTTGTGACAAATGTGTTCGTCCTCTGCTTCCTCTGCTCCCCAATCGCCTCCTACTGTCCGCTCGACGGCTCGGTTGGAAAAGCAAAAGAGTTTGAAGTTGTGCAGGGTTATCAATCTTCCGCCTTCCGCTCTTCGCCACCTTAGATGGTTCGTTATGATTCCATCATTAGTCTCTTTAGGTTCGTTTGTTCTCTGTGCTCTCGCACCGTACCCTGACGCCTGTTTCGCCGTCCGGCCCTCTGATTGCGGTCCTCTGACCTCGCACTCGCCGCACAGCTTCAAGACCCGCGGCCTTATTTAGAAGACTTCCAGGTCGTGGCGGAGACCACCCGCGCAGCCGTCCAGCAGGTGTCGGCCTCGGCCCCTGCGGTAGCGCACGGCGCGGTCCGCGCGTCGCGGCTGGGCGCCAAAGCCGCCCGCCGGACCCGCTGGCTGTGGAAACCGACTCTATGGGTTATGAAGCCGCTGCAGCACGCTGCGGCACGGCGGCTGCTCGGAGAGCCGGAACAGGTGGGAGCGCGTGTGGGAAGTACGCGTCACGCCTGCGCTGTGGCTTTCGGCGCGTTGTTGTCCGTTGGAAGGGGTGTAGGGCCACAACAGGGACATGGCCTAGGATTGTTATGTCACGAAGGACCGTACCTTGCCAGTGAGCCAACACACCCACGCGCACACGCGTCCCCGGAGCCAGCTGCTGAGCATCATCGCATGACGCCTCTGTGAGGCATGGCGCTGTGGTGGCCACATTGCGCTTCTTTCATAATTGAAGCCCAGGTAAGGCACTCCACTAGATGCTGTCCCCCTTGCCTGGCTGGCATTCCGGATAGGGCGGCTCTGACGCAGCGAGTACTACAACCGCTGGCGGTGGCGGCCTAGGCGGCAGCCCCGTGGTGCTTGCTGCGGAGGGACTGGCTCAAGCGGTGCAACCGCTGCTGACGTCACACCATGGGTCGGTGGCGCTAGGGGGTGGTACCGGCAGCAGCAGCAACAACAACGGCGGCTGTGGCGGGCCGCCTGGCACAGAACACCGAAACCGGCGGGGCTATCGCAGCGACCCGGACGAGCCCCAGCCGGTGCTGAAGACGCCATCGACCTTGGCGCCAGCGGGAGCTCCGGATGCAGCTGAAATGGGCGGTGGAGGCGGAGGAGGGGGTGGCGCCATCGCCGCCGCCGCCGCGGGCACCGCAGCGGCGCTGTCCAGCGGCGTCAAGCGCGCGGTGAAGGCAGGGGTGCATGCGGGTCAGAGCCTGAGGCAGCAGCTGCGACCGGGCTGGGATGAGCGCCGGGGGCATGGAGAGGGTGAGAGAGACTTGGAGCAGGGGATTGGGAGCTGCGGCGACGGCGGCGGCGAGGGGACGGGTGGGGCCATGGCGGCCCGTGGGCCCGTGTTCGAGGGGCTCAGGCGGGAGGTGCAGTCCGCGATGCGGGGCGGCGGAGATCGTTAGCACGAGCAGATGAAAGGAGTTGGGATGATGCAGTCCAGCTTAGGATTTTCCTGGTGCTGTTAGGTTGCGGCTTTTAGTGCAGGAGCGTAACGTGCTTTGCCACATGTCCATTATCGACACGGCAGCACCCTAATTTGTTCGAGCGCAGTTGCAGGACTCATCCATTCCTAGTTGAAGAGGCGAGGCATGGCAAAACGCGGATCACTGTCACATCGGCGTATATTGCACAAAGTTAAGAATTCGTCGCAAAGGTGGGCTACACAGCAAGACAGTCCTTGGCGGTCACAGCCGACGTTGTCGATTCGGATCTCCACATTCTGGCCGTCTCCTGACCTGATCTGATTCAGGTGGCAATTGGCGGTGCAGGTCCGTGCAGCTGCTTAAGTGTCTACTACGCGCCTTGACGCGCCGCGTACGAGTGCCGTATGACAGGTTGACTGCTTCTGGGCCTTATTGCTTTCCTTACAGCGTTGTCCCTGGCGTTCGCACCCGGCTGGTAGACGGAAACCGGGCGAATTGCTAGTGCATCAATGGCGGCAGCTAGTGACCAGGTGCTCTGATGTGGCCTGCAGTCAATAGTGACGCGGTACTCATACGTTTTGGGAGAGGCTAGAAGGTGCTGGGCGTGCTGGAAAGCGAGTTGCAAGGGCCATAAAGGAGGGGAAACGCGGGGTCGCCTCGCGAACGTGTGTCTCCAAAGTGTATGCATCCGACTGTGGGTCGAGGACAACGGCGTATCAAGGATTCCACATCTCCAGCGCCGACAGTAGCTGCAGCAGTCTCCTTCCATGCAAAGGTACCGGTTAACCAGCCCGCACCGAAACCACACACTCCCAAATCACTACCTCTATGCCACAGGGTTTGGACTCTTCCCGCATAGGCAAAGGTCCGCGACCCGATCATCGTCTGGTATGTCGTAGAGGGGGAAATGCTGCCGCGCGCCATATGCAACATATAACTCGCGCAGCCACAGTTAGGATGGGTGAACGGCCTTTTCGGTTTATATATAATGACTTCAGTGTGTGTTCGGACGGTGCAAGGTGCAGCAACCACAGCCCGAAACTCGAATCCTTGTATACGCAATCAGCGAAAGGCTGCACCGCAGTGCGAGTCAGGTTCCTTACCCGTCAGGTCGGGTCGTGTCACTCATGTCTTATGATATAGTCAGGTCCAAGAGACTTCTCGGCACTGTTGAAGGTAAACTTAAGTGTCACGCAACCTGCACGCACTGTCACTTGGAGAGGTCCATAACCGCAAACCAAGCGTCCAGTACAGTTCCCCTGGGACGGTCAGCATGGCCCCTCAAACCCCGACCAGAAAACACGGAGAAATATGGCAACCAAACCGTGCGTTTCGGCGCATCCGCTTTATCATCAGCGGCGAATGCACGCTGTCCCGACGCCCGCATTACCCGCATTACCCCCGATACACAAGGCATGCGCGTACAGCGATACCTTCTCAACAATGCACAGACACACACACACGTACACGCACGCGCGCACATACACATACATATACGAGCGCGCTAATGTCATTCCTGTTCACAAACATACCGCGCTTGACAGTCAACAGTTCTGCAAATCTCCTGCAAGCCCCTCCCCCTACTGTTTGGCATTACAATATCGGCTCGCCCTTCTTCCTGTTTTTATCCTTGGCTTCTTCACAGTCAGGCGTCACTCGTCTTCCCACCACGTTTTAACAGCCGCATCCCCAGCAGCCGTGTACCTCCAACCGCCAACCAGCTACCCAACAGCTACATTCGGCAACCTCCTAGCAAAGCACGATTGTAACAAAACTCCGGCACAGCACCTACGTTGCCACCGCCCGCCTCAACTCCTTTAGTCCCGCTCTTATCAAAATGCGCTCCGACGCACATCTGCTCACAAAGCAGCAACCCCCGCTGCACAGTCTATGCCCCCGTCTGCCCTCCTTGACCCCTTCCTAACACCTGCACGCCATGCATGGGTCCACTCTCACACGCCTTACGTGGCCAGCGACAGCAGCAGTGCGGTTCCGCGCATGATCCAGTGGTCGGGGTCTGCAGCTCCAGAGCGCAGGTCCACGTTGATCATGAAGGACGGTCGCTCACGTGTGCCGGTGCGGACGGGGTAGAGGTACAGCGGGCAGACGTAGATGCCCTTGGCGGTGCGCTTCTTGTTCTCGACGGGCCGGAACAGCAGAATGGGCATCGGCACGATGAGTTCCATGGGGTTGGGCTCACACAGGCAGCCGTTCTCGAAGTCCCAGCCAGCGCCTGTGAGCACGTGGGCAGAGCAGCACGGGGAGTTGCGGGAGAACAGAGATGAGAGGGGCTACACGGGGCCAGTTCCAGCTTTAAAGATCTCCCGAGCATGCATTCGCTCAACCACAACGCATACATGGGCCTACACGTCCACACCCATCATCCCCACCCACGCAAACCCAAACACACACCAGCACGGGGCTACACCCAGTTCAGGCAGGGCCCGCACAGCACCCCTCCCCGCGCTGCCGCATTGGTATTTCCCATCTCCTCTGCCCTGCTCGTCCTCTGTCCTCCTCCTCCTTCCCCCTGTTCCCCCATTCACCTTCCAGGAACAGCCCCTTGATGTAGACGCCCTCCTTCGGCGGCGCCGTGATCTCCCGTTCGTCCAGGTTGATAATGCTGAACTCGAAGGACAGCGTGTCGATGGGCACCGACGACTTGCGCGCCGTGGTCTGCAGCACCGCCGTCAGGAAACCAGTGGGGTACGTGAAGCCCGACAGCCAGTACACACGCGGGTAGGTCTCCTCAACCCAGGTCGCCAGCTGCTCGATGCGCTGCAGCAGGTCGCGGGTCCAGGGACCCAGCGGCTTGAGGCTGGGGTACGTCTTGAGCCACGCGGACGGTACCTTGGCGTTGTACAGCGCGTCAAAGATGAGGTCCAGGTCGGCCGACATGACCACCAGGCCCTTGATGCCCCGCTGCAGCTCCACACAGGAACGCCGCACGGACACCAGCAGCGAGTTGTAACGCTCCACCTCCTGCGAAAAGTAAGGAGGAAGAAAGGTGAGCGAAGGGGTAGTTCAAATGAGGAGAACAAGGGGAAGGTTAATCATGGGAAACAGGGCCTTAAAACCTTAGAGTTTCAAGCTGAGAGACACACATGCATTTGGGATGCGGAGTTGGTCTGGGTGACAACATGTTGACGAGCTTAAGTTGGTGTCTATGCTAGGTGCTTGTTTGCCCACTTCCAACGAAGTGGAAGAATTCTCATCCACCCCTCCCGTCGGAGCCGCCGGATCCCACGACCCCACCTGGAACAGCACAACATGCAGCGCCGAGGGGTCGTCCGCCTTGGCCTTCATGACCTCTTCCAGGTTAAATGGCTGAGGTACCTGGTCCAATAGGTCAGTGGCGATGGCCATCACCACGTCCTCACGCCTCCCAGCGCCACCACCGCCGCCGCCGCCACTGCCCTCCGTGCGAGGCTGTAGGCTCAGCAGGCTGTCCAGCAATACCTGCGCAATGCCATTAATGGGAAGTATTCAGGGCGAAAATAGTAATTCGGCGCAGCCTAGTTTGTGCGCGGCACGGGGTTCGAAGGAGCGTATGGGGAAAGCTAGTGGTGCAAACGTGGACAGTGGTACCAGCGGGGGGCAGGAGCCGCAACATTACGAAGGTGCAGTTGGGGCGGCAGACAACGAGCCCCGACCCAACAGCATGCGGTGGGCGACGCTTTGTAAAACCCAACGCCCTGTCGCTCGGCTCAGCCCTGTATCCCTGGAGAGGAGGGTGCAGGAACTTCTCCTTCCCGGCGCCCTCTCTCTTCCAGTCTTAGGCCCCAACTCTCTACCTTGCTGTCCTCAATGAGGTAGCTGATTTCGGCGTTGGAATGCTGCCCGAAGGCCTCGGGGCGGTCGCTGGCTGGCAGCGTGAGGATGTAGTCCCGGAAGCTGGACAGCGGGCCGTTGTCGGGCACGTAGTATGTGGGCAATGGCGACAGCAGGTAGCCGGGCACCGACAGCGCGTCCTCGCAATAGAACTTGTTCAGGTAGGAGGCCAACACACGGCGGTCCAGCTCGTCCGTCACACGGCCACCATAGTTGGCCTCTAGGGGGCCGGAGGGCGGAAGGCGGAGGAGGGCAGGTTCAGGTAAGTGCCGCAACAAAGACACGGATGCTCGCAGCGACCTATTTGCGTCTGTCATCGCTATCCAACTTCGCAGCTCAGTTCCATGAACCAAATACCCGCACACACACACGCAGCCCCGCCCGCCCACCCACCCGCGATAAGGTACTTGAGCGCGTCCCATGGCGTGTTTTCATACGAGTCCAAATAGCTCTTGAGCAGGTCATCAGAGACCGAGAAGTCCGTGTCATTAAAATCGTACGGAATGTTAAAGCCCAATGTTCGGAACTTCCGTCGCTCAAGCAGGACGCTGTGGAAGTACGTCAGCGCAAACAGCAGCTTCTGGTACTTTATTTGCGCTTTGCACTGGGCGTACGACGCTTCGCTGACGCTGTTGTACAGACGCAGCAGGTTGGCTCTCAACCCCTTGGGTGGCTCGGTGGTCATTTTAAGGCCACGCTGCAGGATGGCGATGGGGAAGGCGGGCGAGGGGTTGGATGACAGCCACAGCCTGAAGTTCTCGTGCGGCTGCTTGGTCTCGAAGGACTCAATGATCTTATCCAGTGTGGGCAGCCAAGAGGTCATGAGGTGGCAGTTGGCCAGGAACACCCAGTTGCCCTCGCGCAAGCCGTCCTCGATCAACCGTGTGGCAGTGGGCGCCTGGCCCTGGCCCAGAGCCACTGTAAAGAACCTGAAAACATGGAGGACAGTAAAAAGGTAAGAGAGGAAAATAGTGGGAAGGGTGAGCACCAAGGTAGTACTACCCGTTGTGTCCCCGTATCAGTGGCCGGCCAATCTTCCTTTGGTGCTACTGCCCTGCCTCCACTCCTCCTGACTGTTCACTGAAAGCCGTTCTACTACCGCCTCATAAACTTCTTCCCAGGTCCAATGCTTTCTCCCTTAGATGCCTTCTCCCCGATACTCCACACACGGCGAGACCACCGTAGCCTCTCCTGGAGCCGTTCAAATACCACCACCACCCTGCCTATAAAGCCCACCGTACCTGCTCGCCATGCCCTTCTCCGCGGCCAGCTTTCGCAGGTTGTCCGTGGGGTCCACACCCGCGCTGAGGACAAAGATGAGCGGCGACATCGCCGTGGAGTCCTTGAGCGTCTCACCCAGGTCCAGCACAGGCGGCTCCACGTACTTCCTGCCCAGCGCGTTGGATACGTAGGTGGTGGCGGCGAAGATGACGCGATCAGGTCGCAGGCAGCGCACCAGGATGAGCCGCTGCAGCTCGTTGCACTTGGACTCCCACTCCGCCGGCAGCTCCGAGGACTCGGGCTCGCCGCGGCGATACCACTGCTCCCACTCGCCAAGGTTGGACTCGAAGGAGGCGGTAATGCCCTGAAGGTAGTGGGAGAACAAGAGGGACACGGAAAAGCGACAGAGGAGGACGGAGAGATGACCGATCATGGCAGCTCTGGATTAAATGAACAGCAGAATTATCGCAGCACTGAACACGAGGAGGGTAACTAACCCACATCGCGCGGGCGGTGCGATGCTCACACCAATCCACCTCCGCACCCAAATACTGTGCCTTCCAACTCCTCGGTCCCCCCTCCTCCCCCCCTGTCTCCCCGCCCTTCGCCGGCTTCCACACACCCAGAACCAGAGCCCCACCTTGAAGTTGGGCAGGGCGTCCAGCTCCGTTACGTTATCCCAAGCCTCCTCGCTGATCCACTCCGGTGCTGGGTTTGTGGGCTGCTGTGAGCGATCCAGCACGGTGCCGCCCCGAAGGAAGAACTGCCACTCCTCCATGTTGACCTGGTTGGCGGTCTGCAGGATGCGCACGCACATCTGCAGCGATAGCAGCAGCTTGTGCCGCTCGAACAGACCACGTGCGGTGTACTTGTACACGCCGTAGGTGTGGTAGTCGTTGAGCGACTTGATGCGTTCCGCCAGTACGTCGTTCTTGGGTGAGTTGCGGATGGAGATGAGGAAGAGGTCATTGTAGGCATCCAGCGAGAACTGATACATTGGGTCGATGGTGGACAGGTCGTTGAGGACGAAGTACAGCACGGATGCACGCACGGAGCAGGGCCGGTACAGCTGGCTGGCGGCCTCGATCTTCTTCTGGGTCTCCTCGGCGACCTAGGGAGGGAAGTGCAGGGAAAGGGAAGGGTGGGCACAAGCAGTGACTCCAGGGAGGGCTAATGAAGGGCCGGGCAAGGACGGACTGCAGAAATGGGGGAAACAGGGCCAGAAGCTTCTAGCGATAGGCCAGAAACGCGATTCAACCTTAAAAATGATACAACGGTGCGGTCCGTCAACGGTAAGCCCAACGCTAGCTTAAGCACAGCTCGACCAACACGAACCCGTGTCGAATGACTTTGCCCGAAAGTACCGTACACACGGCAAACAGACAGACAGACAGAGCGACAGAAAGACATAGTCCACACCTGCAGCGACGCGTTGACCTCCTCCCATGTGGTCTTGGACTGGTCCAGTGTGTTGATGAGCGTCACGTTGTCCAGCAGCGATCCAGTGGCGGTAGACAGCAGGTGCAGGATAGTGTCCTCCAACTCCGCCTGGGTGCGCTTGCCCGCAGCCACTTTGACCACCTGCAGAGACATGGGATGATGGGGTGACGGGGTGATGCTGTGACGAAAGAGGCAGGTAAGAGGGTTTAGACCCAGCCAAGCCCATCAATCCTATTCACCTTCCACCTTTCCCCACACATCTCCCCCATTCCTGGCCTCCCCACGCTACGACGCACCAGGTCGTTCTTCTGCTTGTCCAGGTCTGGTCGCTCGTTCTTGACGACCGTAGCCAGCAGCTGCGCCTCCAGGCCCTGCTCCTTGACGGCAAAGTTGACAATCATGACCTTGGTGGAAATCTCGGGTGTATACAGCGGGTTGGCCAGCTTGGTGGTCAGGTACAGCCGGAAGTCAAAGTTGTAGTCCACCTCTTTGTCGCCCAGTTTAATAAGCGTCTGGTTACCGCGCTTGATGAAGGCCTTGGCCAATATGGGCTCCAGGATGGGGTCAATTTCCTGCAGGACGTCCTGCATCAACACCGGCTGACCGAACTGGATAGCGTTTTCCACCTGCCGCGCCATGTCGGACATCTGCAGGTTCAGCACCTTGAGCCGCCCACTGCGGCCCTCCATGTTCTTGATCCACTTGTTGGCCTGACCCTGTGGTGGAAGGATAAGGCGGGACATGGAAACAGAGGCGCAGGCACAGGCAGAGGCGGGGACGGAGAGGTAGACGGGGTCTGGCTTCATCACATACGCGCACCTCCCAAGCAGGCAAGTCAAAGTGCCGCATAGCCGAAGCACCACAACTCCATCGCTATCCAAAGCATAGACAGTAGTTACCAAAAACGCATATTTCCAATCCTTCGCATTGCGCTTCTGCCGATGCACAGCGCGTGATTACCAACCCCACCCCACCCCAAGCCCACCCCAAGCCCACCAGCCTTCGTTTCCCGTGTCCCGCACCTGCGGATCAATCATTAGCGGCCATCGCCGGCCTCGGGTGACCATGACACCGTTTTCCGTAGAGAACGAATCTGAGGGCAGACCCTGGATGTTCCAGTCGCGCACTAGCGCTGGGTTGGCCAGGAACAGGGCAAAGTCAAAGTGCTCCGAAGCGGGGATGCTCAGCGCCTTGACCTGCGGAAGCCATGTGTGCTTCACCAGCTCGTCGCGGTACTCGGAAGGAAAGGGCCCGGCGTAGCTCATGAAGGCCGCCGCCACCACCACGTCGCCAGGCAGGTACGACATCGATTGCTCGTACTCGGCAATGGTAGCTTCCCACCGGACGCGCTCGCCTACACAAAATAGGAGGGGAGGGAGTTAGCTCTTACCGGACTCGGTGAGTTGCTTTTGAGGACACGAGGCAGCGGATGCGGGTCATAACGAAGTGCAATGGGTTTTGTTGAACTGGCCGTAATCTGCGGTGCCAGGCAGTTCAAGCTATGCGGGAGAGAAGTGAAGCAAGAGGAGCTCACCCGCAAGTCCCGTCACCAGCTTCTCCGCACGCTCCAGCTTGCCCTCCAGGTCCGCCAGCTCCTCCTCAAGGGCTTGCTTGCGGCTGATAGACTCATCGTATCTGTACACAGGCGAAGGAGAAAGGCACACCACCAGGGTCCCCTCAGCATCCTCTTCAGAGCCCATCGAATGCTGGCGCAAGGTGCTCACCAGGCACATTGCAACGCGCTTCTAGGGAAGCTTCTGCTAAGCCGCATCCAAGGCCCGCGCACGCATACCCTCCGCCCCACGGTTACTGGCATCCAAATGTTAGGGGAGGATAGGAAACGAGCACGGACCACGCCCAGATACGGTTTCAGGTCACTTGCAGTAACACACGGCTAGGAAACTGCATGCTGGACACTGAGCATCTCACGCACCATCCCTAAGCCATGCCCGCTGCCCCACAACATTCCAGACCACAGGATCACACCGCCCGCCTTCCCCCTTCTCTCCCGCACTTGCAAGCGTCGCTCGCCTCTCACCTGTTCTTGAGCGCCTGCACCTTGGCCAGCACAACCGCAAGCTGCTCTTGCGCCAGCGCCAGCGCGGCCTGCTTCTTAGCCAGGTTGTCCTGCGCTGCCTTGAGCTTGGCGCGTTTGGGCGCCACATCCTTGGCCACGTAGCCGTATGTCTCCATGGCGTGCACCCACTTGCACATGCCGCTGGCGGCAGCTGATACACTGTTGATCTTGTCGGCGGTGAAGTCGGGGGAGGCGGTGAACTTCCCAATCTGGGGTTGGATAAGGGCAGATGGGACTTGAGCGGTGCGAACGTTTCACTATGTAGGTGACGAAGCGAGTATAAGGAAGGGTGGACCTGTAGGCCACAGGAGAGGATTACGGCGCTCCCAAGTCATTTGTCTTTGCAAGGCAGGCTAGACAGCCGTTTCCCACCATCCCCGCAACAGCGCTATAGGCCCCTCCCCGCTCCCCACCTTCTTCAGCAGCGAGTCGTCCAATTTGTCCTTGTCGAACTCCTTGAGGCTCTGCATGAAGTTGGCGTCCGCCAGCCGCTTCTTGGCTTCCTCCCAGTTGGGTGGACGGCGGAGCACTGCGTAAAGCGGGGACGGCATTTACCGGGTGTGGGCCCGATGACAGGCTAGGCGAAGTGTGCCAGTCAGGGCTGGGGGCTGGTGGATGCCTGGGCTGCGGTAATGACGAGTATGGGTGTAAAGGGTGTAAATCCTGGAATGACCACCGAGGTCGCAGCGCGGCTGCCCGACACCTTTAGCTTTCCCCACGTACCTGTGAGCACCGCATTCAGTGTGAACTCCACTAGTGCCGGCGGCTTGGCGTACGCCTTGAGCTCCGACATGTCCTTCTTGGTCAGCACATCCAGCGCAGCCTCTGCTTCTCGCAGCGCCGGCAGCGCCTTATCCAGCTCCACCTGCACCTGCGCCGCGATGGCGTTGGCCTCCTCCGCCTCCTTGCCAATCTTCTGGGCTTCAGCGTTCACCTGGGGGATTACGAGCACAGGGGTTCAGGGCGAGACGGAAAAGCATGAGGACACCGCGTCGCCAGGAGTTAATGGGGCTGCAGGTGCTATAGTTCCCGAGGCTGCTGCTGGGTAATGCATCGGAGGGCTCGCTGCTTGGAAAGCGAACATGGCATTCCATTCCTGGCACTCGACCACTCCTTAAACCGATACCCTCAGCTCCTCTCAACTTTCAATCATGGTCAATTTTATTGCCCAGCCTTTCGCGCCCTGGCATCCACCTCACCTGCTTCTCTTGCTCGTCAGCCACTCGCTTGTCCTGCACAATCTCCACCAGCAGCTCCTCGCAGTCCGCCTTGGCCTGCGCCACCACCACTTTCTTTTCCTCCGCTACCTTCTTCATGGCAGCCACCTGCACGCTCGTTTCATCCAGTTTCTGCAGGCCGCCCTGCAGCTTGGCCGCCTTCTCGCCCAGCTCCCGCCGCTTCTCGCCCAGCAGGTCCTTGTAGCCGCGCACCGTCTCCAGGTAGTTGGTGGGGGTTACATAATTGCGGCGCTTGAGCGCCTGGAACATCTTAGTGCTGGTGGCTTCCACGGACTGGTGTGCGGTCACAAACACCTGCGAGGTAGGATAGGAAAAAGGGAGGACGAATGTATCAGGAAACCTCGAAGGCGCCATATGACGCATGTAGACAGCCAGGGCGGGGCGGCACAAGTCAGGGGTTGAGACGTGCGTGAGGGGCGGGTGATGTCCAGAAGGCAAAAGAAAAGACGTAAAGGCCCTGTAGACCCTCACAATCAACTGTCCCATAGCTGCGCATGGTGTGGCCCCGACCTTCCTGACCGCGGCTCTGGTGTTTCGTGGATAATCAACCCCTCCACGGGCGGCCCGACCCTGCTCCCACGCCATCCACCCAACCCCTCCCCAACCACCGCCATACCTTGCAGACCGCAGTCTTCACATCCGCGCTTCCCAGGTCCACGTCTCCCAGCTGCTTCTGTGCCACCTCGAACAGCGCATCCGCCGGCCACTCGGTGAACCAGTCGATGGTGGTGCAGTTGACCAGGCCGGGGAACATGCGGCAGCGCTCTCGGAAGGCCTCGCCCACGGGACTCAGGCACAGGACCACGTGCAGGTTGGTGCGCACGCGTTCCAGCAGGTAAGCGTACAGCGCATCCGAGGTCTCGCCCGCGCCGGCGGCCTTGGCGGCTGGGCGAAGCTCGTCAAGCACACCGGACAGCTCGTCCTGCGGGTCGAGGAGGTAGCAGGTGAGGAAAAGAAAGATGCAGCGTGAGATTTCGCCAGATGGGACGTCATGGAGGGTTGTATGCAGGCGGCCGGTACGATGGTGTGAAATGCAGAGCTACGCTGGCCAGGCTTCAGGACAGGGACGAGCAGCTTGCGCCGCCGCATGACGGGGTGCGGCTAATCAACGGGCCTTAAATCAGAGTCGGCAATCGCCGGCCGCGGTAGTTGCTGTCCCATGTCGGAGAGCTGGCGGTCCCCTAGACCCAACATGTGGGGCGGACAGCTCTTACTTCACAAGCCGCGTTGAACCCCGACAATGAGAATTATAAAGCCCTGCACTGCTTTACCTTGGGGAACAGGTTGGGCACCTCTCCACTGGTCAGGATGTTGTTCACGTCTTCCAGGAACGTCTCGTACACGATCTGCGGACATCCGGGATCGTTAGTGGAAAATGACGGGGGAAATCTAAGAAGCTTAGGGGGCCATGATCCCAGGAACAGGCAGCGGCAGCTTCGGGTGTGGCAAGGGCTGCGGCGGTGCACGACAGCACCCGAGACACCCATCTCCATAATGCTGCTGCCTTGCAATTTGTATTTCGCAACACGCCGCGGCGCTCACCCGGCTAGGAGGCCATGCGCTCCCTTTCACACCCTCACGCACACAACCTTCCTCAATCCATTACCAAGCCACCATCGAGAACCAGCACCCATGTCTACGCAAACACGTACCTGTGTCTCGTCGAACAGGAACACGGTGGGCTTGTTGGCACAGCCCGCCTGGCGATACAACCCCTTGAGGTCCTCACGGAATTCAGTCTGCAAGTCGAGGTGGGTACAAGCGGCAGAGAAAGCTTTATTTGTCAACAGATAAAGAACGCGCGTAACCAGGATTAGGACGCTATGGCCTAAATGTGCACGAATGCACAAGGCTCTCAAAATCCAGTTTTTCAGCTTGCGTAATCCGCGTTTCAAATTGCTAGAGCATCCGCCCCTTACGCCTCACCACTGCGTACATTTCGTGACAGCGGGTCCTACACCCTGTTGGATGAACCCTGAAAAATCCATCCACGCACTTTACCCCATACTCCCCAATCCACCAAGGAAGGGCCGTAATGGAATGACCAAAAACTTCAACCTTACCCAGACCACGCCACTCAAACGCACCTGTCGGTAGTTCTTGGTAATCTCAATGGTGAAGCATTTGAGCTCCGCCACGAAGGCTGCCAATCGAGCCAGGCTCTTGCGCCCGCTGCCGCCCACACCCACCAGCAGTGCGTTGCCGCGCGGCTGCATGAGGATGCGGTGGATGCGACACACGTGGTGCAGCGCGTCGCGGAACAGCACTAGGTCCATTGCGCTGTGGCCCGGCTCCAGCGCATAGTCCTCCAGCTTCTCTGTCAACAGGTCCTTCAGCGCCACCATGTCACGGACGAGCTCGTACACGGGCGGGTCAACGTTCTGGCGCATGAAGGTAACGAAGGGAGGGATGGTCTCGCCGTGGGCTTCGAACAGCGTGGGGAAGGACGTGCTGAACATGGTACCCAGCTTCTCGTCCAGCTGGCGCACCAGCCATTCCTTGTCGGCGTGGTCCCACATGCGGTCCGCAATGATGCGCATGCATTCATGGCACCATAGCTGCAGGACCTCCTCCTTGCTGTTGTAAAAGGCTTTGGTGGCCTGCATGAGCCGGGAATGGAAGAGATCGAGGCGGATGGGACACGCAACGAACAGTGAGACGCAACGAAATCGTGCAGTGCAGCGGCATGTTTTGCGGTGCAGCGTAGAAGGCTGTGTTGCAGCTAGGGAGGGGCAGCAGCGTACCCCCTTTCTCCCTTCCCGCGCTCAGCGAGGTGGGTCTTAAAAGCAGGGACGGCACGGAAGCGGATGGGGCGCAGGGTTGGATGCACCAATACCCCTGACACACGTAGCCGGTACCCATGATAGCCCGTTGCGTAAGAGCACAGGGCCCCCACCTCCGCCTTCGTAACCCTTCGCAAATCCCACCTGCATCATGCCCTGGATAATTTTCGCCAGGTCGCGAGTGTTGAAGAGGTAGTGACTCTTGGAGGGCGTCGGCAGCAGCTCCTTGGACACTGCGCGATAGATGCCAATGGTGGCCATCGTAATGGGCTCAGACAGCGGCTTGACTTCGTCATCAAAGTCTACCAGCTTGGCGTTAAGGATGGTACCAAAGATGCGCTTGAGCTGGTTGTCGTTTGGCGCCGTCACGTTGAGCGTGGCGAAGCAAGCCTGCACGCGCTGGCTAAAGGCGTTGCGGCCGCCTGTGGCAAGTTTGATGGGGCGTTGGGGGCCAGGGAGTTTGGTTTAGTCTTCGAGCTTAAGAGAGGCTATGCGGCAGATTCGGGTGGCGTGGCGAGATCGACGGGTTGGATATCACGCCGGCACTTAAAGAATGAATGCTTTTCAATCTGCGTGCAACGGTTAGAGAGCAGAGCATCGGCACTTCTGTCGTCCAACGCCGCTTAGCCAAGCCATTTCCTTGCACACGGAGCCTAGGAGACAGGGTCCATTGCGCGGCCGCGCTACACTCAACGCACCTCCCGGCGGCGCCATGGCAGCTAGGAGCTGCATGTCCTTAATATGTTTCACCTCGCACTTCTGGCGGTCGTACCTGCAGAGGTAGAAGCGGGAGCGGCAGCGTGGGCAGAGGTTATGACCAAGGAAGGAGCTCACAAGCAGTGATTCCCTAGCCGCAACACTGGTTCACAATCTCAGTCGATATCCCCAACTTGGGTCGCCTTAGGTTTGCATTACACAAGTTTGCATTAAGGGTTTATCGTCGCTTTTCGCTGTTGGCCCTCCCGTCGCTGCACAACACAAACAATTGGAACCCTTAACTACAAGTCCCGCCATGCTCCATGCACGCCCGCGTACACGCAAGTGATACAATGGGATATGCCACACGCACGAGGGCTTCACAGCTGTGGCACGCACCAGAATCCATTGTCCACCCAGAGTTTGAGCAGCTCCAGTGGCGGGATGAAGCCGAACTTGGACTTGGCAGGCATGTTGAGGTCGTCGATGAAGCACACAAGGCGCTTGCCGCCGGCTGGCGCGAATACACCCTTGGTGCGCTTCTCCAGCTTGCCCTCGATGGTGTCCTGGATTGGAATGGGCCAGTGGCGTTTGGAAACAACTTGCGAACACATTAAACATACCCGCGTGCCAAGACGTACACATGAGGCGACGCGAGCATTTAGTGGGCAGCTATGCCGTATAGTCTGCTTCAGCTGCTGCAGTCATCCACCCCGACCCCCATCCACCCCGACAAACCCCAACATCACCCGACCCAACCTAGACACCCCTTCACCTGCAGGCTGTTGGAGGAGGTTTGCGCGGAGAAGTTGATGGTGACGTGGCTCATGCGGTCAGATGGCAGCCCCTCCAGCAGCGAGCCCACGATCATGGTCTTGCCCACGCCCACGTTGCCCACGATGAGCGTGTGCTGGGACACGCGCACCAATGCATTGCCCACGAAGCGGTTGCGCACCGTGTCGACGGTGGGCACCAGGATTTTAAAGAACGGCTGGTCCAGGGAAGGCTTAAAAGTGCCGGTCAGCCGGGTCTCCCAGGCCAGCCAGGCCCGGGTCTTGGGGTCTACAAAGTACTCGAACACTGTCTCCGCGCTTGGGTAACTGTGGGCTCAACAAACAAGGGGAAAGATAAGGAAGGGGGAATATGATAACGGAAAAGATTAATGATTGTCACAACATGGGGATGTCATATTCTCGATGGACTGGTGCAGGGGCGGGAGCGGTAACTCGACAACACACCCACCGTGTGTCCATCTCGCGCATGAAGGCATCAAACTTCTTGCGACCATCCTCGTCCAGCGGGCCGCCAATGCCCCAGATTAGGCAAAACAGGAACCACATCTCCACCAGGTTGTTGCCGCTATTGCCGCTGTCGTCTGTGGGCGCTGCACCGTTGGCAGGCGTGGCGGGCGCAGTCCCCTTCGGGCCACCGGGACCTCCCGGGGTTTCCTCCACCGGCATCGTGCCCACACCATTCTCTGGTGTCGCCAGCGCGTCGAAGAGGCGCGTGAAGGCGCGTACACAGGACAGTCGGTCAGTGGGCACCAGCTCTCTGCTTGGCAGCACACGTGGCGGCAGGGACGACAATGGCGGAGGTAGATGTGGTGAGTTGCAGAGGAGATTTTGGGCTCTGGCACTAAAGCCAAACGCCGAGCAGAGCCCGTCCACATCACCCGATACCCCGGCCCCTTTGCATCCCCGCACCGCATATACCCACAACATGAGCACTGGTTCGACCAACACTAAAAGTAAGCTGCCTTCCATCTGCAGCCAGGGCCCCGCCGCGCCGTCGGCTACTTCAAGCGGTCCCCCTAGCAAAGCACGATGCATACCTGCACAGCAGTCGTTTGTGCTCCAGGGCCGCCTCCATGTATTTGTCCACCATCTTGGCCACAGTGTCCAGCACGGCGGGCTCCGCGCCTGGCGCCGCTGCCTTCGCAGCCAGCCAGCTGGTGATGAAGGGCCGCCAGCCCAAGTCCTCCACGTTAAGATAGATCATGCCCGCACGGGACACCGTGGCGGGAGAGGCTTGGGATAGGTCCTCCACCTCAAACAGCAGCGACACACTGGGCGTCATAGCGATGCGCTCGCCTATACATGGAGGGGTGTTGAGGAGGCAGCACCGTCGGAATAGGTTGATGTGGGGTAGGGCTAAGAAACATCAAAAAAACGTATCACGTGAGGGGTACCAGGGCCACGCCTGGGTTAGGTGGCGTTGGGAAAGCATCCACACCCAGAGCACGCCACATGCAGCCACGGCGTCTCAGCAACGCCCCCGGCGTCCCGGTCCGGAGGTCTATCCCTAAACAGAATCCTCCGTCTGAACCATTTCATGTCGAATGCCCACCTGACAGCAGCGTGAGCAGCTTGTTGTCATCCAGTGTGGTATTCATGGACTCGATCCACAGCGTGTCCACAGGGCCATCAAACAGGATCCACTTCTGCTCGGGACTCTCGTCCTTGCACACCGTCCGCATGATGCGCGCCAGCACACCGTCCTGCCACTCGTGTGTCGCCGCCTCGAAACAGCCGTACAGCTCGTCATTGGACAGGGCCAGGGGGTTGATGGTATACACGTGCACCTGGGGTTGGGGGGATTGGGATTGGCAGGAGAGGAGGGCCCATGGGTCATACACGTGTTGAATGCTTTGGAGCCACAGGAAGGCCACGAAGTGCTTCCCGCAGTAAATGCGCCTCCCTCATCAGTTTCTACTATGCTCATACGGTTCCTGAAGCGCAAATACGTGTGTTGAGTCATAGAGCCCTTGCAACGAACCCAGGAGAGGTACCAAACGTAACCACTGACAGAGACAATGCAAAAGCTGTGCAGTACGCTATCATCCGGACGAAGATTATGTGCGTGTTTGTTGTCACAGACAAAGGCCGGCAAGTTTACAAGCCTTTCGGAAGTTTACAAACCTTTTGGAAGCGCTCGTCTTCAGGCTCTTCCTTGCGCAAGCGGCCCAGAGCACGCTGCAGGCACTTCCACGCCTCGCTCTTGCCGGAGCCGGTGCGGCCCACGAGCATGTTGCCGTGCCGCGCCACCTTGCAGTCGAACACCTGGATGATCTTGGTCACGAACTCGGATACGATCTGTGCCGGCCGGAGTGAGACACGCATGGGGGAAACGGCTGAGCGATGAGACACGAGGTGGACAACCACCTGCCATGCCATCCTCTCCATGCACGTGCCGAATCGACGAAGAACGTGGATTTGGTGCAACAATTCTCAGCGGCTATCTTGACGGATACAGCATGAGCAGCACCTGTCCGCACCTGTAGGTTGGCCTCCCGCAGCTCCGTCTCGATGGCGCGACGCAGCGACCCGCCATCTGGCGGCGGCAGCTCCACCCCGGGGAACAGGTCGGACAACAGCGCCATGAACAGCGGTAGGTCCAAGTACACAAGCTTGGGCTTGATGAGGTCCAGCATTGTGCGGTACAGGATCACTTCCTCGCTGCCCTCCGGGTCCAGGCGCTTCAGTGAGCCAGCCGCACGCGCAATGGGAATCACGAACGACCTGCGAAGGCCAGGGCAGATGGCATTGCGTGAGCAAACGATGTATGCATACGCACCCGGAAAGGGGTATCATGAAATATCCTATGAAAGGCGGGGATGTTCCAGGGATGTCAAGGTAACCGCAATTATGTTCCGAAGGGCAGCTGTTCAACCAGCGGCCCCTTATAAGCTTGGGCCTCGCAGCTGTCCTGCGCAAGCGGTTGGACGGTAATTGTGCCACACTCCGTGTACCCACCTCAGGCCATAGTCGTAGTGGTCCTGCTTGGATAGCTGCTGCTGTGACAGCTCCATGATGGCAATCATCTTTTTGGCGAGCACCTTGGCGGACGAGAAGCCCTCACTGAACATCATGATCTCGGCAATCAGCGTGAAGTCGGGAACCATCATGGAGACGGGGCGCAGCATTGCCTACCACGAACAGAAACAAGGTCCGCGCCGTGGTGCATTATCCTTTTTGTCAGCCTTACAGCCCGGGTATGTAATGGGGACCGTTTGCTTTAGGGGCACGTGCAGAAGTACCCAACGCAGGCGGAGCTGCGGCCAACGGCACAAAAGGCCCCACGATGGAGACACACCGAGGCCACTTTATTGTTATAAGGACCGGGAAGTATTTGAGCAGACAGGCAACATACTACTGTCAGCTTAAGCGGACCCAGCCCACCTTGAGGTTATCTGGCAACTCCGAGCGGCCCGCATAGCCTGGGTTCATAGTCACGAAGATACCACACGACGGGTTGAGGCGGATCTCCTGACCCAGGAACAGGAAGCGCTTCTTAGCTTCCTTAATGGCCTGCGAGGAGCAGAAACCAGCAACAGTATGTCAGCTACGGCAATGCCTGCAGCAGCTAGCAGCAGCAAGTCAATCTGGCAATTGTGGTCATTCACGGCTGGCATTGATAATTCGCGACCATCCGTGAGCACCTCGCTTCTTGCAGGCAGAGGACTCGTTGGCCCCACACCAGGCGCCCTACCAGGCGCCCTACCCTATCCCAAGAACCAACTCGGAAGGACGAGGATATGACGGAAACACCACTTTTACGGTGGCGTCATAAGTTTTAGCTTGATTGTGGCCCGCTTTGCGGTTACTCTGCTGCATCTACCATCGAACGTAACCGTTCTCTGTCGCAAGCTCCATGGGTTGCCAACTTACATACCCCACCCCCATGCTTTGGGCCCCTTGCAAAATTCGACCGCGACAGGGACCGGACCATTTTTGGCACGTTGGAGCACGTTGGCATCTATTCAGGCATCACGACTTCTTACGGAACGACATGCTCGCTGGGTTGCACACCTCCTCACCTGCATAACGCAGGCAATCTGGGTGGCAACGACGGACAGCACCTCCACCTCAATACGGTTGAACTCGTCCAGACACGCCCACGCGCCTGTTTGTGCCAGACCACTGAACATCTTGCCCGTCATCTTGTAATCAACGCCGTCAGAGCAGTTGAACACGATGACGTAACGCGCCAGCGCCTTGCCGAAATCCTTGACCGTCTCCGTTTTGCCCGTACCAGCGGGACCCAGCGGATTGCCACCGCGACGGGTAAACATGGCCGCGCCTGCTCGGGACGGTGCTTGTGTTACGTGCTAAGACAAGAAACGGATGAAGTAAACTGACATGCGGAACTGCTCGTGCTCCAGTGTCCACATCTGTGTCCGGATTCAGGTAAACAGGGCCTGCATGCCTGTCGCCGATGGAATAACGGAGCTATTGTTACGCTCCCGCATTTAACGGGGTTCCCTGAAAAGGGTCTCCGGGGGCATCCGTACCTAGTGTCATGTAGCAGCGGTCAGTGAGTGGTGTGATGACCAGGCGACCGTTGTTACCCTGATACTCGTAACCGTAGAAGAAGACCGACAGCACCTGGAGCATACAGAGCGGTGCGAGGGGCAGGGAAAGGCGTACGTTGACAGCAGCCGGGATCATTACACAGAAAGTGGTCGGCCAAAGGCAGAGGTGACGGACGGCACATCTCCCTATCATGCAGGCCACCGATTACCCGTCCTTTTCATGTCAGGTAATGTCCCAAAAACGACTAACCCGCAAGTACCTTTTTTGAAGCAAAAGGTACATGTATGCCTTCGTTCATTACGTGTGCATGTGGCAGAGGGTGTCGCTGGGGTCCTTCGCGGACCAGATGTTCACAAGGGGCCTCCATTTCCCTTCATTCGAGGTTATCTAAGGAGCGTAACACACGGCGCGCAGCGGGCGCCTTCCCTCTCTCCCGGCGCACCTGCTTGACGATGCAGTCGTTCTTCTCGCGGTCCCAGTAGAAGCGCAGCTGGCTGACCCATTCGAAGTCGCTAACGGACGTGCAGTTGGCCTTGCCCAGCTTCTCGATCACGTCGCGCGCATGCACCTCGATGGTGATCAACGCCACCACCTAGCCAGGGAACATCGAGTGGGGTGTTGTGGCATGACGCCCATCGCGAATGGCAACCCAATCGTGATTGAACACCCCAGCCTACACGTATTACCAAGCCCGCTACAGGGGCCAACGTCAAGGTTTTACAGTGCCGTACCCCTGGTTCCACGACCGAAAAAACATAAAGTCAATCGCCCCAGGTGCATGACAGCTATAGCCAACAAATACCATGAGTGTCTTTGATATGTATGCCTGCCACGTAGCCAGATGGGTTCCTACCTTGTTACGCTCAATCTTGTTGAGCTTGGAGCGCGTGACGGTGGTGAGCTTGTTCAGGTAGCTGATCCATTTCTTTTTAAGCAGTTTGAGGTTCTTGCGTGCGCCGTCCTGCTCTGCCAACGCCTTTTCGCACTCATGGGTCCACACGATCTGGCCCGCTGTGATAATCATCTGTCCCTGGTTATCCTTGACCCACTTCTCCTTCTTTTGGACTGTGGGCTCAGGATTTCAGTAGGCAAGGGCAACGGCAGGGAGCGAGGCTCAGCAGGGTGCGCGGTTTCACGCATGGCACGCCACACACGTGCTTTCCATTGTCCACGGCCACCAAGCGGCGGTTTCAGCCAATGCCAACAGTCCCGAAGGGCAGCAAGAGCACGTTTAATCAGGCCTGAGCAGTCCCTGCCTTTTCCCGTCTTCCCTTCGCTCACCTTTCGAGTCCTCCAACACCTTGTACAGGTGCTTCTTGGTGGTGAGGAACATCGCATCCTCTACACGGTTGAGCCACTCCTCCGGCCGTCCCTCCGTCACCACCGGGTTAGCGAAGGGCAGGTATTCGCCATCGGGCGAGGTGATACCCACACTGACCGTCTGCTTGCGATCATCTCCGGGCAAGTGCATGTCCAGTTTCTTAATACCTGTGGGCCCAGGCGCGCACAGTGCATTTGGAACGTTGGTATGCGAAAGGAGAGCCTGCCCGCTTCGGCGGCACCAGCCTGGTGGACAACTCAGAGGATCACACCGCAGAGGGGTGTTGAATCACATCGCCGCTTTGGGGCACAGAAGTAAACCGGCATATCGGGTACGACAGCAAGCGCAGCATTCCCGTGTGCAATAAAAATTTACCTTCAAAGCACTTTTTGAGGTGAGGTTGCACATTGAGCGGGTCCTTGGCCTGGCCCAGAATCTCCAGCAAATCATCCGATGACAGGAAGTAGAAGCGCGGGAACTGCTGGCGCTTGTTCTCCAGGTAATTATCCAGCGACTTCTGGATGCGCTCAAGCTTGTTGTTCATGTCCTGTCAGTGGAAGAGGCACAACCCCAGCGGAAAGCACGTCGAATCCACACACTCGGCGGCTTGCAGACCGCACAGTGTCTTGTGTACAACCGTTCTTCACAGCAAGAGTAATGTCACGTTTTCGCCATTGCTCCCACAGCAGGGTAGGAAAACTCAAGACCTCTTCACACACGCACGGGGGGCAAGCCTCATTAGGGCCCGTAAGCACTCATCTAGATGCGTAGCAAACCATCACCCAAACCCGTAGCCGTGTGCCGAAGCGATCGATTGATCTGCTCCGCGTAACAAACTGCGCCACTTCAGTGCGCGTGGGCGCCAGCCAAGCAAGGGTCGATCCAATGCGCGCGCACGCCGCTGGGTGCAGCCCAGCTTTGCAGATAGCACATGCCGTCCCCACCTGGAAGGACTCCAGCAGCCCTGGCGCCGTGCAAGCCTTCTGGCAGTTGCCGGTGGTATACAGCTGCTTCATGAGCCTCATAAAGGTGTTGTGCACTCCGTCGAACATCTGGCTCTCCTGCGGCAGCTGCTTGCGGATATCCTCCGAGCCAATGAAGATGTTCTCAAGGTACATCCATTGCCGTTGCACCTGTGGGAGGGTGCCAGTGCAGAGGTGCACAGGAAGGGACCGGGGATCAGAAACCGTGTTCGAACATAGACACATGTTTGCTAGTTGCGCTAGCAGCAGCTACCAACATGACAGGGGGGCCCCGGCAAAATAGGTTGTGCCCGCCGTGCTAGCCAGGATGTGCACATGGCAAGGACACGTCCCTTTGTACTTACTGCATTGCCACATCACGGCAGCCGGGTACTGGCCTTGGGGCCCTACGATTCGGCTCACCTGCAGGATGATCTCGATGGTTTCGGAAATATGGCTGAGCGTGCGCTCCCAGAACGCAATGTCCTTTTCAAAGACGATGAAGTACTTGGAGGCTTTCATGGTGGACAACGTGACGGTATTCTCTTCCAAAGAGGAGAAGATCTCTTCCGTACTGCGCAGCTTGTAGGTCGACTTATACTCCGCCATGTCCAGCATGAGCGTAGACCACGTGGAGGCGATGGTCTTAATATTGTTCTCAATCGCCAACTCCTGCAGATCCATCGTCAATGGTGTCAAACGGTTATCCCCTTAACGCCGATCAGAAGAAATGCGAACTTTCCATGCGACGTGCAGGCGTCCTTCCAAACAGCGTGCCTGGCAGAGTGCACGGAAGCGCACAGAAACGGTCATTGCCATGGGAATAGGTTTAACGGCTCGTACCTTGGTGGCGTTGACGCTCAGCTCCGCCACGAAGTCGACATGCTGGTCCAGACGAAGCGCTACGACACTGTCCAGCGTGAAGTTGCGTGAGTGCGGGTCGAACTTGATGCCTATGTGATTCTGCGTTGGCGAGTTATGGGAGAGGATGGAAACGGTGAGATTTTACATGCGGCGCTTTGTTGGAATGGTGCATGGTGTCGCAGGTCAGCCCAGCCAGGCGAGCGCGGCTGGCATGCCATGCCTGACTCCCCTCCTGGCAAAAGGGTAGGCGAGATTAATTGGCAGAAGCTTCAGGCCCGGGCTACATTCCGCACCTGCAGGTCCTCCCAGTGGCGGGGACGCATGGCAGGGTTGCGCAGATCGGTGATGAGCGGCATGGTGCGCTTGAACGCGTCCAGCGTGTCCTTGAGCGCGCTCCACACCGTCCAGTGGCGGATGTCGCGGCCCAGCTTGGCCACGTTCTTGCTGATGCGAATAGCAGCCTCCTCCATCTCGTCCACCTATTGTCCAAGGTCGGGGTCAAGTGCATTACCGTTGGATGCCCGCAAGGCTGTTCCGTCTATATACATGCAGAAGGCCAGTCCATTCCTTTGTTCACCTGAGGTGAGCCTGCATCCCATCGCTGCTACACAAACACAGGAATCCCATGGCACATGCTACGTGCTAACCAATTCCCTGCCTGTCTGCAAACTTCAGGTGGCCATGCCCGACTTCCAAGGTACGCAACGGTGACGTTGCACCGGAGCCATGCGGCCGGAACCCACGGCCCACCTTGATGTCGGCAAATGACCCATCCTTCCAGCCGCCATACAGGTGCTCCCATTCCGCCTTGAGGCCCCAGATCCGATCCAGTAAATCCAGATCCTTTTCCATCGCCGCAAGGTCCTTGTACTGCGGCTGGGGAATATTGAATATGTCCATTCCGCTCTTAATCTCCAGAGCCTGCGAGCAAGGGAAGCCGGAGAGGACATGGCGCGATTGGGCAGGGCTGAGGGGGGAGCTGAAGGCCGGCCAGACTCCGATTTTAAGGGACAACTTCAGCTGAAGTGTTTGGAGCCGTTGAAATCCTTCAAGTTGAAATCCTTCAAGTTGAAATCCTTCAAGTTGAAATCCTTCAAGTTGGACTGGGCAGGGATGGGGTAGGCAAGGCCAGCTCGGCCCGGCTTGCTTAGCAAAGGATTAAGGCAGGGGACATTTTGCTGCATGCAGATGGCCCCCTTAAGGCAACCCCCGACAGAGACCGCGTCCCGCACGCCCGTACCCGCTTGCGCGTGTCCTCCACCGCCTGCTTGGAAGCGCTGACGAACGCCACCGCCTCGCTGGTGGGTACTTCCGAGCTATAGGGTGCATCGCGAGTGAAGTCGTCGCACAGCGACGCCACGTCCTTGAGGAACGAGTCCAACAGGTTCTTGACCTTTTCACGGAAATTGTCCTTGTAGCGCTCCAGCTTCCCAGCGGTCTCATCCAGCAGGGTCTGTGCGTCGAGTTGTGTGATGGCGGGCAAAGTATGGACATACGTCATCGCTTGGTCAACCGGTGCGGCTCAGTAAAGCCGGAAGGAAAAACAGGTACTTCTGGCGACCTACCCTGCCCCTTCGAATGCACCATGGCAGGCTTAACGTTGCTTTAAGCATCGCCACCAAAATGAACTACAATTGTCAATTAAACCAATCTACGAATTATTTGCGCCGGCACACGAATCAGCGTGTCGTTGACGCCCTAACACTGTCCGGTACTGAACATCCGACACAACCCGGCATTGCGTCAATCACGCACCTGGAACGCCGTCCACGCGGGCTCCAGGGCCTCCAGCAGCGCTGCTTCCTCCTCCTTGGCGCCAACCTCGTACCGCTCCAGCAGCTTATACTTATCGCGCAACGGCTCGAAGCGAGCCTCTGTGCGCCGGCGCTCGTCCGCCAGGCGTCGGTGAAGCCCCACCAGCTCCGCAAGCTGCTCCAGGGAGGCGGGTGCCACGCACAGCGCATCGCGGTACTCCCTAAGGGCGGGGAGTTCCGGGATAGGCAAGGAAGTGTCGAAACTGGATAAAGCCAGTAACATAGCAGCAGGATATGCACTTGGGCAGAGATAGGGCCACTATGGCAGGAAGTGCGGCGGCACAATTTACTGGCAGGGGCGGATCGGAGAGAGAGGGAGAGACCGCGGGAAGGAAATCGGCTCTCAAATATCACCCGCGCTCGCTGGCTCAGCATGCCGATCAACACGCCCTGCTTCTCCCCATCCTCAGCTCTTCTCGCACCCCGCACGTGCCCGAATCAGACACGCGGATAAACGTACTTGAAGTAGGCGTGCAGCGCCTTGAGCTCCGTAAACGCTAGCTGGCCCAGCAGCCCTGTAAACTTGGCTACCCAGGCCTCGCAGTGGCCCACAAGAGTCTGCTTTAGTGGGCCGCAGTCAATGCGCAAGAAGCGCATGTTTGTGGCGCCATCCTCGCCGCGGATCTCCTCGATACACTGGGTGGGGAAGAGGACGCCAGAGGCAACGTAGTGAGGTGGTTACTCGGAGGATGCTAACGACAGACCCAACGTAAGTGGAGCGATGGTCACACGAAGGAGCGCGTTCACGCCAAGCGGACGGAATGCCGACAGGCGCGCTTTCTGTGGCCCTGATAAGTGGTGACTTGGCGTCCTTTTTCCCCACTGGGCGGAAGACCATGCAAGCTGACCAGAACAGCAATGTCGCCAAGAGAAATGCACGGCATGGCTGGTGCAACCGGAGCAACATTTTAAGCTCCCCCAATACCCAGGGGTGACTCTATACTCCAGTTCCCCGTGCGCACCTGCAAGTAGCGGGTGATGTCCGCCTCGAATGACGACAGCGGCTTTTGCGCCTTCTCGTAGCGGCGGATGTACGCGTCCCGGTCCGCCTCCCAGACGTGGCGGTACTTCTTCTCCCAGTACGTGAGGAAGGACTGCACCTTATCGATGACGGATGTGATACCTGTCAATGGAAAACACAGGCAAGATGGGCAATGCAATAATGTACAGTTTTTGAAACGACATAAGAGCAATAATCTGTATACTGCGTCCCCTTACCCAGGCCAAGCGTGCGGGCGTGGATGCCATCTGCTCTGGGAGACCCCCTAAGCTGCATCCTAGGCAGGCATGTAAAGAACCCGTATGCTAAAGGCATGCCGTTCTCCAGTTTTCACAGGTTCGCCAGCGCCGCATACGACTATTGGCCTGCGTCATACGAGCGCCCGAGACAGATTGCAGTCCGTGGGTCCATGACAACCCTTTATCCCCAACCCAGGCCACCATCTTTTGGACATACCTGACGTAATCTGCATGATGGTCCGTAGCACCGCGTCTTCGTCCTGGCTGATGGTCTCATACAATGTCGGCAACGGCTTTGGCGGCGCCAACCCAGCTTCCTGGGGGGCAAACAGCTCGCTCGTCAGTTTTACAGCTTGGCCAACCAATCCTTACATACATGCCGCCGCGGCCATAAGTCGAAAGCTTTTTTTGCTTCGACTAGGCCTTACCCCGGCGCTCGTATAATCCAGGCAACACTTTAAGATAACGTAACTGGCAGCAACAGCAACTTCGGCGCCATGGGTTACGAAAGCAACAGGGCCCGGAGCCGGGGCCAAACACGCAGACCCGCACGCACCTCCATGTCCCGCCGCTGTTTGTCTGTCAGCTGCATCGCCACGCGCGGGACGGACTGCAGGACGATGATGAGGTTGCGCGCCACAGAGTTGATGGTGTCAAAGAGCGCCTGGATGGTGGGACGCAACTCCACGCGGTTGGTGCGTTCCAGGACCATGGTGACGTGGAAGATGGGCATCACTTCTGTCTTGTTGTCGCCGTTGAGCAGTCTGCTCAGCTCCTGCAGCGACTTCTTGATGACATGGCGCAGCGCATCCTCCAGCTTTCGGTCCACCTTCTGCGTGAAGCGCACCCACTCGCGCTGTACCTCCTCGCTGTCCTGCTCAAACACTCGGTGGATACTCGCCATGATCTCGCGGATCTCGTCCACGGCCAACACCAGGCGGTCCTTTATCTGCACGGGGCCCGGGGTTGAGTGTGGCAGGGTCAACGGAATGAGTGAGCTGATGTTACCATAGCATGGCGTTTCGCACGGAAATGCTCGGAACGGCGACCCAGGGCCGTCAGTGTATCAAGTCTATCTGCCTCCTTGTTCTCCCTAGGCGGCCTGCATGGCGCCACTTCCTTTGGAGGCACAAACCTCCGAAGACCCGCACCTTGGCGTGGTGCTGCTCCTGTAGGGCGGCAAACTCTGTGTGCTGGTAGATTTTCTTCTTTTCCACATCCACCAAGACCAGTTCGCTGATGGCACGGCAGATAGTGTCCAGCCGCGCATTTGCCGCCTTGTAGTCTCCCACCGCAATGTCTGCGTCGCGGCAGAACCTGCAGGCGAGACCGGAAAGGAACCGAGCTGCTTTGTTAGCGTGGGTATCTTAAAAACGCACAAAGCTGTTAAGGTGCTGTTTTCGTGTACGTTTGCGCCATCACGTCTGAACACACCACTGCTGTGCGACCGGGGGACAAGGTAGTGGGCGGTAAACAACCCAACCCGGCAATTCCAAATCGTAACCACGAGCCACGCAGGTAGCCAGGTACCGCAGCTACCACTCCAGAAGTCACATCCCTATGGCTGGCAGCCATCAGGACCCACTTGCGGGCTTCCCGGTAGTAGAACTCCAGCGCGTGCTTGTCGGCGGTCCACTGCAGCTTTGTGACGCCGGGCATGATGCGCCTATCCAGATAGCGGATGCGGTCGTGGAAAAGCTTGCGCTCCTCCTTGTCCAGGGCGGTAAGGATCTGCACGGCGAGGTAGGGGTGCGTCCGTAAGGCCTGTGGAACTTCCAAGATTACAAGTGAAGAGAGGGAGAGAGGGACAGAGGAAGGCAAGCAAGCAAGCAGCACACCGCCTTGCCCTTCACTCCCCTTAACAAAATCAGCTGGTTAGCATTGCACCCCTGTAGTTTGGGGTTTGGGTCTTGCGGCCTTCGACGAAGGACCTTTCCCCGCCGCATTAGCGTCATAAGCCGGAAACCAACCTTGTTGTAGTCGCGGACGACCATGAGAATGTTATCACGCAGCACGCGGTACTTTTCGCGCTGCGCGTTGATCTCCATGGCCACCAGGGGCACGGCCAGCCGCATGCGCTCCCAATAGTGCACCTCCTGGCCCATCGACAACAGGTCCTTGTGGAAGTTCATAGACAGCAGTCCGCCTGCGGACAGCGAAGGACAGCAGAGTCCGTGAGAAAGTGGTCAGTGCTAGCATTAAGACCAGGCTGCAGGCTGCCGCAACACTCAGAGGCACAGCGAAGAACCGCCCATGCGTTCCACGCAAGAATGAAGTCTGCGACCTTTACCCTAAGGCTTGCAAGACAGGCACGGCAAGGTATGGCATATCCGTTCCGCGCATCCCTGCTGCGGTGTGCGCGGAGCAGAGCGCGTGCACGGCGCCGTGCACGCGCAACCGCACACGCACCTGAAGCCTTGTCCTGCACCAGCAGGCATGTTTGCAGCTCCTTGGCGATAGAGCCCTCAATGGTGCCAAACCACTCGTTGTGTGTGTTGGTGATGTACTGCTCAATGGCTTGGTGCGCTAGCTCATATTGTTGCAGCACCTCTGCCGCCTCAGCCACCTATGGTGACACAGCCGACAGCAGATTAGTTATAAGTTTCATTAGAAGAAGCATTCACGTGCGGGGCAACGACTGTGACGGCAGCAATGACCTCATCGGCACCGTGATATGGCTTGTGCTGCAAGACGCAACACCCGGTGACACCCCCAATCTGTGCTCAGCGAAGTCCTGTACCTGCGGCAGCGTGTAGCGCACAGATTCCACCACCTTGTGGCTCTGCTCCAGGCGGCGCATAAGGTTCATGGCATACTTGGCCAACCCAGCGTAGCGCGGGAGGATGGGACTCTTGGGCTGCGAACGCTTCACGGCATCGAACAGCTTCTTGACGGTGTTGATTTCCGCCATAAACAACCCGAAGAACTCAACAGTCTTCTTCTCCACGAAGCGTCGGATGAAGTCGCGCTTGGCCATGGCCTAATAGAGGGTGGCCCCCGGCCAGATACGCACGACAGCAACATGCAAAAACTCGGTTAAAAGCATGAAAAGTGAAGACTGAGATTCAAACCAATACTCTTCGTGTTTTTATGGGGCTATGGAATTCTTAAAGTTGCACGGAAGCCCCCATATAACGGCAACACCAGTGTCACACTGGGCACAGCACGTGAGCTGTGGCGCGCTGCTGCTTTATAACTCCATGCACCCGGGGCCAAGAATTTATGTCCTGATGTGCCCCACGCGTCCTGCGCTACCTCTCCGGAGATCTGCATGAAAGGTCCTCTCTTCAGGCGCACCTGGAAGCCCTCCAGAAGTTCGCCCCGGGCCATGAGGCAAGGCTGCGTGTCGAACGCGCGCTGGATGACGTTAGCCATCATCACCTCCAGGTCTTTTACGCCGCTCTTGAACGCGTTGAAGTCATCGTGCCACCTGCCATCCAAGGGAGTAATAAGCTTAACGACAGCTCGTCCATAGCGGACAACACCCCGTGCGCATGGGTGTCGCTACATTATCATCAACATGCTCTGACCCCACATTTGCGCCTGGGAAAAATTAGGATTCCCCCCCTCGACCATCTATCTTGGCAGCATTTTCAACAACGATGGGCGGGACATGGGGACATTCAAGCATCTTGGGTTGGACCGATAGGCAGTCGCGAGACCTGGTTGTAACCCCCTATGCCGTATTGCAGCCACCGTATCCACCTGGTTGCCTTGACGTCCAGGATGTCGTACGTGAGGCCCTTGAGGATGCGCACCAGCCCCTGGAAGGACTCCTGAATGTCCAAAATGCTCTTCTTCACCTCGGGCCCGTATGTACCACCGAAAACAGGCAGCGGAGTGCGCGGCGCAAACTGCAGCTGGGCCTCACAGACCTGCGTTAGCGGTAAGCGCATGTCAATAACAAGCGGGTAGCAAGTATCTGCCCGGCCCAGGCCTGCTAGCCATCGAGCACGGCTGTTGCAACGCGTGGCTCCATAAGACCTAGCCATGGAGGCTGCGAGCTTACCTTTGTCCGCGTACACGCCATCTCTAATTCACGCAAGCACCCTGAACGTGTTGCTAGAGCGCATTCCAGGGCGCAAGGACACCTTATTGCACAACATCACTCCTAGGCCTTTGCCAACGAATGCACACCGTGTTGCCATCACAGAACAGAATGCGCTAAATCGCCTTATGTCAGCTTCGTCAATCCCGGCTTCGCCAAAAGACTGCTCAGCCTGCATCCCGCCACGAAGTCTGGGTTCGACGCCTACTAAGCCACAACCCGCACCTCCAACAGATCCTTGCAGCGCTGCAAGAAGGCGTCAATGTGGGCAAAGATAGAGGAGATGTCAAAGTCCCAAGGCCGCGGCGACCGCACTGCCACAGCTGCCGCGGTCCGCTTGTAAAGCTCCTTCCAACGTTCCCCTGCGCATAGGCGATGCGCGAACGAGTGATATTAATCCGAGCCCTGACCAAAACCAGACACCGCCCGTATGGTTGATTGATCTACGGCAGGCTTGTGATGCTGTCCCCCATTGCCGTGCATACGGGAGTCAACGCCACTCACCCGAACCATGCCTCTATATCAATTTCCGTGCATGAGACAGCTGAAACGCAGTGTGCGCGCAAGCACACGGGAACCCACATGGCGAAAGGAGGCGCAGAGAAGGCCTATGTTGTGGGAGGCGGCCGGGCAGGAGAGAGCCGGAAATGACTCACCGGCCTCCATGCTCTGTCGCAGGGCCGTCATCACGTTGTCCACATCACCCGAGAACACGTCCGCCAGCGAAATGACGGAGCAGCAGCGGTTGATGATCTCGTTAGACAGCTTGCGCAAAAGCACCGTGAGCCGCTCCGGCGTGTTGTAGAAGCGGGATAGGTTCCACACCATCCGAATGCAATTCAGAATTGGAGGCAGCAGGCCCGGAATGGTCTGCATGCAACGCGGAAGGAGCGCCAAGAAAAGGGGCCAGAGCGCGAAAGAGCTGCGTCAGGAGAGGTACGACTCCACAGCCAAAGAATCTGCAGCGGCCCGGCATACCCCGCCATGTACCGAGGAGGAGCACCCAACCGAGGAGGGCAACCCCCGACAACGCCAAGTCTAATCCATGCAGCAACCAGAACGCGTCCTGGCGGCCTGAGCAGTTCATCGAACCCCACAGAATTGCACATGTCGGCGAATTGGGTGGGCTCCATGAGCACGGTGGCCGCTATGCTGGTGTGCACACCCCGACACCTGGAGCAGGGCCAGGTCACACTGCCCCATTACAAGTGGGACGGAGCAGATCCACTGCACGCCTGAAGCTCCTTGCTGAAACACCTCTCCTCAAAAGGTAAGCTCAGGCCTGTGTCCCCTTTAAGCTGCTAGGATTGGGTCCATGCGAAAAAATAGCTCCCCATGAAGCAGCAGCCGCAGACCGACACAAAGTCATGGAGCCTATTTATGCCTGGATCCTTGCTAGGCGATTGGCACACGAGCATGTGGTTGGGGCGCGATTCTGATCCCCAAGCATCGCATCGCTCACACAACACGTCCGACACCCTTTCCTCGCGACGGTCCCGCAGATCACACTCCACCCCACCCGCCCCTTTATTTCATTTCTCGTCTATGGCCTCGCCAATTGCCTTGCGGATGTCCAGTGCACGCTGTTTCTGTGATCTCCCCCATCAGCCAACCTTCTGGACAACCTAACTTGGCCCATACAGGCTGATCCTGTTTACCCTACTTGGCTCTAGTCCAGGCAACGGTTGGTATCAAACTGCCTTATGCCTGATAATCGCATACTAGCCACAAGGGCAACCTTCCGGAAGTTTACCTTCTTTCTCTATGCCCCCCCGGAGAACACACAACCCTCCCCCTTGTCGGCCATGCTGTTCCCAACACCACACATGGCCTTCCAATTAACTACGCGCGCTTCCAGCCCTTCCCCTGACCTGCGGGTGCGCCGCTGCTAACTGCTTGCACGGCTCCTCCAGGCACAGCAGGAACTTGAGGTTGTCCTCTGCCGCCACCGCCTCACGGTGGATGAGATTGCGCAGCGACAGGAAGGGTGCTAGGTAGGAGCTCTTGGCATACTCAAGCACGGACACGATGGACGACACCGCACTGTCGTCCAGCTGTGCACGGATGCCCGACAGGTCCACGGAGCGCTCGCGCCAAAATTCAATCTCCGCCAGCGGCCCCGCCTGCTCCGAGGCGTCCACGGCATCTTGCTGATTGAGAAGCTCTTTGACCTGAGAGGGCAAAGGGTCAGCAGAGCGGCGGCGGTTGGACGCGTCTCTTTCGCACGCAGGCTTTTAGTTTGGGGCTTGCCGTCTTTCTTCCCGCTATCGCTGCGCACGTCACGTAGAATTCGTATTGCCTTTTGGCACAACATTTACATGAGAGGGCTACAACGGTGGCAACACAGGCCCGTTTGAACTGTATCCTGTCAGGTGCTTGGAGTTGTGGGACAGCACACCGGGACATCGCCCGAGGCACAAGGTGGACACGGCCTGTAGCATGCCACGATGGACATGAAGGGGTTCAGAGGCCGCGGATTCAATGGAGAAAGGCGGATCGCCCGGGTGGGGGTGCCGAGACTATAACCTGTTAGCCAAACACAACGGAGGGACCCAAACACCAGCGGCCGTTTAGGGGACGGACAAGGTTCTTCCACACGCGTCTATCCCATTTGGTGCTGGGTATTCTGCATGACCCAGAATCACGCAGTGCAGCTGTGCCGTTTCCAGGCCAGGCATAGCCCTTCTTCCCAGCCCAGCCCGGAACCCAGCCGCCCCGAGCAACCGGCCGCTTTCAAGCCGCAGCGCAGACCAAGCGACTCAGAACCGGAACCCAAGCGGAAGTCAGCATACGCCGTGGCAACCGTATGCAACCAATAGTGCAGGTAGCTGTGTTCTCCTAATGGTGGCCGTGAGGAGCGTGTCATTGCAGGGCGAGTACACGTTCCTGCCGTACCTGGCGCGTCCAGTGAATGATGGTCGACTCCAGCCGCTGCACCAAGTCCTTCTGCTTTGCGGCCGCCTTCGGATCACGCAGGTCCTCCTGCAGAAGGAAATGGTGGAGATGATGTGTTGGAGAATGCTGATGCGACCACAGTGTGGCCCGGAGCGAGCAAAGGTGTGCGGTGAAGTGCAGGAGGCAGGCAGCAAATTCACGTCATTGTACCGGTGTGTGCGATGTGGGTGTGGCCCCACCAACTACCGGTTGCGCATGCGGGAACGCACACCCTGGCATCCATGGCACCACCCTGGACCAGGCCTTGACTTTCAGCTCCGTACCCATAGCGCGCTCCGCTACCCACCCGTTTGTCATCAACCAACCCACACACATCCAACCCAGACGTGTTCTGCGGCATGCGCTCACCTGCGGGATGTAGAGGATGGTTTTGCCCTTCACCTCATACACGGTTTCCGTGAGGTTGGCCATAAATTTGTGCATCTGCGCCGTAAAGTCCGATTTCACGGTCTCCGGCCAGCTGGTGTTCGCCACCACCACAGGCACAAACAACCCGTGCATAATCTTAAGCAGCGAATGCAACGGGTCATCGCCGCGCACGACGCCAAAGAAGATGACGGTGCTGACGTTGTCGCGCGTCACGAATTTGCTGGGATCACGCACAAAGAAAATCATCTGCGGCCAGTGCAGCGAGACAGGGATGCGAAATGCTGTTGGGGCCCGCTGGCGGCTTGGATTTCGGACATCACGACTACAGGTCTGCACCGGCCCAATGCGCGAAATCCTAAAAGAGGTCGATGACCCAAACATTCGTCAGGCGGGCATATGCCATGAAGGGCGCTGGGGTATTTGCGGTAATATTCCTGGGACACTACCCGGTCTGCGGCCCTGGCGATAATTAGCAGGCGCTGTCTTCCTGCGGCACATCGTGCAGCGAGCAGTGCTGTCGCAGGGGGCGTCCCCAACCACACAGTCATAGTGCCCCTAAACCCGACCAGCAATAGTGTTTACTAGCATCCCCGGGCAGCCCATTGCGGCAACCAGAGCGAATTGCGAAATCAAGACTTCAACCCTTCCCAGCTCGGCGGAGTCCCCCGTTTTCCCGTACAGAACACGTAATGTTGCCGACCGGGCGGCCACGCATCAGCGGCCTAACCACCGATAATGTCCTGTCCCCATTATCTTTCCTGATACTCCCTTGGTGCATTCCCGTTTACGCCTTCCATTGGGGGCCCATAATCCTTAGACAGCTCCCGACGACGCTGCTGCGTGCTGGATAGGTAGGTACTCACTTGCTCATAGTGTTTTGGAACGTCCAGTGTCAGCAATAGCTTCGCCGGCTGTGCATTGTCCGCACCGGTGTCCAGCAAAGCAAACATGCGCGTCGCTTTGACGCTCATGAGGAACGTCGATACGATGGGCGTATGCACATCGTTCTGCCATACGCTGGCAAGCCACTCTGCGCTGTCCTCAGCATCATCTTGGCTTAGAGGCCGGAGCTGTGTTTATTGGAGGCGGTAGAGATGTGACCGATTTCAGCAACACGCAATTGCCTTCGACATGCGCGGACTTACCAGCTGCAGCTTTGAGCGGACCCATGCGATACATGTCGCATCCGCTGTCAGCTGTTGGCTCTGCAAGCAGTCACCCGGCATTATTTCAGAAGCTGCATAAGGGACGCGGCCGAGCTTAGTTAAATACCTTGCCAGTAGCCTCCTCGCTTCCCTCCATTTTGGGCTTGAGCCCCTAAATATTATAAGCTACTTCTGCATGCGCTGCGGCTTTCCGAGCATGCAAAGGGGGAAGGATATAAATACCAATTGGAACTCACGAGTTAAATTGCGATTGGTTCCGTTATCTAGTAGGTGATCCTAATTACCTAGTTGACAAATGCGTTGCGGAGCACAAGGGAGTCGACCGCGTTGACCCGTACTACGACAAGTAGTCCACACGCCCTAAAGCCTAAATCACTATCTTCGGTCTCAATCAGTTGCAGTGATAAGTATGTTATTACGAATAACATCCATTTATAAAGATTGACAAGTGATATTTCTGCTAGAGCTGTTCAGCCGACCAGCGTGATGCAAGCTGTGGCGTGGCCGAGTTCCCACACACCCTTCAGAGGATCCCGCTCAGCTTGGAGATCCTCAAAATGGATAAGCACGCGACGATCAACGCGCAAGGCGGGCTTGATGCGACCGCCTTCGGCCACGGCACGAGCCGACACAGTGCCGGTATGGGAAACCCTTGTCACGGTCCACGGCGCGCCCGACGCTCCCCAGAGCACCGAGGAGCAGCAGGAGGTGCGTGACTACTGACCCTTACTTGCCCCTCATCCACAATACCAATGCGTCCCCTGCCTTACCGAGTCCACAACCCGACCGCCAAGTCGCCCTTCCCGGACCCACGCTCCGTCCGATGTACAATCCGCGGTTGGAACCAGCTCCTGGACACCCTTTGGAGCCTGCAGTATCGAACTCCTGGCGCCTGCTGCGCTAGCGCCGGGCCAGTGGTGCAGAGTGCTTCTCGCGATGGCAGCGCTGCCGCTCGCGCGGCGGTGTACTATCGCTTCTCATCTCAGGCGCAGGCGGAACGTTTCGTTGCGGGGCCAGTGTTTGCGGACGCGAAGGCACGATTACTGGGAAGCGGCAGTGTGTCCCTCTCGTTATGGAAAGTGAGTGTGCACCGAGTGAGAGGGCGCTGGCGCCCAAAGGATGCTGCTTATCCCAGCAGGGCATATACGTTTGATGCTGATGTTGAATTGCGCTAAGGGACATGGACCTATCCAGCGAAGGGGGAAAGAGCGTCGTCAAGGCGCGTAGGGATAAAGCTAGATTACCGCCGCCCCCCGACACCGCTAGGCAAATGACAGACGATGTGGCCTGGCGCCGAATAAACTGCACGAGGAGCTCGCACGGTAGTAGCTCGCTGCAGGGTCGCCCCCTAGGTTGCGCGGTTTTGGTGACTCGCCGGGCAGTCTTTCATTCTTTCACTGGGCCCGGGCCCGGATTCACGACGCAAAAGTGTGTGACGTAAGTGCATGACTCGACTGCCGGCTCCAGCCAGCGAGCGGCTTCCGACAAGATGTTCAGTTACTCCTCTTCCACTCCCATGCCCGCCTGCCGTCTGGTTGGCTGGACTCAGGTTCTGGTCCCAAATGACATGGAGGCGCTTTTTAAGCGCGGACCAGCTTTTGAGACGGGAGTGGATGTCGTGCTGGTGCTGCAGCCGGCGTCGCAGGAGCAGCCCGTGGCAACAGATGTGTTGGTGGAGCTGGTGGGCCGGCTGCAGCGGGCAGCACTGGTTGCAAACAGCGTGCAGGTGTCGTGTGGGGCGGACGTGATGAGCCTGGATACCCAGTACATGTGGATGGCAAGGTTCCCGCAGGTACGGGGGTCGTGGCCGTTGGCTGGGTTGGGGTCAGACAGCATGGAACCGCAGGCTCTCCGTGATAGGTGAGGATAGGTGAGCATAGACCGAGTTCTTCTGCGGTCGTCATCTTGCTTGTCCCTGTTTGGATTTTTGCCTGGTTCACCAGTACTCCGCCCTCGTCTCTGATTTCTTCTCGGTTCCCTTCTTGCCCCGACGGTGCAAAGGAGGATAACGCGCAGCGCTTCCTGCGCAGTCCTGTCGTGGCGGAACTGGCGACGGGTCTGTCTGTCGGATCTGCGTGTGCTGCGCCCTCTAAGGAGCTGCAGAGCGGCGGCCTGACACTGAGCAGCATGGCGCTCATTGAGGTCGGCGCTGTCGAGCAGTCAAAGCAGAGGCTCTAATAAACCTGTTCCCCCGTTACAATTACACTTAATTACACTGCAAACCACCGCCACGACTCCTTGGTACACTACATGTGGTAAGGAGATTCCTCGCCATCCGACAAAGCTCGCTCCACGCCAATGGCCACATCCTGCTAACACATGAACAAACGCCGAGGAAAATAGCACCCTTGTGCGCACGTTCCGGCAACCGGAATGCGAGTTTTAAATTAATAAGCCTCTCCACCGGCTTCGCAAGCCGTCCGCACGTGCACACACACACACACACACACACACACTGGGCAGCAGCAGGCCCTAGGCAGCAGCCCAAGCAGGCTGGGCAGCAGGCCCTGGCCAGCTTCAGGCCCGGCAAGATATGTAACAAACACAAACACGCACCAAGGCGCTTTCAAAGCAGATGGCAGATACAGCAGCCATTCCCTGCTCCTTGAGTAGTGGCTCCGGGGCTGTTCCACCCTCTAGAGCTTTCTCCCACGTAGGCTTCCGACATTGTCCCCGACCCCACACGCCTGCCCGTCAGAAGAACCTGCTTCCCCACGGTCAATGCTTTGTCATATAGCACATATATGCGGCTCAGAACAGCCAGAAGAAGGTGGGTCGCGGGATGGGCTTGGCGACGGGCGGCAGCAAGTGGATGCGGCCCGTCTGCACCCAGAGGGACGATGATGGACCGAGGGTGTGGTGGGGAACGTGCATTAGGAAGGACTTGCGAAGGTAACGTCGGGTGTGTGTCAGGATCCGGGTAACATCAAACGGCCCAAAATTTGCATGAGCTGGCGTTACAACGGGGTTCATGAAAGATATTGCCCGGGCTAGGAAACTCAGCTGCGCAGCGATGTAACAAACACACTCTACGAACGCAGAAAAGCCCTTTGCAGGCGTCAATTACACAAACAGGTTTCCTCTCCCTGTCCAGCCCGGTAACCGCCTCCACCTACTGCCCTAACTAAAAGCACACGTGCGTGCATAGTCTCCACCCAGGTACACAGATAGAGGCGCCTCTAAATGCCACACACAACCCGTCCCCCAGCTCCGTCCCCGGTTCATGCCCCAAACCTACCTGATAAATGTTGAGCATGTACAGCAGCTCTGCGGGCGGCGAGTTCTTCCAATGTAGCCGCCTGAGTGCCATGGCCCGGCTGAAGGTCGTCACTGTACCGTTGCTGCCAATCCGCGCCAGGTACGCATCGAATTTGCACTCTGCAAGACAGAGCGATCCCAACAGGAAAGCACAGGAAGGATTTCTGTTCACCCCCAACCCCGAGAGGACACACCGCAACGGCGCGTAATGATTTTGGGAAGCAGCAAGGGCACCGAGCAATGGTGCTGCTTGGAGTTTACAGACAAGCTGTTCTGTCATTCAGAGCCCTGCCTCGCCCAGTCCCGCGAACGAGCATGGCACGTATCCGAGGCCGGGTCCCCCTTCCCGTAGAGGCCGGCACAAACCCACAGCACTCACGCCAGAGCACGATGGCCTTATGCGCCTCATAGACCTTAAACATGAAGGAGCGCCAAATTAGGAACCAGACGTAGCGAAAGGCCGGCGGGATCATGTGGTACTTAAAGTACATCAGCAGGTACCAAAATGTGGAGAAAATGGTCCAGCGCTTTTCGTACCCTGCGTTGTGTGCCGTGGGAGTAGGTCGGAGCGCCAGATAAGGGGGTTATGGGAGTTTCATGCAAAATTTCGCATTAACGAATTGCGGAGGCAGTCCAGTGCAGCGGCGTGTGAACAATTGGAATGGTTCAAGAGCTGCTTGTGAAGGCGTCGACACTGAGTTGGAGATCCGGATGCTCTTATGTAAGGGTTTTTTAAGTAGATGGAATGCTAATGGGTAGATGGAGTGCGATAATGATAAGGCAGGAGCGAGGCTGTTTCTTAAAGCTGACAGAACCATGGGTCTGATATCTCACATTGTCATAGTTAACGAGCGATCCTGTATATAGTTGCGTCTAACTTAGCAAAAAATCAGCTCAGCCTGCTTTGCACAATAAAAATGTCAAGAAATACCCGGCGCCGTGACTCGCAAACACACTCACATGGGATGTCCAGCGAGCAGCGCATGAACTTATCCTGCCAGAACACATAATTGTCCTCGCGCCGTCGATACTGCATCCACGCTGGATACCATTCGGCAGCGGGCCGAAGTGTTCCTGTATCTTTGATGCTTGGGGGTGTCCGAGTTGGTTCGTTCCAGTTGCGCCAAGGCGATGGTACACCAGATGACGTCGATGGGAGGAAGTCCTCGTCAAGCAGAGGCGGTTGTGACCCAGAAGCGGCCGCCTGGAAAGGCTCCGCCCAGGCCGGTGTAGCCGTCCGGCACACTAAATTAGCCCCGCGGCATGCTCTTTGACGTCCGTGTATAGCTTTACATCTGTACGAATGATTAAAGCGCAGCCCTTAGCCTTATCGCCCTTGTGACGTGACAAACACAAGTTTTGCGCCGCAGCTCGTCTTTCGTGCACTCCTCACCCTGATCTTTGACCTGAAGCCACTCTCCGTTGTAAAATTGGGCATGGCTGCATTGATTTAAGCTTGCTATTTGCTAGAGGGTGTCGGTGGAGACCAGTGTCTGCACTTAATTGGGACGATTATAGGGATGCAGCTTTATAAAGAGGCATATGCCATGGAGAGATAAAAATAAATAATCATATATGCTTACATGGTTGGGTGACAGAACTTCCTTGCTCGGACCCTCGTCCAACCATCAATCCGGCATCGTTATTCTTAGACCAGCTTTCGCACCCCAAGCTTGCGTAGCTTCTCATCTCAGAACTTTCTTACATACTATATTTGATGCCCACAATGCTATGATATGTAAATTACTCGACAACATGCACACAGACCCGCGGCATGTTACTATGAGCGACTGAGACTGGTAGCGTTGTCCCTATGCACCAATAAGTTACAAGGGACATGCCGCCAAGGGCCGCTGCAAACGCAGCGCCCGCTGTGCGCCAAGACTTCCCATGGGCGCTGGGCATCCTCGGCAACCCTGACGCGGACCCCACCCAGCTTCCCTTGGCACTTAACTACCTATCTACATTAAATGTGTCAACCAGTTTACCGCATGTAAGTGCTCCGAGCGTCTGCACTCCTAACCCCTGCTATCCTAACGTGCCCACCTCCTGGGCCCCACCAAAGCGTTGGATAACAGCCCCTTGCCCAATTCCCGCCCTGCACCCCATGACAACGCCCAACACGTTTTACGCGTTGCAATCCCCCCGCTGCCCTCTGCATTGTCGCTTACCGGCTCTCTTGTTAACATCATCCCCTGCAGGATACCTCGGCTGTCACACAGCTCCTCACGCTGGCGACCCCATTTGTATGCGCCAATGACACCGCGGTAAACACTACCGCCATTAAGGTGGTCACGCGGCTGGTGTTCACGGACTCACAGAATCACGATGAGCTGCGGGAGGCGCTCCAACAACCAGCTAGCTTGCAGGTGCGTCCGTTCCGGCTGCTCACGGATCTCAGACCTCGTTTATTACAAGCTAGGCGGGAACAGATGGGAGAGGCTGACAGCCGGGCAGCCATCTCGGACTGATGATTTTCGTGTAGTGGGATGGGTGGGACGGGATCTTGGAACGGAATGGAATAGGGAGCGGCGTTGGGGTTGGGTTAGGCGGGTTGGGGCTTGTGCCGTCGGCCTTGGCTAAGCCAGCGATGTGCTGCAATGCGGACTGCTCAACCCAAACTTGCACCGGCTTTAGCCAGAAAGTCGTCCCTGTTATATTAGGGAGCATGGGACCCAGACAATATGGGTCAGCTCGGGGTAAGGGAGGAGGTCAGCTGGGACCACAGCTTGCATGGAGGAGCCCATTCTACTAGGCCCCAGCAGATACGTCCAAGGAGGCTAGCAGCGTAGCAGCACTCCAAGCTGTGTCTTACCTGTCCGCATCAGCGTCTGGGGTATCAGCAACTGCAGCAGGCCCATTGCCGGCAGCGGTAGTTCAGACAGCGATAGTGCAGCGGCTGCTGGGAGGAAGGAAGGGGCCAGGGCCGGACGCACACCGCTCGGCTGAGTGGAGCAGGCCGGCAGGCGGCTGATCGTCGTGCAGAGGTGGAGGTGCTGGACAGTAGACGCAGATGTCGACACAGTAATGATGCACCTCAAACAGGGGCCGCTCGTGGCGGAACGTGGTGGGCCATAGCAGCCTGGGTTGTCTGCATTGGCAGGGGGAAATGCACCGCACGTACTCGACCTCACAAGTCCCGGCTTACTACCGGGCGTGGCCCTCAAGCCATCTAGAGAGCTCCTGAGCCGCATATTCGGCTCATTGGGGAACAGGACATGTAGAGGCCTTTTACGAGAGGGGGAAAGGAGGCGGAAGGTGCCGGGGTTACGGTGCCATGGCAAACCAGCGACGAACATGCACACCCTAGCGCCCTTGCGCCGCCCTTTCCCAGTGCCCTGCCACCTTTCCCGGCTTCCAAACAAACACTCAGCGGTGCTCACAACCCAACCGGTGCCCCAATTTATCGCTTCCAAGGCCTGATAAACGCGCACAACCGGGGCCCCGTACCTTCCTCCTCAGGCGCTGTGGGCGGTTTTGACCTACTTCCACGCCTCCTTCGACGCCTATTCGGCCCGACTGCTGGTCATCCAATCAGAGCCCCCGGAGCCGCCAACCCCCGTGCGAAACCAGGGCAAACCAGATTCCCGCAATGCCAAGAACCCGCCGCCGCCACCCGTGGACCCGGAGACCACCCTGCCGGTGAGGAAGTTGTCGGACAAAGATAAGCAAGTTTTTAAAGAAATTTGGAATAAGTCTTTAGGACACTGGGACAAGTTCTGGACACAAGAACATGTGAAGGGTCTAGAACTGGAGTTAGTACATTGTGACAGACCGCTATTATTAATAAAACAAGACACTTCAGAAAACGCGGACACACCACCGCCAAAAGGCAGAGAACGTCCGGCCATGTTCCTAATGGTTTACCTTCCAAACGCTTTCAGGTCTGCCCTTCCCCAAGTGACATGTTACTCCCTACCGTCCATACTCTTTTCGCGGCTCCTCGTGCCGGTTTTGGCGTTGTTGCGGGGTTCCAGTGTGTCTACTCGGTTCCCGGCTACTCACTCCGCGGCCCCCGCCGTCCCCATTGGTCTGGCTGCAGGGACCCAGCAAGTACGCTCTGGACCTGGCCATTACGGCTTTAAGCAGCCTGGTGGCCAGCAGCACGGCGGCTGAGGCGGCGGCGGTGGGGTTTATGTGCTCTGACGTGGCACCGCTGCTGACAGTTTTGAAGCACCACTCCAGCAGGATACAAGTGCGACCTTATTCGGTTCCTTACACAGCTTTCATTATTAATCTGTTTGTTCGTTTCCTTTTGTTTCGTTTTGTTGATAGCATTTCCCCCTCGGATGTTCTCATGTAACACGTGGCCCTTCACTCTCGGCCGGTCATTGTGCAGAAGGCCGTTCAGCACGCACGCGTTGGCTTTTTCCTTAACCACCTTCTCTACCCGCCTCCCTCCCTCACCCGCCCGCGCGTCCGCAGATGATTTTTTGTGTTATGCAATTGATTCCCCACCCACTCGCCCACCCGGCCGCTATGGCACCACTATGCCGTTCAGGTCCTCGCGCTGCGCCTGATCCGCACGCTGCTCCAATCCGACACGATGGCCATAGTGCTGGCGGGTGCGGGGACGATGGGGCAGCTGACGGAACTCCTGTGCAGCAGCCTCTTCGGTGCGGTGCGAGAGGAGGTGCTCCTGGCGTTGATGAGGATGATGGGCAACTATCGTGAGTATAACCGGGGAGAAGCGGATGTGGCGGGAGCTAGGGGCAGAGGGGCTCCTTGGAGCCGTGGACTGATGTGATGTGAGCTGAAGGGGGTGTTGAGGGACAGCAAACTTGGGATTGAAGACATGGGCACGGGCTTCGTATAAACGGCTGAACTGACGGCATATCCCGACCAGCCCTCTCCCCGATTTCCCACTCTCCGTTTCAATTCCGCAGCCCCTGCCATGCAGCTGGCGTTAGACAGTGGCCTGCCCGCCGCCCTGCTCAAGCACGTATTGGCACCCACGACGGGTGTGCCGCAGGAAGACCCGCCGACGCCACCACCGCCGCCACCTGGCTCCGAGACGCCTACCTCGCCGCGGCCTCCGGTGCCGCTGTCCCCCCGACCCGGAGCGTCACCCCGTCCCTCCGGGCCCTCTCCCCGGCCCGGGGCCACAATGGACGGCACGGAGGCCGGGATTGAGGTGCCGCCAGGACCGCCGCCCATTGACTTTGCACGGCCGATGCCCAGCTCGGCTGACCGGCTGCAGGTGGGGTGAGGTGGGGAAGAGGGAAGGGGGAGAGAGGGACGTGCGCGAATGGCTGTGCGCTGTGCGATGGCGTGTGGAGTGAGGCCCTGCACTGCCACTGTGGTACTGCTTTGCGCATATGTATTTTTCTCCCCCTCACTTCCGTTTCCACGGTACATTTATTCCTTGAAGTTGTTGTATTTGTTTGAGTTTGTGTTTCCTGAAGTTGATGAAGTTCGTCTCTTCAATCTTTCCCGGTTCCCTCGCACAGGAGCTATCGGTCCAGATGCTGCTACAGATGTGCAAGCACCACCATGGTGCAGTACAGCACCTCCTGCGCCTGGGTGCCATGCAGCTGCTGCTGGCGCTGCTGCCCGCCCCCAAGCTGCCCGAGCTGCCCCCCAAGCCGCCCAGCAGTAAGAGGCCGTCATCCGCTTCCGACACCTTCATCGCGTACGCTTTGGGTCGCGGGCGCTTCTCCCATAACGGCAGCGGGCTGCCAGCGGCGCCGTTGATGGAAGCCTGGTTGCCGTACATCGACGGTCCACCGACGATGCCGTTGCCGAAGGCGCCCCTGAATTCTCATCCTCTGGCGGCAAGCCTGCTGCAGATGCTAGCTTGCTTGCTATCTGAACCGGGTGTTCAGGACTATTGGTGGTCGGTGCACTCCTCTAAGCGGCTCCACCTCCAGCTGATGTACCTGCTGCGAACAGATGCACCGCCAAAGCCCAAGCCGCAGGTGAGCAGAAGCGTGTGGGCGGAATCCCCTTTTCCCTGGTTTCTGCACTTGCTGCATTGAAAGACGGCGTGCTTTGCATGGTACACTTGGCTATGTGGGTGCTCTGGAAATGGGAGGAGAAAAAGAGGGTGTGCAGCATGCGTGTAAGGGTGTGCGGTTGATTTCTTCCACCTCTCAACTTGTTGCTCTTTTTTTGTCCACTACTGACGGTACTGCCCTCACTGGTGGTAACGGTGGCGTCGGTATTCTGGTGTTGTGGCAGGAGGCCCCGGTGCCTCAAAAGCGCATGACGCAGGCGATGATGGCGGCAGCGGCAGCGGTGCCGCCGCCACCACCGCCGCCACCTGACGCCCGGGCCCCCCCCTTCCCGGAGGAGGTGCGCGCCGCGGTGTTGCAGTGTATGCTGCAGCTCATTAAGGACCCCCGATGGCTGCAGCTGGCGCCGTATCTGACATTACTGCAGCAGACTGTACGACAGACAGAGGAATGGGCACCGGCGATGGTGGAGCCGATGGCGGAGATCCTACAACGCATTATGCAGACACGGCTGCCGCCGCCGCCGCGTGCAGTGGCCGCTTCGGCGGCGAGGCCGTCGCAGTCGACGACGTCGCCAGCACTTTCGCAATCACCGACGGCCGAAGGCCCGCCGCTGCCGGCGGCAGAGCAGCAGCAGCTGCAACCACACGCATCACAAGTGGCGCCGTCGGTGACGGCTGACGGGGCACCGCTGAACTTGCAGCGCATGTGCAATGCAGTCGCTAACGGCCTCAGCCAGGAAGCCAACGGCCTCAGCGACACGGACCTGAGCAGCGAGGATGCGGTCAAGGCGCTGAAGGAGCTTGCCAAAATGGTTCGCAAGGCTACCAGCCCCGACCCAAAGGCCATTACTGCCGTGGCGGCGGCGCTGCTGGTGCTGCCCGAGTCTGCCATCTACGCACCGCCGTGGCCGCCACTACCGTCGCCGCCGCCCACCCCACCCCCGCCGCCGCTGCCCACATCACAGTACCTATGGGATGCGCTGGGCCGGCCCGTCATGACTGACGGGATCAAACTACCGCACCTGTGAGGGCATCCTGCGCTGTAGTGCGCAGCGCTGCCTGGGGGGGGATGTCCAACGGTAGCGAGGCGAGGCGGCGGGAAACAGGGAGAGCGCAGTAGCAGCTGTCAAAGTCCAGGGGAAGAAGTTGGTTATGGTGACGGCTCGCCACGGCTGCCTCGCCAGCGTTGCACGTGGTCGGCGGTGTGCCTACCCTGCTGCTGTTATGGATATAATCTCCGCTCGCGGATGGGTGCTAAGAAAAGTATACGGAGCCCGTCCACCACACATCCATGGGCGGAAATGGACTGGACACGCGCTGCTGCGTCCGCGGCTTCGTGCAGGTTCTTTTCGTGCTTGCGGGTTCGACAGCCGCGCAAGACCCTCAGCTGTAGCGATTTCTGGGTGACAAGCTAAGCATACCCTGAACTTGCATGCCAGATATTCCATATGTAGCCGTGTTACGAACCTGAATCGCGAAGCTAAGTGGACCTCGTGGGGTTGCATGCAGCACGCGCAGATATTGGTACCTAAGAGATGGTTGTGTATGGGGTATACCGCTGTGTGGAGAGAGCAGGCAAGCGGGTGGGGTGCGCACTGGATTGCACTGCGTTAGGCGGCTCGCAGTGTTTGGGACTGGTGAAGTATGCCTTGTTGTGAAAACCGGGATTTGAAAGTCCCACGTTCTGGAAAAGAAGCCACCGGGATTCCGCCAATGGGTGTGCGTTCCGGACACACTGGGATTTCCCCGCGTGTGAATAGATCAGGATTGTTGGTTCGGGATAAGCAGCTTCGAACTCGGCGTGGGATTTTCAACCGCGCCATACCAGCCTTACATGCCTTCTGGTGGTGGCATCTCAAGTTGCGCAACCGAGAAGCCCTTTGGCAAAGGTTCCAAGCTTGCACAAACCAACTTTGTTGGATGCATCTTAAGGAACTGCTGAATGGACGCTGTTTAGACCTGGAGTACGGTAGCCAAGGGCAGTTGGCCGAACTTTGGGAACATGTAGCACGCCGCGTCTGCTAGGCAGAAGTAACACAGCATATGTTCATGACACTCATGGGAACCGGTCAGGTTTACGCGAGCACTTTTTAAGACCTGACCCGACCCCTGGAGCCAAACGTCGATTCAACAAAGGAATGTGATAGATTACGTTGCTTACCAGGAACAGAGTTTGTACAAACCTGAAGACGCTTATGGTGCGTCCGTGGGTACGGCAGCATGACATGAAGTTCTCATTGACCTTTTTGTTCCACGCAAAAGCCTCATTTATTACCTCCTGTCCGTTATCTTGATTTCTCGAATTGATTGTATTGCCAAGCCAGTCCATTTCGCACTTTGCCGGGTAGATCTGCAAAACTCCCTCGGCAGCATAGCCGCGCTTCGGCGCGGTCTAGGGTTCGTCCAAAATGCCGGATGATAAGCATGTCGATCCAGATAAGGACGCACCAATTAAGGCGCTTGACGAGACTGATATTGCTTTCCTCAAGAACTATGGGCTAGGCCCATACGCTGCGCCAATTAAAAAAGCAGAACAGGATGTGAAGGATATTATCAAGCGCATCAACGACCTGTGCGGTGTGAAGGAGTCTGATACTGGGCTTGCGCCCCCGTCTCGCTGGGACCTGGTTTCGGACAAGCAGATGCAGCAGGAGGAGCAGCCGCTGCAGGTGGCCCGCTGTACTAAGATTATCAACCCCGGCACCGACGAGGCGAAGTATGTAATCAATGTGAAGCAAATCGCAAAGTTCGTTGTGGGGCTGGGCGACAAGGTGGCCCCTACGGACATCGAGGAGGGTATGCGCGTGGGTGTCGACCGGAACAAATACCAGATTCAGATTCCGCTTCCCCCGAAGATTGACCCCTCCGTCACTATGATGACCGTGGAGGAGAAGCCGGACATCACGTATAGCGACATTGGGGGCTCCAAGGAGCAGATGGAGAAGATGCGGGAGGTGGTGGAGCTGCCCATGCTGCACCCCGAGAAGTTCGTACAGCTGGGTATCGACCCTCCCAAAGGCGTGCTGATGTACGGCCCGCCGGGCACGGGCAAGACGCTGCTAGCGCGTGCAGTTGCTAACCGCACAGATGCCTGCTTCATTCGCGTCATTGGCAGCGAGCTCGTCCAAAAGTACGTCGGTGAGGGCGCACGCATGGTCCGCGAGCTGTTCCAAATGGCCCGCTCAAAGAAAGCCTGCATTGTGTTCTTTGACGAGGTGGACGCGATCGGTGGCGCGCGGTTTGACGACGGCGCTGGCGGCGACAATGAAGTGCAGCGGACTATGCTAGAGATTGTCAACCAGCTGGACGGCTTCGATGCGCGCGGAAACGTCAAGGTGCTTATGGCCACCAACCGGCCCGACACGCTGGACCCTGCACTTCTTCGCCCAGGGCGGCTGGACCGCAAGGTTGAGTTCAGCCTGCCGGACCTGGCCAGCCGGACGCAAATATTCCAGATCCATACACGCACGATGAACTGCGAGCGCGATATCCGTTTCGAGCTGCTGGCACGTTTGTGCCCCAACAGCACCGGAGCGGACATCCGGAGCGTGTGCACAGAGGCAGGCATGTACGCGATCCGCGCACGCCGGAAAACAGTGACGGAAAAGGACTTCCTGGAGGCGGTCAATAAGGTCATTAAGGGTTACCAGAAGTTCAGCGCAACGCCGAAGTACATGATTTTCAACTGACGAGCAGCGTGTCGGTAAGGATAAGGTGCTGTAGTGAGAGCATTGAGTGGGAAAGGGGCGAAAGGGGGTCGTTGATGGACAGGTTGTAGGTTAGGTACAACCAGACAGTGTCGGGGAACTAGGATAAGTTTGGATGCCACCTAAGAACGATGTAGGGAAGACTGACCGATGGATGGTAAAGGGACATCATGACACCGTAAAAGGACCTCGATTGTCGTGTGGCGACGGCGCCAGTAAGTTGCGCTGTGATGCATACCCAGGCGAGTGTCGAAAGGGCGTAGAAAGTGTGGTCGATCGGCTGCATGATGCATATATTGCTGTCGGTAGATGTATGATGTCGCTGTATGTATGATGTTGCCGTCCCTTCAGAAATCGGTTTGCAGCGGCGAGGGCGGGCCCCGGATGCAACACCTAGACGGGAACCCTTCTCGGTCTTTGTTGCGGTTTATCGTTTGATCGTTTGGAACGGGGCGGCCGCATAAAGAACACTTGAATGGACGGTAATGTGTACCGCCGGATCCTGTGCTGGTTTAAAAATTGCAGCATGGTATGTCATGAGGGTTACGTTCAAGGAAGCTGGAACTTCCACGGTGACTTCTCCACGGTCTGGATAGAATACATGCAACATCCCAAATGGAAATGAAAATCAACGGACGTAATGACATCCCGATGGCGTACAGCAACCCACTATACAATTTCATCAATAAGCAATGAGTAGTCCATACCAGGGTAAGCACCACCACACGACAGGCCTCACCACCTGCAACTTATGCATGCGTCGTCCCTTCACAGAAAAGTATCCCTTCAGACGCGTCCAAGGGTGAGATGGATGAGTGGGATGTGCAAGCAATATAGCTTAAAAAACTGCGTGTTGTGCAACGACAGCAACTCGTGATCACGGAAGTGGGCCTACTTGGCCCACTTTATTGGTTGAACCAACGCCTAGTACATGACAAAAAATAAAGAAACCTTCGTTTTGCTCTCCATTCCTCAAAAGAAGTTCTATTATCAACATCAAACGTAAAACACAGCCAACGAGAAAGCAGTTACATGGGCCAATTTTTGGGCCAGATAAGGTTCTTGAGGTACATATAGATTGGCACGCAGAAATAATAGAAGCCTGCGGCTGTGCCCATAATGAGCCGCAGCAAGAACGACAGGGGGTTGCTATTCATCTTGCCGCTGACCTCGACCTTTGGTCCCATCACCAGCGGCGACTCTCCAGCCTGCGTCAGGGATAGGGCTTGTCACGAGACACCCCCACGTCGGGAAGCAGCCGCAGTGGGGACAATCCATGACGCAATCAATTCTTCCGCACGTAATTTCCCCTCTGGTGAATCTCACCCATGCGCACATACTGCGAGCTACGGACACCTTTCCTGGCACATCTGTCTAGGTACAACTCCAGCATGGAAAGGCTGAGGTGGTAAACTGCAACATTGCACCGCACAGCAGGGACCTCACCTTCGGCTTAACACCCGTGACGCTGCAGCCCATGATGAGGCCATGCCGACGAACCCCGCGATACCACTTAGGCCCGATGCGCGTAATCTTAACGTCCACGAACCCAGCCTTGGTGAACCACTGCGCGCGACAAAGGTAAACATTGTGCGGAAATTGAAGTCTTACTTTTCCATTTTTTTACTCTGCCAGTACACAATCCGGCCGAGTCCGCCAGGTAGCACGACATGCTTCTCGTGCGCCCTAGCTAGACTCGGTCCCTTGCCTCAGGAGCCGGCTCCCAACTATGGCAGAATGCCCTTATCTGATGCGTGGGACAGGGGGGCATGTCTTCACCCGTGGCCGCTACCAGGCGAAACCCTGCCTTCCCCGGTATTTCAAGGCATTCTCATCGACATCTGTCGACAACCCTAGTCACCCTAGTCGACTTCTCAGTGGATCGATCAGGTTCAGCAGTGGGTGCTGAACTCACCACCGGCTGGGTCCGCTATTTCTTTTCATCTGCTCGTCGCGTCAAGCAGCTCCCCGTGAATTTTTTCAATCGCCCCATGGATGTTTTTGATCTGAGCCGTGTCCTGTTTCCAACAACCTCCCCAGGAACAGTGCCAGTGCACATTGCGTCCAGGGTGAGCGACGGCCTAGGCCATGCACCCGCCTGTAGCTTAGGCAAGTCCGTTGCACCGCCTTATCGCTGCAAGCAACCCGCAAAAACCCTATTTTGAACGATTCCTTGTACCGCTTAACAATGCCGCTCGCACCTCAATGTACTCTTCCTCCTTGGGAAACAGCATCCATACCTGTATGCAGAACCCGGAGCACGTGCAACAAATGACTCACCAAAAGGGCGGGCACCAGCTCATGGCATTCCTTACGTGCCAGGGAAATATGCAGCCAACAGCTCCAGTGGCGTAAGGATAACAAATTGAAAGCAGACATTTGAGCCACCTCGTGCGTGCCGTCATACTCCGGAAAAAACACCTTTTCACCATGGCTTGCGCTAGTATGTGCGACAATCACCCTACCCACCGATATATCAGTTGGGCACGCGGGATACCCGCAATAAACGACATTGTTGTGATCCGAAGCCGGTACAGCCAATTGTGTGTGATCATGTGCAGGCTGACGACAGGACAAATGTCGGGACCCCGTGCTGGCTGCGAAATCTAATATACTGTTGCAGCAGCCACTGCATGCGGAGGACATAATACCACCACTAATATGTACTGCTGAGCTCCGAGCACGAAGTTTCACACCCGTACCCCTAGTACAGCGAGAGAGCAATCAGCTCCAGCTTACATCAGCAAAAAAACGAGACAGCCAAAATGACGGATGTACAGGACCAATGACGCAGGCGACGCCGCCCTCTTTGATGACCCTATACGCCTCCTTAATGCCCCGCTGCGGCTCCGGCCAGTATTCGATGCTCCCCGCCGAGACATAGCGGTCGAATGAGTCCGTGCGGAAGGGGAGGTCCTCCGCGTCGCCCTGCACATCGGTTGCGTGAGTACGTCAATGCAACACCCATCGAAACCCCATCCATCAATACGAATATTTATTCCCCTTACTAATCCTTTTTTTAATTGTAAGACCAAGACAGGACAAACCTCGAGAATTGTGACGCCCTTCAAGGCTGGCTTCGCCTTTGCCTTGGCCAACTGGTGTGGAGACTGGTCGATCAGCGTCACCTGATCCAATCAGACAATGCTTTAATGACCTTGTGGAAAAACAGCGCCATCGGAGCGGAAGACGCACTTACATTTCCAGGCTTAATTGCTTTGACAATCCCAAGAGTAGTAAAGCCAGTTCCACCACCCACATCGACAACTTTTAAATCTGGATTATCCAGCATAGCTGGGACCAAAGCCGCTGCGCAACGTATGATCTCCAATCAAAGCCGTAAAAGATTGGAGTGATGAACACGAAATAAAATGTTACCTTCTCGCATGTCTTCAGTCCAGTGGCCCGGATTTACGATGTGATCATAGACCTGGCTAAGGCCAGCATAGAACCAGTAAGCCTCGTTCTTGTGCTGGATGAGACGAGGCGCCGTTACGTCGCGGCTATAAGTTTCAGAAGCTGACCGCAAAACAAGCGATCGCTTAGATATGAGAGGAACATGACGTTGCAGTGGACGGCCAACCCGCAACGCTGAGCGAGGACTGCTGGAGCTCAAATCCACAAGGCGATGCCCGGGCCCAGCTTGAGGGCTGGTCGTTAACATGTTAAACCTGGCCTAGCCTGCGGTGTAATGTTGAGACGTATTTTCGTTGAAGAAGATCTGGGCTTTCAGCCAAGTGCACAACCACGGCCTACTCGTACGGCAGCGGTACACGGGTGCCGATACGGCAGAACCCTCGTGCCACGATTCTGCCCTGGCGTCCTGAGCTGTAATGGCATGTGTCTCTTTTTACCCCAACCCAAAGACCGGCTAGTATAAGCGTACAAGCCTCACGATGCTGCTGCGTGCGTTCACGCTTCCCGTGTTGAAGATGGTTGCCATTTAGAGAAAAAATCCTATTATGTTACACCATACCATCGTGCGCTTTACCTCCCCTGCCAGGTAAAATCCAGGATTCTGCGAGCTAATCCGGGGGGGCATAGCATTAGCCTAGCACACGACTTTCCACACGCCATCATGACGGGAAACTTGATCGAACGCCCTATCCAAGATTCAAGGACAGTCCAATCCCCCATTCATCGCACAGCTTGTACCCGAAAAATAGAGGACAGTGTGACGAATCTCATCATTACTGCCTCACAGTTGCATGGATGCTTGGCGTACACATATCCTCGCTTCTATGCTGCAATTCTTCATTGGCCTCTGTCGAATGAAAACGCCGTTTGCAAGCCTGAAAGCCAAGATGCTGTCGATGCTCAATGCAAAGCTGGACCTTGGCCCCTGCAGTATTCCTGACGCCATGTAGGTCTGTCTGAAAGTCAAGAAAATCTCGAGAGCCTCACGGCGCAAACAAATTTAGCTTATCTAAGTTGTAACGCGCGAGGAATTTTTTATTTGCCGACACCGGTCGGGCCGAACGCGGCCGAAGGACGTCGTTGGACGCCGCCATGCGCCTGTTCTCCTCCTTGATCCGATCCTGCAAATCCTCGTCTAGAAGATGCGGAGAGAGGGCACCCGTGCCCGCCATTCCCGAAGCCAATTGCGACGAATCCTCTCCGCCTCCAGAAGACCCCGGAACCCCTGAGCTGCGGGGCCGTACAGGGCCTATTGCGACGGACCCAATCATTGAGCTGCTGGTGCCTCCCGGGCTAGGGGCTCGCAACGGGCGCAGCGAACCCGCCAACGGTGTCGGATGTGCCGCCAATCCGCTAGATCCTGCAGGCCCGGGACCTACGCCTTGCGACAGAGGGCGGCTCAAGTCTGCAAGGCCGCCAGATGCGCCGCTGCCGGACACACCTCCTCGCCCCAATCCCCGGCTACTTCCGCCAGCAGCTCCAGAGTTCATGCCCTGCGCTTCAGAGAGCCAAGAGGCCGCGGCATTACAAAACTGCTGTCAGTTCGACACAGCCGGGGACTCTAGCTCAAAGTCCTTGATTTTAGATATATACCAGGAATTATACTTTCATGACGACCGGGCCCTGCTACCAGTTGGCAGACGTTGTGAGAAGTCCCGGTGGGAGAAGTCCCACCCACACTTGTTTCGTAGATAACCCTGCCTAGGGGATGTGGGCGACAATCAGGGCTTGCTTTGCTACGCTCGACTCAACCGTACAGCATGCGAACACGCGAATGGGCAATCCCGCCACAACTGCACATGGCGTGCGACACATGCGAGCTTGGCAGACGGCGTAACTCACTGTGTAGGGGTTGGTCCCCGTCTCGCCAAGCGCTGTCTGAATGAAGCCAGGATCGCCTGAATCTGTGCGCGGCGCTGTGAAGCTGTTGCCGGGGCTGGGGAAGCCGTCATGTGCGTACTTCCTGGTGGGCGTTGAGGTAAAACGTTGTGGAGAAATTGTCAAGCTCAAGGGGACAGGCTAGGAGGTGGCTGTGAGGGACACAGGTGATACTGCAGCAGTGCTGCTCCACGGGCTTATGTTCTAGCTCCTAAGGGGTGGTTGCACGTACGCGACGAATGGAAGACATTCTTACAACTGATAGATAGTACAATCACGTCCATGTCGTTGTGAACATGCAAGCACGATGGCCCACCTTGGCGGACTATGCATTTACTAAATGGGCACGCCAATAATAGATTATATTTTAGCACGAAGCAAAATTGCTTCATTCTGTCACAGTAAAGACAAAGTTCCGGATGCGTTATTGACCGAACCCGCACAACCCCTTGACAGGTAATCGTCACAAAGCCGTCCAACGATTTAAACAGGAAAAAAACTGTGGCTACACGTCCAATTATAACTATACAAAATTTCCCATCAGGCAGTTCCGTATGCCGCCATGGAAGAGCTTACTTGCTGCCACTGATCTGCAAGGCCGCCAGGTTCGGTGGTGGAAGTGCCTTGCCGGCGGTCCCAGACGCCAAATCCTTGGGCCTACAATGGTTCAGTCGACGCATGCAATCATAATGAAGTGCCCCTATAGCGAGGCCCCATAACAAAAATATCCTTATTGAAACACGTGAATCCTTCGCGCGATACATTTTGCAGCGTATCTTCATCCGAAAAACACATCGTAAATCCGTGCCACTCCGTGCCACTCCGTGCCACCACATATTATAGCTAACGCCAAAATACTGTCGCGACTGGATTTCGTCAATATGCATTCCCATACGTCCCCCGTGCTCTCACTTAGCGGCGGCGTGTGTCCCGCGAGCTGCGGGACCCTCCACCGGCTCGTCTCCCTCAAAGCCTTGCAAGCTCTTCAAAATGTCGCGCGCTGCATCAGTAATGCAGAGTTCAATCGGCCGCTGACCGCTCTTGTTGAGCAGGCGCTGTGATGCACCAGCCTCGCACAGCTTCTCTATGGTGCTGAGCTGGTTCATGAAGCACGCAAGGTGAAGAGGCGTGTTGCCATCCGAAGTGGTGCCGTTGGTCTTGGCCCCCAGCTTGATCAAGGTGGCCGTGGCCTCCTTGCGACCGTTGTATGCCGCGCGATGCAATGGCGTCCACCCCTTCTTGTTGGGAGCATCAATAGGCGATCCCTTGCGTGCCAGCAGCTCAATGACCTGGATGATCAGAAATTATGCGTGATAATAACGCATTAACGCGGAAGTGACCGCACATACCAACTAGCCACCGACAGTGCGGTTACACCAACCGCACGGCATTATTCCAACCCAGATGAATTAAAGCAGAATCATGCGGCATGGATGTAAGCGGGTGCGTACTCGTCCCTAGCGCACCTGGCTGTGCCCTTTGGTAGCAGCCCAGTGAATAGGTAGGTCTCCCTCGACGTCCACTGGCTTGGGGTCGGCCCTGGCCTTCAGCAGTACTTCCACGATATCCGCATGGTTCTCAATCGAGGCCAAATGCAGAGCTGTCACCTTAAAGTTGTCGCCCGCGTCCACGTCAACGCGCTTCTTTACAAGAAACTGCACAGGCAGGCAGCGCACCGCATGTCTATGCCTCGGCATAAATTCCAAAATAGGAACCCATTTTTACCCACCTCTACAACCTCTAGCTCGCCATTCTCGCATGCAACATGTAGCGGCATCATTCCAAGCACATCTTCACGAGATTGAAGCGTGACGCTCTCTGGATTGCCCTGGACATCAAAGAGACAGCAAAAATCGTCTAGAGATCACACCCAGTATTTTTTGTTAATGTATAACGGAGAAATGAAACTCAAAAGTGACCGAGGTCTTACAATCGCCATGCCTTCCCGCACGAAGTGCTCGAGAAGCTTAATGTCACCCGTCTCCGCCGCATAATGAACTGTGTTTGGCTTTGAGCGTGTCTTTGCTCTGACCTCAACGCTCATGGCTGCTTCCTGACCAACTTCTAGGGGCTGGGCTATAGGTATGCCGGCGTCCCAGCAAGCTGTTTTCGCAAAAAACTCTGCCGACTGGAATCCAACCTGGAAAGGCCCCTAATGCCGATGTAAGCGAAAATCTGGGAGACCTTTTGCAAGCACTTTAAAGCGATCTATGAGAGCAAACTACCAGCAGATCAACAACCGTATGGCATAATATTTACAAAACAGTCGATGCCAAGTGCTACAATTTCTTAGGGGCATGTTTTGATTCCTAGGACCACCCCTCCTCGCCGTACGAATTCTTACTGCAGTTGCACGCCGTTTTTGTAACTTTTCTACGTCCATGCCCTTGTTTCAATGCCTGGTCAAACACTTATCCGCTCCCAAAAATTTAGAGTCGGGCTTTGCGGGCTTAACTCCCAGTAGGAAACAGGTGGTTTTTCCTTCGATTTCCCTGCACAGCCAGTCGTTCTAATAGTTTCACAATGGTCGTCCTGACAGAGCAGATAATAAAGGGTAAGACTCGGCTTGATAAGCTTGAAGAGGTCAAGAACTTGAACCTGTGGGGCCAGGACTTGGACGATTGCTCAATCCTTGCGAAGGTGCGCGGGTCTGTTATCCAGGACATTAGAACTTTTTGCGTTGTGGGCGTCCGATACGGCTCGTTCCTACACTCTTGGAGTACCTTGATGTTTCTTGCATGACTAACGTTCCTGTTATCTTCACTTTCTCTGGTAACTCAGTTACCAAACTTGGAGGTGCTGTCCTTGTCGGTTAACCGTCTGTCGAGCCTGAAGGACTTCCGACACTGCGCCAAGCTTCAAGAGCTGTAAGTGCATACTGTCGTTGGCGTATGCAAGAAGCATCTTGGGCTGCGCGCCAACGATTCCGACCCAATGCTTTGGTCCGGCTTTTCGTCTTCGCGTGCGCTGTCCGGAAGCCCGACGACGACGCCATTACCCCCCATAATGGCCTTCCGTCGTTGCATTCATTCCATGGGCGACGTGCAAGATGCATGCTGACGCGTTCTCTCCACGCTTGAGATGGCGTTGAGACGGGTTCGAGTTTTGGCCCTCCGCTCGATTGGCGTGGGCCGCTTGCCTAGCTCCGAAAGCCCCATATGCTCCATCAAAGCGGTCTAAGTACTGGCGTAACACAAGTACGCCAGATGTACACGTCAGCATTGATCACCCTATTGCACGCATCAATGAAGCTCCATTTTGTTCTCAGAACATACTTCAAACTCTACCCTGCCGGCTTCAATCCACCGCGTACTTCAGTACCATACCATGCAATGCTTACTAAGCGTTACGTCGCAGTATATGTGGAACACAGCTGAGCAAAGGCACCCCCGTCACCATCGTTGCTCCTTGTCGGGTTTTCCAGATACCTTCGAAAAAATGACGTGAAGGACCTCAATGAGATTCAGTACCTCGTCCATTTGAAGGACCTCCGAGTACTATGGCTCTCCGATAACCCCTGCGCGGAGGACCCGCACTACAAGCAGTTTGTCGTGCGTATGCTGCCAAACTTGCAAAAATTAGACAACGATGACGTCGACACCATTAATTTGGACGCCGCGGGGCCCGGTCCAGCCCTCAACGGGCCGGCACCTGCACCACCAGCGCCTTCAGCGCCCCCGTACGCTTCGCCGCCTTATGGAGACCATCGGCCACAGAGTCGCGGCAGCCCGGCAACGACCCCGAGCGACCAAGGCGTCATCGGCGGCACGACCCCTGGATCGGTATCCCGCCCGACGGGAGGTTTCAGCGGCGGTGGTGGCGGTCGGTCGTCGAAGAACATCCTGTACGCGGTCATGGCGTTGCTGGGAGAGCTGGACGATGACGACCTGGTGTACGTTCGGCGGGAAATTGAACAGCGCCTAAGCAATCGGTGATGTGCGTGCTGGCTCGTAACTATATTGTTTGGCCCAAGTTTTGGTCCCGTGGGAGCGGCGACTGGAGAATGCAGGAGACGCGCAATAATGCCTTGCTGCTAGCGCTTGCTACGGTGGGCTTGTGTGAACGCAGGCACACAGGCCTGCATTCGCTCAGGATCTTGGTTTTTGTTCAATCTACAACGGTGGAACATTTTGCATGAGGAGGTGAATGCAAAGCAGCGCATTAGTACTAAATGTCGTTACCATTTTCTCGAGATGCCAATAGGAATTTCCTTACATCAGCATAAACCATGGCCTGAAGCCATAGCTTTACGGTTTCGACCCAATTCGCATGGGTGAAGGGGGTGAGGGTGAGGGTGATACGTGTCGTGTCACACGAGGAGAGGTTGGAAACGGCTAGGCAGGACGGATGGCGGATATTGTGGGGGAGCTAAACGGCCTGGTTTGCACCAAAGAATATGGCACCGCCCGGGTCGTGTTGTGCTGGGTGGCTCAGAAAACTGCTCCCTCCGTAGAAGTGTCGTGCTTCAGCATGGACCATATCGTGAGGAGTAAGCAATTCTTTGCGCACCAGGATTCAGGGGGCTTCGTGGAGAAGGGTGGATGTCGTAGGCATTAAGCTCATGACCCACGTTCAGTCCATAACAGGTCCTAACTGTCAACGAGGTTCGGGCAACAATGTAGTTGTTGAAAGAGGTGACAAAACCCTATAATGAACTTGGCAATGCCGCGTATAAGGATAAGGGGACAGACAACTTCAGGGCCCTGTATCTAAAAAACGGGGCCAGGATCTCCGCTTGCAGTCCTTGCACGAGGGAATATATATGGGTATGACGACTGACACAAATGGTTCCACACCCGCGAACACACCGCTACAGACACACTTTTGGCTTTGTGGAGCCAGTTTACCGGAAGCAAGGGAAAATTCTTACGCAGGTGACCTACATATATTCTATAGCTGCAAAGATGGTTCCAGATTTGGGGTGCACTTGACATACCTCACCCTTTCTGGCTATCTGACGGCTGTTGGTGCCGTAACCTGGCCCGTACGCTACCGGAACACAGGTGTGATGGCGCTTTGTCAATGTTATTCAGATATCGCTTACACGAAAATTGTTTTTTGTATTGTCCCTGTTAAGACGCAAATACACAATCATTGCTTGCGCGGCCCTGGATTTCCATCAGTTATAGCAATCCATCCTACTGTTGGCGAGCCCTAACATCTTGAGGCTTGAAGCTTGGAATGGCGAATGATCTGGGTATTCCCTTAAGGCCTATCCGGTAAGTTTTGTGGCAAGGGGCCCCCCTGTACAACCTGCCGCGTCCCATCGGACATTCAGATTCGTCATGCTTACAGCTTTACAGCAATAGGGCAATATGGAGCATTTCCTGGCTACTGCTTTGGCAATTGGCCCTTGCGTACTCTTCGGGGAACATTTGGCAAACTGCTTAGGCCACAATGCGCAATTGCCGTGGCGTCCATCCTTGTTACTGCAACAGCGAACACATTCCTCTTCTCAACAGTTAATCTGCATTAAGCTGCGCCACGGAGTGAGGGCCTCCTCCGGACCAAGGACGTGCCATAATTGCCTATCCCGCTCCCTGCTTTGCAGCTCAAGGATACACTTCCCGAATAATGAGCGTCAGGAGGGTGGCTTTGAGCTTGACAACGGGTTGATCCAGAATGAAACTGACAGGTATCAGGCCTAGCAGATTGGTTACCCGCGTGAATGTAGTTGGCTAAACTAGCTTGTGAATAAAACATATTTAAATTATATTTCAGTATGGTTCCTTCATTCGCCCAGATATGCTGTTTGCAACGTACCGTCCGGGACAAGTCAAGAATGAAATGGCCCAATCTTGTGTTGGCTAGTTACATTTAAAATATATATGAGGGAAACCTTGATGATAAAGTAACATGTTTAATACGCGTTTCGGCCACTCATTCGTGACTGTTGAGGACCCTAGGAATCGTTGCAAATGGGAGCATGGGAGCTTCCCCAACTCTTTCTTAGCAATACAGGATACTTATAAAGGTGTTTTCCTTAGGCAACCTAATTGGCCATTTAGGCCGAGACGATTTTTTGTCGTACTGTGAACAGCTTACCCAAACGCCCGCGTCTCAGGCTAAGGGAGGGAGACATGAAGGCGAAGGCCCGCCGGGCCCTCGGGGCCGCCAAGGGAGTCGTCAACGTTGTGCGGGCTTGCGGCAGCCGCATCGCCTTCCGTTGCCGCAACCGTGCAGCGTACCCGCGACGGTGCTCGGCACCACCTGCAATATTCGTCATGACAACGCAGCCTCTTTCGGCCATGTCAATCGGCCAATTAAATGCCCTTCGCGCCAACTTAGAAGCCGAGGAGGAGGGGCTCATGGAGAAGCTGCGCGAGCTTTGGGAATACCTCGAGGTGGGCTCCCACCTGCAGCCCGCGTTTGTGGACCCTGACCGACTTGCCCACGTAACACGGCTCTTGCTGGCGGGTGACACGGGTGCCGTTGAGCGCGACCCAGATAACGACGAGGTCTCGGGTGCGGCTACGATTCAGCTCACCTCCCAGCGGCTGGAAGCTGCATTGCTGGAGGTCCACGCGCAAATGCAAGCCGTTTGCGAGGAGCGTCGCCGCCGCAAGGGCATGCACGCCGCTACCCGCGCTGCCGGAGGAGGCTGTGACGATTGTCCGCGCGCGCTTAGTGCTCGTGCGGCTAGTTCCCTTTCGCCCTGTCGTGGAGCGGCATCACGGGGCACCGGAGCCAACGCTGATGCCGGGGAACTTGGTACACGCGTGAAAATAACCGTCGACTCCGCCAGCAGCGCGGAGGGCACTGCGCGAGCAAACAAGACGGCTGTGGCGCACGATAGCCGCCTCCGAGGGCGGGGCTTGAATGAGACACCCAAGCGGAAGCTTTCGACGTTGTCACTATCGGAGAGCTTCGTGGAAGACCCTCCTAAAGGTCCAGAATTGGTGGGATCGCCGCGGCCAAAGCTGCTGGGAAGGTGGCGTGTTCGGTTGGCCCGTCGGTCCAATGCAAGCCAGCAGGTACCGATCTCCCGGCCGGCGAATGAGGGAGGCGAGGCACATGGACTTTGCCTTCTGCAGCTTGGGTATACAATGCTCCCAACTCACGACTAGAGGAGCCTGGTTTGGACTAGTAGCGGTGTCGATTCTTTTCTTCCCGATTATCCTCAACGAGAGGGGCTCGGTTTCCCCATCCTAAGGGGCCAGTCTTGTATCCTTGTTCACTTAGGAACCTATTTATTCGTATGTGAGAGGTGAGAGGGTAGTACTAGTGCGCAGGCGATGTGACCGTTTTGGGGTATTCTTACCCGTAACAACGAGCGCGGTTTTTGTGACTTTGTCGGCCGACCCGTTGGACGCTTTTTCCTTACAGAACTTTACGGGACGGAGGTGTTAGTAGTGGAGAAGATGCCTGTGCACCGAAACGTGTATAGATTTCAGTGTAATTGTAGTATAGGGTGGCTGACCAGTTTTTTTTCTGCAATATGCATAATTAAGCAGACATAATCTGTCTTCGTGAGGACGCGTGGAGTTAGCAGAAAGCCGAACTGAGCGGCTCTGGTTTCGCTCGTGGGTTCCGATTTCGTGACTGACTCGGGTCTCTTCCCATCGCTGCTTGATGTTCTTGTAGTGTTGAACGTGTACCGCTAGCACCTTTCTGCCGAGGCTTGACGGATTTAGTCAGGGGAGGTACGCCTCATCTGGATGTAGTTATAATCGTGACTAACTTTCGTGACTAACTTTATTTAACTTCGTATGGAGTACGGCATCCGTACGGCATCCTACCAGCCACTTCGCTCCCAACGGTTCCAAGGGCCGGACGCCATCCGACGGGCGTTTTGGTGTGAAATGTTTTCAAGATCTAGGACCCGGCTATAAGCCTTCCGCGCGATGTCTGGGGGTTGCTACTTCCACGCCGTGCTTCGCTACTGGGGGGGATGCCTAGTTAAGTGCGCTTTGCGAGAACATCCTGCTTTGATGGGCATATAGCGAGGCCTGCACCCATAGGGTTAGCTGAGCCGCCCATGCTGGTGCAACGCTGTTAAGGCTCATGAAACCCCGTTCCCTGTTCGAACGACGACAGTGTGGTTATATGCAGTCGTTTGCCTGCACACCGCATCGAAGGAGCCAGATGGGGTGGGATGGGATGTCCACAAATTTGAGGGCAAATCTGCTTTATGCCGCGCGTACACCAACAGGAGGGCGCTACAACGGAGGTGGATGCTCCGGCCTCAAGACGTACCTAAGACCCGGCGATGGCGGCTATATTCACGTCGCCGCTTCCCGCATTTGCATCACGCAACTGTTCAGAGATAGACAGCCATTAAAGCTCTATGATGACCTCTCAGCCGAGCTGTGCATGCGCCAAGCCGCAAGGGTCGTCATGTGACTCGCCTACAAGAGACCCAAAATTTGCGCAAAAAAATCCCAACACATCGCGCAACCGAAAGGGCCGATAGGGCAATTCGTCCCTGGCTGCACGCCCCTCCGACTCACGTGCTGCCTGTTCGCTTCAATAGTCCGTACTGACCCCTTCCTACAGAGTCTACCGTGAGTGACTTAGGCCAGTGGTCGAGACAACACCTAACGGTACTGCAGTTGATAGCCCAGAGCGGACACATTCTTAACACTTGCTAGTCAGCACCCCGCACAAGCCAAGAGAAGCGCGTGCCTGGCAGCGAAACACCAGAACGGGAACGAAAGTACAGATGTTGGTGTTGGCAACCAACCGCGTCATGTCGTGGTTTGAGCAACTGCACCAACTACTGCTTCTGCTACATCACCGCGCGAAAAAAGTGGCGCCAACCCGTCGTGACCGCCTCCGTCTGACCGAAGCAGTGGCACTCTTCACGCCCATCGAGAGCAGTTGCTGCCTACAAACAGCCTTCCCCTACAATCTCCATACCTTTTCCAGCCTCACTACCACCAACACGCATGTCAGGCCCTAAATCCAGCCGTCCCAGCCGCCATGCCTTACACGCCACTACCCTCTGAACTCATCCACCCAGTACCTCTCCCTATTGCCCTCCCCAGCCCCCTCCCTTAGACCCACGCCCCTACCTCCTACTCTGCTACGCCTTGCCTTGTCACGCAGCCTACTACCCCCGGCCGGAACAGCCACGAGGCAGCCCCAGTCAGCACGCCTCCAGTAGGACTACTCGGTACCGACCATCTCAACCAGAGTGAAGTGCCTCAACCCCGCCCGCTCCGCCGACTGATCAACCAGCCTGCCCGGCCAGACTCCGCATCTTTCTCCAGGATTGGCCCCCCACAACCCGCAGTGAGTCCGGAGGTGTTCATGGACCGGCACGGCGGCATCAGGTCCTCCCTCTTAGCCATCCAGGGAACCACCAACAGGGTAGCCCACTTTGCACCCTCATCACAAACAACCCATCATCATCATCACTTCTTAGCGGCGGCTCCGCCCTTGGATGCCTCCTGCAGCAGCGCGGGCGCCACAAACATAACTTGCGACCACGCCGCCAGCTCGTTGCCGCTACTTGCCGTCATGCGCATCACCACCTCCTCAAAGCTGCCCACCTGTGGGTGCGCACGGAGGGCGGGGGCGACCGAGAGCGGGGGCCCAAAGCAGAGCGCAACCCCGGGCGTAGAGGTGCGGGGAAAGAGAGACGAGGTTAACATAAACGGAAGGTGTCGGGAGATGTACAGATTTGAAGCGACCGTGATAAAATATGCGTGAATGAAAGGTCAAATGAAGTATCTAACCTACCGAACCTTCGAGTAGCCATTCGATAAGCCCAGGCCAGAGGTGGACAACGCGACACGTACCTCCACCTTGGGCAGCGGCGCCCGTTCCACGCTCTCCACCTTCTCCCTCGCCGCATCTAGCTTGGCACGTGCCTTGGCCAGCTTAGACTCCAGTCCCGACCTCTCCCGCCCGGAGGCGCTCTCCAGCTGTGAGGCAATCTGAGACGGAGAAACCCGAAGTTGGGGGGATGCCGTGGGAAACGAAAGGTGGTCATGTGACTGCCGAGCTACAGAGGGGGCCTAGGCTCCTAGGAGGTGGAAGGAGGACGGGAGAGGACCTCAGACATATGAAGTGCATCCGCGCATCAGCGCGAACCCAAGGTCCCCGGACGGATTGGAGATTTTTCATTCATTCATGAATGGATGCATGCCAAGCTTTCCGCTTCCTAATACGCTGCCGCTCTCTTTCGACCTTTTCTTACCTCCACTAACTCGCTACATGACGGAGAGGATAACTGGGCGCAGCGCCGGATGAAGTCTCCGCAGGGCAGGCGCGCCCCCCCCCCAAGGAAACACACAAATTCCCGCCACGTCGCCTGCCACCAGCACAGGCCATGACCCCCAAGGCAGTTCCTTACCCAAGGCTCCCAGGAGCTCCCTTTTCCCCAGATCCATTCCCAGATCAACACTCCCACACGACTTCGAGCGCCACCGCCCGACACCCCCTTCCTGCTCCAATCCCCCTGTCCCTCCCCGCTCAGCTCACCTGCTCGTAGTCCGCCTGGTACTTATCGGCCTTGTCCTTGTACAGCTTTATCTGCGCGGCGTTGCGCTGCATGTAGGCGCTCTGAATGGCGATGTCCAGATCCTCCTTGCAGAGGAACAGCGGCACGTATTGCTGCGGAGGGTTGACGGCGGGGAGGACGGAACACAGGGAGAGGGGCCTCCGGTGTATGTGGGAGCGGTGGGTGGGTGGCGAGTGTGCATAGCATCGCATTCCGACTGGGACCCAGATAGCCGCGGACCTCCGGGAGGGGAAAGCGCGGTCCGGGGTATGTGTAGATGATGTGGCGTGTGGCGTGTGTATGATCGGTATGTAGCCCGGTGCAGCGGAGCCTACGCGCCCGGCTCAGACTCGGAGACGTGTGGGGACATCCCCAGGCCCTCTGCTTGTTCGGTTGCAGCTCCTTTAGCCGCAGCTGGGATTGGATTGGAAGATTGGAACCAAGGTGTGTGTGTGTGTGATGAACTCCCCTTCCCTTCCCTTCCCCGCCACCGGTCCGTTCTCCCTCACCCGTGCATTACTGAAGTCTGCTGTTTTTTCCGGCACAGCCTTCTTTCCCCACAACAAGAAAGAGCGAGGCGGGAACGCCGCTATGTTGAAGCTGTATCGTGTTTCACGAACGGAGAAACAGTTGCAACAGTACTACACCTCTCAAGCGATTGACCGACCAACGCCCTTTCCGCGAGGGCTGCGCCTGGGCCCCTGGCACACTCCCCTCACACCCGCCAACACCCCCCCAATCCCCCACACCAATACCTCTCCCCACATCCTTGCCATCGTCACTACTCCCCCCCCCTCGTCCTCCGCCTCATCAGCTCCGTGTTTGTCAAAGAAAGAACCCCACAACCGCTCCCCTTCCCACCACATTCATGCCCTCCTTTCTTCCTTCCTTTTATCCCTTCCCGCTGGCCTACCATGTCTCTCGTGGTAACGGTGAGGCCCTCCGCCTGAAACACCGGCACCCCGATGAACTGACGAGTGGGGACACCCGCAGCCTTGTACAGCTGGGAAGGGGGCAGCGACCAGGGGGATGGGCGGCGGGGGCGACAGGGGGCATTGCTTCAGCGCCAGGTAGGGAGTAGGGATCAGGGGACAACAGGCCCAACGGCGCTACAGGCAGGACCGGGCCGGCACGTTCAACGGAGGAGATCCAGCACGGAAGGACGGAACGCCACAAACTGAAACCGTTAAGGGGGTTCTTGCCCCACCGCCTCCAACCGCATCCTCCTAGGAATGTCGGTTGACCATCCCAACTGTCCTCCAGCTCAACCTAAGTTCCCCAGCTACCCGGCCGACCAACCCGCCAGAGCCAGCGGGTTGTATCTTTCCCGGCCGGGCCCTACCCGCTCTCCCCCAAGGCCCCACACATGTGCACAGCTCCCCCCCTTCTCACCTCCAACGCATGCGCCACCTGCTTCATGTCCGGCATGAACCGGAAATGAATACCCTGAAGAGAATGATGTCCCCACCGAGCAGCAGGTCCGGGAGGAATACACCGACGACGTGGGGAGGGGACAAACATACACACACACACACGTGAGTGTGCTGCCATCCGTGTGTTTCCGTAGGAAAGGCGTTCGCGACGTGATGAGCGAAGAAAGGCACACTACACGGCACGCACTGCAACGAACTCAAGGTAGCTGCAAACAGCGACGTCCGCCAGCTGTCCGTCGTCGCCACGCCACGCAACGCCGCGCCACGCACAGAATTCAAACGTGTATCAGAAAATTCCTCTTTCCGCCCTATCCCAAACACAGACCCCGCACCAGGCGCCGTCGATAGAAGACTCTACAGGTCCCCCCCCCGGGTTCTCGAGATTCCATAGGTAACATTTTCTCTGGCCGCGTGTTTATACAGCTCCCATTCCTTGTCCCCCCCCTCCCTCTCCACCCCCTCCACCCTCTGTCCGCCTCACCTGCAGCCCCGTCTGCTCCCGCGGGGTGGTGAACACCTCGTACACGTTGTCCATAGTTACCCGCAGGATCTTCGAGTCCCGGGCCAGCCGGGGGTTCTCCTCGCGAATCTGCATGTGCCGGCGCTGCCGTTGTCATGCGTGTCAAAACACATACGGGCCAGTCACCCACGCAAACCTTCCCGCTGACTTGGCGCTCACAGAAGAAGATTCCCACATCGGCAGCAACCACCGCACACAGTTCCCTGCGTGTCGGTCCCGGTGGACGGGAACCCGCTTTCCTCATCCCGCCCTGCCCCCCTCCACCTTCCGTGCTTTCTCCGCTTGGCACGACCTACCTGCCCAGACCCAGGCCACTTGCCCATAAGGCCTTGTTATCCTGGACCCGGCCCCGTATCCGCATGGACAGGTGCAAGGTCACAGACGCACACAGGTGTGCCATCCGCGCCACTTCCTTCCCGCAGCTAACTTCATATGAGAACATACGATCAAGATTTCTAGGCATGCCGTCCCCTTATCTGGTTTGTACCAGGAAGACTTAAGAGGGAGACTAATGCCCAGGAAACCAAGCGGTTGGCGGTTAGTAGCCCTGAGCTCTCTGACCTCTGGTCGCATCGCACCGCACCTTCTCTATGAGCGCCTCCGCGTCCTCTTTCCGAAAGAAGAAGAAACCCAGCTGGGTGTGGTTCTACAATGGGAAGTGTATGGTGGGGGGTTCCCCGTGAAGATGTGCAGAAAGAAATGAATCGTATGCCGACTTCCAGGGTCATCCATGGGTAGGGAGAGTCGGGGCTAGGAAAGTATGACCTCTGATTGGGGCCATGGTGAGGTGGCAGGGGGCCCTGGGCCATCACCCAAAGCGGGATATGGGTGGTGGAAAGCGGTGGGCAGCATCAAAGCGCGGAGTGAGGCTGTGCGTCTTAGCTTGTACGCGCGAACATGAATATGCGTATCTTAAGGAAATAAATTAGGAGTATCGGAAGATCCCTCAATACTGCTAACTCGCATAAGTGGCGACGCAGCACCACCACGCGCCCATCCGTCAAACCGCAGAAGTTTTCCTTGTTAAGCAGCGTACACAGCAGCGAGTTGATGCCTCATGGATGTGAGGTTGGTGCAGATTTTACCCGTGCACTTGTGGAATGTTTAAGAGGATCCTACCCTGTACAGCGCTGTCTCCTCCCCCCTCGCCACCCCGCTGCAATCCCCAATCCACCACGCCCACCTCGCCCGCGACCAGTACAAATTCGTTCTTTGGGTTGGCAACCGTGTAGACAGGCACAGGTGCCAGGCGGGCTTTGACTTCCTCCTTTGCCATCGCCAGGTCCATGACCGGCTGCGGCCTGTGTGCTGCTGAGCCCATCGTAATCGACTGCGATATCCAAACGTCGTTCAGACGTTAGCTCACTTCTTGTATCGTGTCATGTGCATAACCCGCTGTCGGTGAGTGATCGGCCCTCACCGCGAGTAGCGGAGCCCAGGGCCCCTGATCCCGTACGCGCGGTGGAGCTGCTGCAGCCTCCTGTACGTTACGGATGATCTGTGCAATGGGCGTCTGCTCCCACCACCGAGAAACGCCTTGACGCATCGGTACGAAAGTCCGCTCGACCTGCGCCGGGAGCTGCTGCCATTGCGAAGCTAATCCTCTGCCCACGTGATCAAGCGATCTTTGCAGGTGCTGAAGCGGGCCCTCATTTCGCTCCATGTTGGCCTTGCTGGAGGCGGCTGCCCCTAGGACCCTTTAGCACCGGACTCCAGCTTCACGCAGCCTGTTTCGCCTATCTTTAGTATAATAATGCGAAGCTAAAGTTTGTTGCTAGCTTCATGCGAAAAAGGCAAGGGGCCATGTTTGAATGAATCGCCGTAGACAGTACGCATTGCAGTCACCTAGCAAACAGCTTTCCAAAAATACAAACTATGCTTTTGATGCGCTATGCCAAGCACAATGACTGGCATTTAATTCAAGCCGTTAAGCGGCAAAGCGGGGCGGCTGCGACGGGATATCGAAGGAGTCTTCCCGCAAAGCCCTACTTATCATCTGCGGATTATTCCCGATTCGCATAAATGGATTCTAAAAGTACAGAGCAGAAGCTTAGGGTTCTGACGCATCAGAACCAGCAGCTTGCCGTTCAGCTTGAGGAGAAGCGCAAAACGAGCAAGGCGCTTGAGGACAAGGTTGCAGCGTATGAGCAGAAGGAGCAGGAATATGAACAAACGCTACTGTGCGTGAACCGCATATGGAGCCAGTTCACGGTGGCCATCTCCCATCTATGCACCAGCTTGGCGGGCCATGCCGACCTACGCCCTCCCGCTACCCCATCGGGTGCGGCGGCAGTGCGCGACCCCTTCCTTCAACGCCTGGTCTCCGACTCTGCGCAGGCAAAGCCATTACTGGACGCCCAGAAGCGCGTCGATGCGGAGCTCACCGATGTCGAGCTTGCTCTGCAGGAGCGCGCGCGCGGCTGCAAGGACGCCCTGGCGGCTGTCCTTGACGCCGTTCGCAGCATCCATACTCGGCAGGAGGAGCTCTCAGCCAGGCTGCGTGAAGCCGTAACCGTGCCTCAAGCAAGCTCCCCCTCCGCCGCCGTGCAGCCGCTGCTGCAGGCCGAAAACGCTCGGCTGGTTTCGGAGACGACTACGCTGCGCCGGGAGCTGGACGCTGTCCGTGCCCAACACACGTGTGCCTCTGAGGAGCTTCGCTTGGCTGAAGACCGGCGCATAGAAGTGGAGGAACGCATCCGGCAGCTACAGAACGAGCTGGCGGACACGGAACAAGAGCTCAGCAACGTCCAGAAAAAATACTTCACATTAAAGAACAGCGGTGGCGGTGCTGCAGGAGGGGGAGCTGGCGGTGGGGGTGCAGCGGTGGGCGGCGGCACCGGTGGCGACGGTGGCGGCCCTAGCCGTCAGGGCAGCCTGCTGGCGGCGCTGCCCAGCGCCGGCGGCAGCGGCAGCGGAGCTGCCGCAGCCAACGGTGCTGGCGGCAGCGCCGCCGCCCCCGCTGGTGTGACGGAGGGCGGCTCCGATGTGCTTGACGAGGTGGCGGAGCTCCAGGCGCTGTTGGCAAAACGTACGGCAGATTTGGAGAGGGAGAGGGAGGCACACCTCAAGACGCGGAGGTGCGCGTGGTGGCCATGGCGTACCGTGGAGCAGTGGAGTACCATGGTTTGGGGCGTACTCACACACCCCTTCAACCCCCCACCCACCCACCCACATTCGGTGGGGAGTCCAGCTATCCGGATAGCCCGACTATCTCCCTGCCCCATGGGGACTCCCATTTGCCCTGCTCCTCTCAATTACACACCCATCCACACCCCACAACCCCAGATTCCAGTGAAAATGTCATCTGCACTCGCCAAGGCGCACCCTTCCCTCTCCGGTCCTCGCATGTTGCATATGATGCCCCCCCCCCCAATGGTATGCCGCCAACCCCCGGGCCTCACCTGGTCCCCAGGGAGCTCCAAGAAGTTCAGGCAAGAGTAGGAGACGAGGCCTGGGTGCCCTCCACGAGGCTGTACGGCATAGCCCAGCAGCAGTTGGCCCAACTGAACGAGGCCCTGGCTGCTCGGGCTCGGGACGTGGAGGCCCTGGCTCGGGAGAGGGATGAGGCGCTGCGGGAGGCGGCAGCCAAGGCGTCACTGGCGGCGGTGGGCAGTGGGAAGAGGGGTCGAGAAGGGGGTTCTCAGGGTGGCAGGATGGGTGGGGGATGGCAGGGGGGTGGGGGTCCACGTGGGTACGGGCGGTTGACTCTTGAGTGGTTGTGATGTGCGGTGGGGTGGGGTGGGGTGGGGTGGGGTGGGGGATCAGGCTTGAAGCTGGGGGACCGCATGTGGGTCTTAGAGCTAAGTTGGTGTGTGCGTGGGGGGCAGGCTAGGAAAAAGGAGAGGCTGAGGAAGAAGGATGCGGCTGCAGGAGGGTAAGGAGAGTAGGGCAGAGGGAGGGAGGGAGGGAGGGAGGCGGTCGATTTAATGCGTGGATGGCTGGGTGAAGGAAGTGGTGTGTGGGATTGAGCTGCAGTGGAGGGAGGGAGAAAGGAGCTTCGCATCTTCGTGTCCTCCGTGTCCCGGCCCTCCAACTCTTTCCCAGGCGTCGGTAGGCTAGCCGGAATAGTTTAGTTGGGTCGGTCGGGTCAGTCGCGCGTTCTAGTTTTTTTTGGGGGGTTGGGAGGAGCACTTGCATACCGGCAGCCTTTCAGTATCAGCAATTCAGCCTTCTCTCCTGGCCAGCAACTTTACGCCATTTTTACGTCAGCACTATTTTACTCGCCGCCTTCACTACTATTTTTACACCTACTACTTTACGGATTGGCTATACTATTCAGCTTTTTATTTCTGGCGGCTTAGGTAGATAGGAGTTCCAACATCTACGTCACTTCGTCATCCCGAGGTTAGGTCAGTTTTTACGTTTGCTACTATCTTGCCCTGGCAGCAGCTTCAATCGCGTGTGGTTCGTCTTTCCCCCCTCCCCCAGTCCGAGGCCCACATGCGGTCCAAGCTGGCCACCCTGGAGCGCTCCTACCGGGAGCTGCAGTTCGGGAAGGCGGATGCGGACAGGGCCCGGGCGGAGGCGGAGGCGACCCTGCAGAGGGAGAGATCCAGGGGGGGCAATGCCAAGACGGTTTCGGAGCTGCAGGCGCTGGTGGCCAGCCTGCAGGGCCAGATAGCCTCGTTGCAGAGCCAGGCCAAACTGGACAAGGTGATCCCCATGGGTTGCCGGGTGCGGGCTTTGTCTGTGTGTTTTTGTGTGTGTGTGTGTGTTGTTTTCATATCCCGCTTTTCCCCATGCCCGGGCTGAACTTCTGGAATCGTCGGACGGTGACCTGATCGCTTTGTTGGACTCCTCCGGCACCTCCCGCGTGCTTTGGACCCCGGCAGCCGTTTCTTTGGTATTCGCTCTCTTGGGACAGTTCCCTCCCGCCTCCTCTTCCCTCCTGCGTATTGGGGTCAGGTGGCTCACGAGCGTCTGGACGCCAGCGCCCGGGAGGTGGTGGAGGCCGCATCCAACCTAGCTGCCAGGGACATGGAGCTGCAGAGGCTCAGAGGTGGGGGGGGGGCTTGTTGGGGGGGAGGGGGACATGGAGGGGAGGGTGGGTTGCTTTTGGGGGGAAGGAGGGAGGGGGGGTTGTGAACAGGAGAGGAGACGCCGAGTCAGGGGGGGTTCCATTGCGAGCGGCCTGAGTGAGGGTCAGGCGGTGCGGCGCGGGGAGGGAGGGGAGGATTAAAGGAACCACAGTTGGGGTAGGAGGGCGTTAACACTACATTACATGATTGTTCCGTGCAGCATGCTACGAGATGATGCTCAGACTCCCTGATCCCCGGCGAGCCCCAATCCGGGTCCTCAACTCTTCACCCCCCGCCCCCGGGGCCCCCACATGCGGTTGTCCGAATGGGCTGCTGCGCTTGCTGGCCCCTCCCGGGGCCCTGTCTGTCTGTCTGTTGGTCAGATGCACTGGCGCGGCGGGATGGTGAGGCGGAGGAAGCCCGGAGGAGGGAGGTGGCGCTCAAGGAGGCGGTGGCGGACCTGAGGGTGAGGGTGGGGGGAAGAGTTGTACGCAGAATCAGGGGAATCAGGCGTGGTGGTGAGGTGGAGGGGGGGAAAGACGAACCACGAACAAGTGAAGCTGCTGCTGAGGGGGGGGGGGGCCTGGGAGGGGGAGGGCGCGACATGTGTAGAGGGAACGTAGGACATTTGTTTTTTCTACGCAGTCAGCTGGTCACAATGGAAAATATAAACATATATAAATTCACCGAACCGAAAGCTATCATGGTATGGTGCATGAGAGCTGGGCAGTTACCACGCGTGTGCGTTGCTGGGGAAGAGAGAATAGGGGAGGGGCAATGGAAGTGGAAGTGACGCCAAGAGGCAGTTGGATGCGGCAGGTAAGGCAATGGCACTGGGGATGTGTTGCGCAGTCGACTTTGCTGTCGGCTTTGTGGGGGGGGAAAAGGGTGAGAGGGAGGAGGTGAGGAGGTGAGGACGGGGAAGTCTCGTCGTCTTGGTCTTGGCAGGGTGTCCTGCTGCACAGTCCCTCTACCTCGATTTGAGGGAGCTGGGCTGACTGTCCAACTCTCTGTAAACTCATGTCTCTGTGGTCCGGTACGGCAAGAGTCACATCCTGTCAAGCCCCCCTCCCACCCCCCGTCCAATCATGCATGGGACGTCGTGTTGTTCCTCTTGAGTTGTTTTGTCTCGTCGTCTCCTAAGCCCTGGGTGCATGCATACATACGTACATACGTACATACATACATACATACAGGCTTTCGTGGAGGTCCTGACAACGTACGGCAGCGACCCCCGCGATGTGGTGGAGGTGCGCGCCAGTGAAGCGGCTCTCAGAGCGCAGGTGGCGGAGCTCAAACAGCAGCTGCAGGTACGTGGGATGCGGGAGGAGGTTTACGGCGCTGGTCGGGGAGCCACACGAAAGAAGTGGAGCCGGCTGTAGAGGATGGGGCAGACGTTCCAGCCGTTACGTTTACAAAACCCCAAACTCGGGCGGTGGAGGGGGACCGAAAGGAAAGCAGTCTCAGCTCTCGAGCCGGCTGGTTCTGGAGCAATGGAATGGCCCTCCCTAGGCAGCTGCCTTCCCGTGTATGTGTATTTGCATATAGATGTCTTTTCCCCTTTGTGCCCCTATATGCCCCTCCTCCGATCACTGGCCCTGCCCTGGTTCTCCACCCTCTCCTTACCCCGCCTCCCCCACTCGCCGCCGCAAGACGGCCCCGTCCCGCCTTTTCCGGTGCTGTGCTGCTTGGGACACCGGGCGGCAGTCCTGTGTGGCCTCCTCTGCTGTGTGGCTTCCCCGTCCCCTCTCCTCCCCGACCTGTTTCCCCTCCTGAACCCCCCCCCAGGGCCACTCCCTGCATGCGACCATTCGGGAGGTGGCTGCCTCGGAGCGGGAGGTGCGGGGGCAGCTGGACCTCGTGGCCGTGGAGGCGGATGAACTCAGAATGCAGGTAGGGGTAGAGGTAGGGGTAGAGGTAGGGGTAGAGGTAGGGGGTGTGAGAGGCGTGAGATGGGGATTGAGGAGAGTGGAGGGGGTGTACTCATTTAGGGCGGGAGGAACGGGTACAGGTTCTTTCTGTCTGCATGCCGGACAGGCACCGGCACAGGCTGGGTTGGCAGTCCCGAGGGACTTTGATCGCACCATTACGGTGGAGCCGGCCCATGCAGCTCCCCAGGCGCCCTGTAGCTGCAGTGCGCTGACCATATGACAGGACCATCCCCGCCACCGCCGCCACCTCCACCACCTCCTCCCCGTCAACTGAGAAGTATATAGTAGTAACACCGCCACAACACAAGCAGCAGCACAAGTAGTTGGCACCGCCCTCCTGTCCGCCAGTCCCATACGGCCCCTACGTAACTACCTCTCCCCCCGGCCCCGGCGCCGCTCCAAACCTCCTCCCGGCGTCCGAGCATGCTAAGCTTTAGTTTATTGTGTGTCCGTGGTATCGTACGCACATCTCCACGGGCAACTTCCAACTGTGTCGTGTTTGGACTTTTAACCGTCAACTACCAACGGTCACCAGGTTTCCAAGGCCCAGCGGCAGGCCGCTGAGGTGGAGGCGTTGCTGGCCCACAGCCGCTCCGAGTGCGAACTGTATAAGCAGGAAATCGAGGTGGGGGAGGAGGTGGCGCCCGAGTGGCGTGTGTGTGTGTGTCTGTGTGTGTGTGTGTGGTGTGTGTATGTGTGTGAGTATGTGTGTGTAGGTATGTAGGTGTGAGGAGTGGGGGAAGGCGTCGCTGCTGGGCCCTGAACAGTGGGACGGGATGGAGCGATGGGGCACTTGGGGTCGCGGGCGCGCGGGGGGGGGGCCTTGGAGCTTAAGATGTCATCTGGCCACGTGGGAAAGGTCGCGTACGGCACACGGCCATGTGAGCCCCCCAAGGGCCTGTGTCTTCACTCGAGCGTTAACCCCGTGGTTCTGTTACCCGTTGTTATGGTGCTGCCTGGCGTACGACCTTGCCGGTGGCGCATGTGCTGATGTATGTATGTATGTATGTGTTTTATGTGTACCCAGGTGACGGTGAACGCTTTCGAGGAACTGCAGGTGCAGAACGGCCGGCTGGTGGCGGCGCTGGCGGAGAGGGACGAGGCCAACAATGCGGTGGTGGCGGAGAGACTCAAGGTATGTGGGTGGTGCTGTGCGTATGTATGATGTGTGAAACAGGAGGGTGTATCTTCGCCCGTGGCAGCTACCCTGCGAAACCCTGCCTTCCCCGGTATTTCGGGGCACCCTCATCCAGTCACCCTAGTCAACTTCTCAGTGGATCGCTCAGGTTCCGCACCCACCACCAGCATCCAACGGAATCTGCCGGGTCGACAGCGGCCCAACTCCATTCCTGGTCGGCTCGCAGGTTAACTTAATCCCAGGTCACCACCGTCCATCAACTAGGGGCGCAATGCCTTCCACCATCGGAAGGACTTTTGACCCTAATGGGTATCGATCCCGGGATCTCCAGGGGGCAATGGTCGCGCCTTACCAGTAGTGCCAAACCCTAGTATATGTATGTATGTATACATGTATGTATATGGTGCGGGTTCCTTATACTTTTAGAGGACGATTTGCTCGGTTGGGTCATCAGAAGACAGCCACCGCAACTCGCCCGGTGTCGTACATTGTTTTTTGCAGCTATCCCAGCAGGTTCCCGTGCTGACGGAGGCGGCGGAGGCTTCCCGGGGGGAGGCGGAGCGGCTTCAGCGGGAGGTTTCAGAGCTGGGTGCCGTACGGGAGGCCCTGGAGCGGGACATGACGCGCTTGGCTTCGGAGCTGGCATCGGTAGGTGCTCGGGGGGCTAAGCGGAGGTAAGGTCCCCCCCTGGCTGCTTTCCCCCCCACCCGCTCCTTCCCCTCCAGGGCGCTGTTGGTATTGTCTTATATATGAGTGCCCTTAAAATAAATAATAAATTCACCTTTGGGCCCTATGTCAGAATATAAAAACTACATATAAATAATTAATAATCATCTATAGTTGGTATCTAAATATACATATATTATTACTAGTAAAGATAGTAGATAAAATAAGAACAACATATAATAATTATCCCGTAACTTGACAGTCCCCCGGCGGTCGGGGGCCCCCTCCCCCCATTTTGTCTGCCCTCCCTAGAGCCGCCTTCTCCTCCTGGACGCCCCCCGGGACTCCCGGGCGGCAGCTGGTGCTCTGGACCGCCCATAGCAGCAGTTTCCTTTTGGCTTCTGTACCACCGTCACCATCACCACCATTAAAGAATCCCATTCCCCCCCTCCCCCCACTCCCCCTGAGCTCCGACAGGTGAAGGAGCAGCTCCGTGTGCACGCCAGTCGCCTGGAGAGTGCGGGGCTCGAGGTGCGGGCCAGGTCCGATGCGATGGCGGCGCTGCAGCAGCAGCTGGAGGCCGCCGGCAGGCAACTGGACCTCAAGAGGCTGGCGTTGGAGGTGAGAATGGGGTGGGGGGAGGCGGGGGTGGGGGTAGGAGGGGATGGCGGTGATGCCGATGTGGGCTGCGGGGCTGGGGGGGCTCTGCTTGGCTGGGGGGGTTTGGTTGATTGGTTGATTGTTGATTTGGCCTTAGTTGAGTTCAGAGGTACTTCTTCTAAGGGGGGAAGGGGCCGTTCTTGTTCGTTGTGCGGTCCTCCGTCACTGTGTCGTGGTGCCATCGGCATCACGGCCATCCATACATGGCTCACAACCCCTTCCCCCTCGCGCAGGAGGCCGATCAGAAGCATGTGAAGGAGAAGAGCAAACGGCAGCGAGTGGAGGAGGAGGTCAAGGTGGGTGGGTGGGTTGGGCAGTGGCTGGGTGGGCGTCGCCCGGGTCTTGGAGATCCGTGACGCGGACGGGGGATCCTCAAACCACCCCAACCCCGACCTCAACTGTCAACTAACCTCAGTCCCGCCTGAGGAAGAGGGTCGGGGGAGGGGCACCGTGGCAGGTTTGGGAGCTGCTGGGTGTCTCTTATTTGAAACCGGTAGGGGTCAAAATCGGAAGGTAGCGGTGAAGTGCGGCCGGGTATGCAGCAGCAGCCGCTGCCGTCGTGTCGGCAGCTCATGCATGGACACCGGGCAACTCATCCGTAGTGTCGCCACAGTCTCCCTCCTCCTCCCCTCCTCCTCCCCTCCTCCTCCCCTCCTCCTCCCCTCCTCCTGACCCTCCTCCTCCCCTCCTCCTCCCCTCCTCCTCCCCTCCTCCTCCCCTCCTCCTCCTCTCCTCCCCTCCTCCTCTCCTCCCCTCCTCCTCTCCTCCCCCTTCCCCAATTATCCCCCCTGTCCCCTCCTCCCCTCGTTCCCTCCTCCCCCTTCAGGCGCTACAGACCAAGGTGGAGAAACTGAAGAAGCTGCAGAGCCCGGCGGGGGCGGCCAGGGAGCTGCAGGTGCGCGCGAGAGTCAGTGCCCTACCTCTTCCTAGGCACCATCCGAGTCCACACATTTCCCCCCACCCTACCCACCCACCCAACACCCCGGGACCTAACCTCATCCTCCCCCCTCTTCCCCCCCTCGATCCCGGGTAGGAGGAGGCTGACGCCATGCGGCAGTTGCTCAATTGCAATGTGTGTCACGAGCGCCAAAAGAACCGCATCATCACGAAGTGCTGTCACGTCTTCTGCGATGTGTGTATAGACCGGACCCTCACCGCCCGCAACCGCAAGTGTCCGGGGTGCGGGATCGTGTTTGCCAAGGTGAGGTGTGGGCGGGGCGGGGCGGGGGTGTCTGTGCGGAGAAACACACACACACACAGACGCCTTCATCACCAGCTCCATCTGGGTTCCCCTCTCCGCGCCTTCGTCCTCCCCGGTCATGCAGGGGGACATTAAGACATTCTTCTTCACGTAGTGGCCTGGCCGCCAGAGGGGGAGCCCATCAGCAGAGGCGGCGGCGGCGGCGGTGGACAGCTCTGCGGCACTATTGACCATCAGCATTCGTTTTTACACCGATATGGGCCGGTCTGGGGCGGTCTCTGGGGCGGTCTGGGCGGCTGAGACCCATTGGAAAAAGGGAGGGGGGAAGAGAGTAGTGCGCCGCCGCACTACTGCAACGGCGACAGCGCGGCGACAGAGCCCCGAAGCGGATGACTGCGGGGACTGGCAGCTCCTGGCGCTCCTGGGGTTGGGGCCGCCGGCGATGTAATGGTGTGGGTGCGGGTGTCGTCTATCGCGTCAAGAGCTGCAGTGTAACGACCCGAGGCCGCCCATGCGCCGTATCTCCTCTTTCCCCCTGCCACTTTCCTCTGTTGCGGATACATCACGTCAATCCGGAATGAATCTTTTTGTCCAGGTTGGGTGTCCTTGGCGGCGCAAAGTGTGTGGGGGCGGCCTCTGGGCCTGACAGCAGCAGGAGGGCCGGCGGCGGTAGCGGCAGGGGAACAGCGGGGACGGGGCGGGGACGGGGCGGGGCGCATTCCCGCCGCCTCATGAAGGTGAACGGGTACCGGGTTATTACCGGAGGAAGGGGCCTGGAGGAGATGGGGCTGCGGAAGGTGTGCGGCCGCAATGGGGCAACCGCAACGATGCAATATTGGCCGACGGCAGGATTGGAGGAACGGGCGCGGGTGGGGTATCAGGGCTTTGCGGTGCCATATCCATCTGGTTCAATGTGGCGTGACTCGAGCGTACGGAGATAGAGGGAGAGTGGTGGTGTGGTTGGAGTAGTGAGCTTTCCCGACCCGGGTTAGGGGGGTAGATGGCCGATGTTGTGGTAGGGAGGTAGGCCCTCGCTTGCCCTCGCGCGCAGTGAATGTTGGGCGGTTGAAGGGCGGCATCAGGGGGGGTGCAGCAGAGAGAAGGGGGTATTAGCGCACGGAAGAAAGGGGGGCAGCACAGAATTGTGTCGAGGGAGAGGAGACGAGGTGCGTGTGCGCTGGGAAGCATGAGGCGCGGTAACTGATGGTCGCGCGGTCCTTCTTTCTGTCGTATACGCTTTCATGCTCTGTACGGCCGCATGACGTCTCGTAGCAGCAGTTGACTAACCAGAACAACAGAGAACCCAATCCGATGGCGGTGGGGGGGTGGGGGGGGTGGGGGTAGTTCAGAAGCTTGGGCTTCCTGATGCCGCTTTCCATGTCTACACGGCATCATCGTCTCGTCGGCGCATCATGGTGGCAGTGCTAGATCACGATGGGGAGGGTGAAATGGAGGGAATGGCATCAAAGGTGATGATGACGCGCTATAATGCCCACCACGCGTGCCGTACAGCGCAGCGAGAGCAGGGAAGGGGTTGCGACCGGGGTGCGACCCCCCTTTGGGTGTGCCGATTGAATTGATGTCTGATTGGAACAGCGTGCAGAATGTGCGAACCCGGCATTGTCACTGTAGCCCCCTGCCAGTCCCTGAGGCGACGAGCATGCGCCTGCCTTAGCACAGGGCTTCTTCTCCTCCTCCCCCTCCGCTGCTGCTGCTGCATCTGCATTCATCACCCCCGGCGCCAAATGCAGCGCTGCCGCTGTAATGCTCTCAAGACCAACAAGGTGGTTTTAGCGTTTGTCCCATCACAGCGGCTGCAAGACAATCTGCCTCATCCCTCAGTCCCGCGGTTGGCCGTTGTTTGGCGGAGCGGGCGGTGCCGAGGCCCCGTGAGGTGCAGCAGAAGGGGGCAGCAGAAGGTCGACCAACTTTGAAGGCGGGTCGCTCTGTATGATGGTGGGTCCTCACACCTGCGGTTACACATCTCTATGGGCACCGGTATGTGCCGCCAACGGTGATTTGCGCACGAGTGCTGGTCTCCATCACAAGTCATGTAGCATTGCAATACTGCTGTAGTAGTTACTGTTTGGTGGCCGTGACCGAGCTCCAGGGTGGGCAGGCGGTTGCTGGCAGTTATCAGTTATCAGGGCGCTGGGGAGGGGGCATCAGAGTAAGAGAGGGCCGTCGGGGTGGTGTATTTGTGTAGCGGGGGGAGGGGGAAAACGTGTACACGTTTATAGGCCTCGCCCTTGGTGCCATCTCATCGCGCACTCAGACATGCAGCGACATCTTGAAGCGCCAGACGGTAATTGACGCACACACTGCGTGAGATGGGTGCTGCTACTGCTGCTATTGCTGCTGCTACTGCTGCTGCTACTGCTGCTGCCGTTGCTATAGTTGAAATGAGCGGCCGCTATCATGGGCTATTACTACAGCATGGCGGGGTCCAGCAGCAGGGTGTACTGAGGGACGGGTATGTGAGGGTGTGTGGACGGAGGCTGTTGTGCACTCCTGAACTGTTTCCGCTGTGGGGCGCAGCGGCCCGTGCGCTTGGCCCGTGCACCCGGGCGTTTCCTTTCCCTCCCGACCACCCCGTGTTGTGAAGTGTAAAGACGGACCCGTGTGTGCAGGAGGATTGAGGGAGGCCGTTGAAGGCAGAGCGGGCTGTCCTCCGCCGAGCTTAGATGCTGTGCTGGACTCCGTTCCCCTTGTTGCTGTATCTGTTACCTTGGCGCTTTCCTACGGTGCGGTGCATAGGAAGCCGACACGCCTCCTGTATTCGGCTCTCGCGCCCTAAACTAGGAGCCAGCGCCTTATTAGTACGTCGTTGTGTCTCGGAGCCACTGTTTCGCAGTGTGTTTCTGCCGAATATGCAAATGTCCCTATTACTGCATATTCATCCTTTTTGTATATACGCTGGATGCCAATCAGCTAGGTGTTGGGTAATATATCGCAAGAAAAGAAATCCAGGAGGGCCCTGTTAATGGGGGCACACTTAAAATGCAGCGGACGAAGGCACTCGGCGGAGGAGGTGGAGATTTCGCGGGGACCGATACATTGGGCTCAGAGAAGTCAAAGGGCGAATCCAACTTAATATTTTGCCGCTGATGTCCGGATGCTAGTTATGGGGTCCAACTCCCGTCGTGGGTTAGGGGCAGAACCCCGGAAGGGGGAGGACAAGGGCAATAAGAGACGGGGAAGGAAAGGGTCGGATGGCCAAGGGGTATCATCGCCACCGCTGCTGCTGCTGCAGTTGCTGCCGCGGCGGCGGCGGCGGCGGTGGACGGGACGCCAGGAGGTGACCGGAATGTGAATGTACGGGAGTACGGACAAGCGAAAAACGCATAAGCACATTGACCGCCGCACCAACCGCAGCGGACCAATCCAGTTCAGTTCGGCAACGGGGCTCCAGCCCCTATATGTCTGTCTGTCTGTATGGGATTATCAGGACAACCGTGAATCCCGCCGGGCCACTCCAACCAAACACATTTGGGCGGGCGATTAATCCAATTGACGGCACCTAAGCGATGAACAATGCACGGTGGGGGAGGTTGGGAGGGGCTGTTTTCAAACATGCTTCGAGAGGCTGTCCTGCCGCCTGACCCCGCCCCCCGGCTCCCCCCCCTGTCCAGGAGACATGATGCTACTGACGATAGAGGTTGCAAAGACTCCTGCCTACCCACCCTCCCACCGACCTACCTACCTACCTACAGAGAGAGCGAGAGAAAAAGAGATAAAGGGAGAGAGGGATGCGCCGGGTGAGACGTACGCGAAAAAAACTACACGAGGTACCGCCGTACAGCCCGCCAGAGTATGAAATACACATAAGAGATCTCTGTTCTTACAGTTTATCTTCACCTCCCCGCTGATTTTGGCTTTGGCTTACTATGCAAAGCTACATGCAACTTCACCGCTATAAGATTTTCGTGCTTTGGATGCTGTTACGGCACACCGTTATGGCACAAACATAGCGGCTAAAACCGAAACACGAGCACGACGTGGGAAAGTGATGTTCTCAGCTACACAGCCTACAGACCTTCTGCGCCCAATCACCCGGGGGACCCAGTGCTGCTTTTGCCACAGAGCACCTCAACCCTGCAGATGCAGACACACGATCGTACGGCTGCCCCAGAAAACTGAGCATGCCGTATCGGAGGTTTTAACCCACAGCGGTACAAAACTTTGGAGTGACCAGTAAAGTACGAAATGGTATCGGGCGATTTAAAAAAAAGCAATCTTGTACGAAGTTACAGAACCGCCCTCTGCAGCCCCCTGCGCCTGTGTTGCCAGGGTGCTCGACAGCAGCCACCGTAATTATACAATGACAAGACTATCTCCTTGCCTTAGTACGGCAAGTGAAAGAAAGAGAGGGAGAGATACATACATACATACATGCACACAGCCAACCTCGGCTAGATAAACACTCCTGTACATTTTCCGCTGTACATTCAACACCACGTCGCGCCTTGCGGTAGCACAAACCTTGCCCGCTCTTCACAGCCGGGATATGGCCGGTGGGGTGTCTCCCGCTACCCAGCATCATCGTCGCCGTCGCCGTCGCCTCCTCACCACCACCACGGGATCCCGATCGGGTGGCGGAGAGGGAGCTCGGCGCCTTGAAGTACAACTTAGGGAAACAAAACTCACTTTATCTAGTAGCAGATGACATTCAAATCTCATCTCCCTCCTCCAGTCTCTGCTCCTCCTCCTCCTCCTCCTCCTCGCTGTCGTCGTCATAAGCCCCCCGGGGAGGGGGAGGTGCTCGACGAGGTGCCGCCGGCCCCGGCCCCGGTGTTGCCCCTGCTGCTGCTGCTGCTGCTGCTACTGCTGCTGGTGGTGGCGGCCCCGGTGGTGACGACGGCGTCTGGCGGGCCCTCACCGACTCCTGGTGCTGGTGCTGGTGGTGGGGGGGGGGGTGCTCGGCAGCAGTCGCCTCCTCCTCGTCCTGATGCGATGGCGAAAGCACACACGGAGATTCAGAGAGACGTAGTGATTCGACATAATCGACACATTCAGTGGTGCACACACAGAGGCACACACACACACAGGTACATACATACGTACACACACCAGTGGTAATGCTGTCGATATGCAAGTAGCTTCGAGCCCTAGCAGAGGCGCCGGGAAGACGTCGCGAGGGTGCGACATCGGGGCCCCCCCTCCACACACACAGACACACAACCCGCACCGCCTGCAGGCAAAAATGAAGGTGCACCCCGTTGCGGCCGCCCTGTCGTGTATGTAGGTGTACGTGTGTGTGTGTGTGTGTGTGTTGAAGCGGAGTTTTTTTGTTACAAAAAAACTCCGCATTTGAACACACTGAACAATCCAGGTGAGTCACCAACCCCGCCAACTCGGAGAGCCTGCTAACTGAGCTCCTAGGTAACAAGCTTAATGATAATAGTTCCGTCGTGCGATTTGCCACCAGGGGGGTGCAGGATTCCCACCCTCACCCTCACCCTCACCCTCAACCCCCCCCAGCGGAGCCAGCCCCCGACCCCCCACCCCCAGCGCAGCCTCAATAGCCTCATGCAAGAAAATTATGGACCCCGCCCTTCACAAAAACCCTCTCACCATTTTCGCCGGAATCGCAGTCCCCTTACCTGCATGATTTGCCCGTACATCTCCTCGTACAGCTCGCCATGTACGGCCTCATTTACGGCACACAACGCCAGCAGCTGGGCCCCTAGAGCCGCCACATCAGCCGCCAGATGGGAGGCGCCCACACGGCCCAGAAGCATCGCTGCAACCGCGGCGGCGGGACCGCCTCCGAATCCGCCTCCACTCGCGCCCGCGACAGATCCCTGGGTCTGTTGTGTCGTTGGTGGGGTTGGTGTGCCCAGTGTTATGTGCGCCAGCAGTGCGGCCGCCAGTGCATTGGTGATCGAGCGGAAGGCCCCTGATGCGGGATCCACCAGGGACTGATCCGAACCGGACAGAGGGTTACGAATGGCGGGGAGGGGAACAAGTGGCGGCGGGGTGGAGGGGGGAAGGCGGGGACGCCGGGAAAGACGGTCATCGAATCATATCGTCGCTGTCACACATGAATCTCCCCTCCTCTCCCGCCCTCCCCTCCTCCCTCCCTCCCTCCCTCCTCTCCCTCCTTTCTCTCCTCTCCCTCCGTCCCTCCT